AGTTTCATCACAATGCCAAAATTCATGCCTGTGTTATTAAAAAAAAAGAAAAGTTATCCAAAAGTGCCTTCCAAATAACAAACAAAAAAAAACAAAACAAATTACATAGTTATCCAATACCACACTTTTATTAGTTGAAGGGAAAGCCGAGATGCAAAAGAACTGTTAACTGATTGGCTGTACACTAAGTTATACTTGTGTGCAATATGAACAATTTCCCTCATTAAATTACAAAGATTCTGAAAGTCACAATTATGACAAAATTATGTTCCTTTTCAGCAGCTATGCATTTTGTTGTTATTGTTGTGGATAGTAAAGGGCCAGTGGATAACTATGGCTTTTTTTTTTTTAAACACGCTATGAAACACAGAAATGACAGTCTCAGCAAAGCGCCAAAATTCATGTCTGTAGTACAGAAAAATAAATAAATAAAAAGCAACAATAAAGAAATGAAAAACATTCAAGCTATGAAACACAGATTTGAGAGTTTTATTCAGGACAGACATTTAAAGCCAGAGACTCAAGTGACTAGTAAGATCTGCAGGCAAGCGTCTAGCCACTACACCTCAGCAGCTCCCCAAATAATTAGAAAAGAACCTTCAATAATGAAGACATGAACAGTAAGTATATATTGCACAATTAATTGCCGACTGTATTTCACTATCTTCTTGTCAGCTGCATTTCTACACAGTTTACATCAAGGTCATCAAAAGTACCCAAGGATCATACAACAGTTCAACGCATTCACTAAGCCAGGGCCATTCAACAAAGTTTACTTAACGGCCAAAATTTTGGAAAATGGAGATCATCAGGGGCCAGAGGCCTGAACCCCAAAATAGGAAGATGGTTAACTCAATATAATTCAAGTGATCCGCGGGCCACTTGCTAGACCTCTACAGGCCACATCTGGCTCACGGGCCACAAGTTGAATAGCCCTGTCTTAAGCCATAGAGCCATACAAAACATTCAAATGGCTAATTCTGGTTGTCCATCGATTGGCAGCATTCTCATGCAGAACCACATCTCTGAATATAAACAAGTTCCCTAAGGACATCCTCTATGGTGAATTACAGATGGGTAGAAGATGTTGAAGGTCACCCTCCACTATGATATAAAGATGTTTGCAAGCATGGCATGAATGACAAGATTAAAACAGAAGTCATGCAAGAGAAAGCAGACAGTACGCCGATCTAGCTTACCAAAAAATTAAAATAAGGTGCTGAAGATGGAGGCAACTAGCCAGGAGGTGCACTGGAAAAATCAGGATGCCACGCACAACTGCTTCAGGCAGAAAAGCTTTTGGCCAAGAGAAACACCGGTGCAAGCCAATCTTTACTTGTCACTGACTGAATTACAACAGACAGTGACGTTCATACTAGAGACAACATTGCAGATATAGATACTCTATTTCAGAGACAACATTGCAGATACAGATAATCTATTTCATGCGAAAGAAGAAGAAGAATACGAAACAAAAACTGTTTTCAGACAGGGGCAGGAGATTCACATGGTGGAAGAGACCGGGGCCTTATCATGTATATATTTCCTAAACAACAGCGGTTCACCATAGTCAATCTTCATTGTGAAGATGGTACATCATTTAAAAAAAAAATCTCAGTTACAACCCTAAACTCCCAGGTTAACACAAATTTTGCATAACATGAACTCTGTCTTCAGTTCACCATGTTGTTCGTGTTAGTGGAGTTTAATGTACATTGTTTGTGTTCTATTTAAATAAAAAAAGGGAAAACTTTGTTTAGAAAAGAAATGTCATGGTTTAGGTATCGGAAGTAAAGATGACCTGACCTGCAACCAATGAACACACGTTAGCTCTGTGATATTACAAGAGCAACTGACTAATTATTCTTCTAGCACTATTTCTCAGATGTCTAATTTGTGGTGTCTAGTCCATGAAATCTTCCAGGTGTCCCAATATGGTACAGTTTTTCTCTTCACACTATACATTTTCAAACATTCAGTAATGTAAGTATAACTGGAGCACATTTGTAATTAAGGCTTAGATGTTGTGAACATTTTAAAACTTCTTCACTAGGAAATGATGCACAAATGAATAACTGTGTATGCAAGGAGTGAACTGGAAGGACATAATATTAGATGGGTGTGTACCCAATTCTTAACCCTTTGAAAATAAAGTTTGTTCGCTCGTCTGTTCGTTTATCTTCTATGGTAAAAAATTATGAATGACTCTTTCTGATGCTTGAGAAAGGTTGTCTTCATGTTGCAGTCTCAAGCGAACAAAGCTAGTGATTGCCCTCACAAAACTTTCTTGGCCAAATACTCATGTTTTTAATGACACAAGAAAATTTTATTTTTTTGTTACATGTGTAAGATAATTTTATTTTCTTGTCAATTAACCTCCATCCCTCTTTCTGGACTGAACCTGAAAGACTGACAAGTGACAAAGTCATTTTTAGAAAGGTGAATCCAGCAAAAGCAAATCTCATACACCTTGTTCAACTAAACAAAAAAAGCTTGTCATACAGTGCAGACCTGATAAGGAGAACTCACTGGGACCCTAGAAATGGTTCTTTTTATCAGAAATTCCTCATAGAAATAAGAGCTCAAGCAAGAAAAACTGCCAGGGGTAAACTGTTCTTCACAAAAGAAATTCGCCATATCCGAGATCGCTTCGTGCGGTCTGCATCTGCACTGTACTGGGTGCCCCTGTAGCAATAAATCAGCCTGCTGTCCTATGTCAGCAGGGATTCATAAGAGATCTTCTGCTACAATGCACCAGCAGTAGTTTTATAAAACAACTTAACTCTTTCACTCCCAGGCACATGTTATTTAACTCCTTATGTCACAAGAAATTCTTAATTTATCTAATACATATTTCTACCTGAAGTAATTAAAACACAAACGCTAGGTGACAGAAAGGGTTAAATCAACTGTAGGTGCATATTTAGTTGGTGTAACAACTGGCTGGGACATCAGTTTAAAGAGATTAAAGCATATGAGCAGAAACCCACAAATGCAAGGCCAGTTGCTCGGCACTGAAAGAGTTAAAGAAATGACACCAACAAAACAGTTTTACAGTCTTTACATTATAGCTATTACATCTTTTATAGGAAAATTCCCTTTAACATATGCTGCATATTTTAAGAATGTTGATCTTTTACACACACCTTACTGAAATACACACACACACACACACACACACACAATGCTAGTTCATGGATCACAGGTGAAAAACACAGCTGTCCTAAGGAAACAGAGAGTAATAGGACTCTATTCACACCACTGGTGATTCGGGAAAACAGGATGAGCACATGAAACTATTACTTTACAAATTTCTTGTCAAATGCAGCACAAAAGTATCTGAACACACATTTCCTATCTCATGGCACTCAGTGTTAGTAACAAATCATTGCACTCGGGGTGGAGGGGATGTGGGTGACTACTGTAGTCACCCAGTTTAAATAATTATAATAAAAGTAATACATGTGTGATAGTCCAGTGCCATGTGTGATACTCCAGTGGCACATGTGTGATCCTTCAGTACTGTATGCTGTACATCACTGAAGTATGTGTAATGCATCAGTTACAATGCACAACACATCACTGACATGTGTCATTTACACAGGTGGTATATGTTTTTGTGATACTACCCTCTGACAGACTACTGGCAGGTGTTACAGACATGTTTTTCACTTGTGACATACATGTGTGTTGCACTGGTGATTTGTGTTTCATACAGATGTGTGATCCACTAAAGCCTATGATTTATACAATACTCCCATGAAACATTATGATACACTGGTGACATGTCAGATATCCCAGTGACATATGTGATACACTAGGTTGGTAATCAGGTAATCACAGTTCCCATGACATATCAAACCCCCCCCCCCCCACACACACACACACACACATAGGAATTTTGTGCCAGAGAAACCACACAGAATGTCTATCACTGTCTCTTGTGAATGCTGAGTCAACATACATAATCACAAGTGAAACACACATATGATAACCAACATGCAATATACCTGTGACATGTGTGAAACAATGGTAAAAGCTGTCAAATACAGATGTATGGTACACCAGGTGACACACATGATTCACCAGCCAACACACATGATTCACCAGCCGAGTCACATGAATAAGTGGTGACACACATATGATAAACACATGTGTCAAATACACATGTGTTATACACCAGCCAACACACATGATTCATCAGCCGAGTCACATACATCACTGGTGACACACACATGATAAACACATGTGATACATCAGTGATATGCCTGACACCTAGTCACCTAGTGACAGGTGTCAAATACACATATTTGCTACACCAGCTGACACATGTGATTCACCAGCCGAGTCACATGAATCACTGGTGACACACATGTTAAACACATGTGACACATCAGTGACATCCCTGACACCTAGTGACAGGTGTCAAATACACGTGATTCACCAGCCAAGTCACATGAATCACTGGTGAAACACATGTTAAAAACATGTGATACATCAGTCCCATGCCTGACACCTAGTGACAGGTGTCAAATACACAAGTTTGATTCCACCGACTGACACACATGATTCACCAGCCGAGTCACATGAATTACCAGTGACACACACACATGATAAACACACGTGCGATACACCAGTGCCCCACACCTGACTTTGAACAAAAATCTTCATTTAGGCAGGGTAGGGTCAAGAACTGCGGCATCGTCTGACACATTTATCACACAGCTGGTGTCCTTCTCTACTTCATAGTACACCGTCCTCACCTCTAGCGTACTCTCAGAGTCAGGAAAAGGCACTTCACTGCTGTCGGACTGAGGAGTATGGCAAGCAGCCGAAGTGCTCTGGCAGTGCTGGCTGACAGCGTCGTCGGACAGTGACCTCTCCTGGACAGCCAGATGTGACGTGACAGTCATTGATTCTGTGGTGGCATTGTCCGGGGTGCTCAGTTCCGTGTTGGAGGGGTCGACACTACTTAGCTCTGTCAGGTCAACGTATGGCACTTCTTTTGTCGCCCTGACAATTTTCTGACATGTAGCATCGTTCAAGTCAATCGAGTCCTGATCATTTTCTCTGTTGAGAATCAAAGAATAAATATAAACTAATTTAAAATAAATATACAATAAATATATATATATATATATATATATATATATATATATATATATATATATATATATATATATATATATATATATATATATATATATGTATAAATATAAAACTGGAGTCCCTGTGGCCTTGGCATCTAGATGCCCGCCTGCAGATCAGAAGATCATGGTTTCGCGTCCTGATGGAGCCAGACGTTTTTTAAAAATGACCTTGACTCCCAGGTCTACCCAGCCTTGAGTGGATACCAGGCGCAGTCCTGGGAAGTAAAGGTGGCCACATTACCCACCAAGGGGCGATTATTCTACAAAAATATAGGTCTAGTCCTATATTCCCAATAAAGGCGTGGAAAAGGGACCGGTACTTTACTTTACTATAAATAAAACTGACTTTTTAACTTAAATATTACAGGAAGATTTTTACAGTACAGTGGACCAAGAAAAGAGGAAAATTAAATTTTTTTTAATGATCTGAATACTGAATCGACTGGTTCAAAGACAGTACCATTTCTTCATCTCTTGACATGTGAATTACTTGACCACATTAAAACGTAACGGAAGGTTAGTGGAAAACAAAAGGCAGGGGTCGACCAGCATGGTGGTGGACACAGGATATCAAGGACACCCTGGGCATGAGAGTTCAGGAGGTGGGAAAATTGGGCAGCCAGGAGATTTATAAGAAATTATGTGGGGAGATGTAATTTTGTAGACTGATGAAAACTTCAGGGACAGATACAATTGTCTTAAAAGAAATTAACCATGCTGCCCTAGGAATGCTAAAATAAAAGAATAAACATAAAAAGTCACTCCCCCCCCCAATTATTCAACAAAGTTTAGTACATAAGTCACTAATAAATATTTTAAAATAAATGTATTTGTCTATATTTAAAAAAAAAAAATTCCTAAAAATATACAGATATACAAAGGAAATAATCAATAAACATAATCAGAGTGAAGCATTTAACAAATACATTCTCTGGGGTTTAAAAAAAATATGTATTGCGTGACTCAAATGACCCATGCTCTTTAAGCTGCAAGTGAAACATCAGTTTGACTTAAAGAAAAGTCACTGAATACTATTTTTTTTTTTAGTAACTATATTAATATCCTGGCCTGCCACATGCTACATGGTGGTAAACTCAGCCAACAGCTTTAACTATATGTCTCATAAATATGTTGGGGATATAGACACATATGTATGGATACAGACCTACACACATGTAGGGTTTAGATTACACACATATGTAGGGATATAGACAAACATGTAGGAATGTAGACAAACATGTAGGGATGTAGACAAACATGTAGGAATGTAGACAAACATGTAGGGATGTAGACAAACATGTAGGAATGTAGACAAACATGTAGGGATGTAGACAAACATGTAGGGATGTATGTACACAATGTAGATGTACAAACATGTAGGGATGTAGACAAACACATGTAGGGATGTACACACATGTGTAGGGAGTACAAGATGTGGATACATGTGCAGGGATGTACAGATGTAGACACATATGTAGGGATGTACACACATATGTAAGGATGTAGACAAAAATGCAGGGATGTGGACTCATGTGCAGGGATGTACAGATGTAGACACACATTTAGGGATGTAAACACACGAGGATCTCATAAGAATGGGGAGGGGATGATATGTACAAAATATGGTATATATGACAAAACTGTGATGATACATGAGGATGCAGTAGAGGATGTACACAAAGATGTAAATGTGGCATGTACACAACAAGTGTGGTAATGTAAGCACAAAGAACACATACAACTCTACACAACCAAACCTGTTATATATTGCTATTGCAATGTTTGCTGGGTGGGGGATTGGCAATGGCACCTCTAGCTTATCCAACTCTAGGGGTTGCCCGGCTATCTTCCTTGCACAACCTTGTGACCTGTGTCATCAAAGTGAATAAACAAAGATAACAAATATTTCCAAGGGACGATGTAAACACATAATTCTGTGACAGGTAAAAAAAAATTGGGGCAGGATCTGGGGATGGGGGGGGGGGGGGGGATGTAAGAAGTGGGCTGCAGGGGCATGTAGAGGTTGCAACTTCTCTCAGATAGATGGGAAAAGCTGTACACGTAAATCAAGACCATGGGTATATACTGGGACAACAAACTGGCTAACGAATGTGCACATACGGGCTCCAACAGGCTTAGGCCGGCATGTTGTAATCGCCTACACGAATGTAGAGGATGTACACAAAGATGTAAATCATGTACACAGAGACTATTTGTGTCTTGGTTAAATAAACTATGAAGCTTTTACAATATTTTGCTGCGCCCATGTGAAGAGGTCGTGGCTCTCCCGGGCTCCAGAGCTCACAGTTTGAGAACCACTGGACTAACTAGTAGTTGATGAGTGCTGTGGTTACAACAATGTCTTCACTAGCCAGGACTAGCTGGTACCTGTTTTAGGATGGGTCGATCTAGCAGCATTAGGTTAACTATAAAAACATGCACCCACAAGGTTTCAAACCCAAGATATTTGAGATGATGGGCACATATGAACAACTGCATTAATAGAGGCTCCCTCAGTATTCTGTAATAGACAAAAAGGAAGCTTATGGATAGTAATGACAATTAAATGATAAAACAAAATTTGGCAGTAAAGTGTTAGCAAGGTGCTATACAAATTTCTTCTCTTCCCACAGCTTTGGGTTGAAATGCTCCTTAAAGCAAGATTTGTTTGTGACCATGTGGCTTGTGTTGTGAACTGCATTTTCTTACAATGTGCACTGTTTGCTGGTTTCCCAAATGTGCCCGTCCAATCAATAGGGTGATTAGGCAGGTATACTGTGTTTTTTTTTTTTTTAAATTGTGGCAAGTTTTTGCTTCTGACAATTGTTAACTGTTGCATTTCCTCCATAAGTAGATTGAAAGGATATAGTTCCATGTTAAGCTGTTGGGTTCAGTGCACAGCTTGACACTGTGAGCTGTGGATTTCGTTTAGAATACAAACACAGTTTGTATTGTGAACTGCAGATTTAGAAAATGGTGGGCAGTTTGTTGCCAGAGAACTGGTGGTACCTTAACTGCGTGGGCAACTATTGATTTATTGTAACTGCTGCTTCCACTGATGAGAAACTGCACATCTAGTGTCAGACTGTTTGTGTTAGCACTTCTGATAGCTGCCTTATGCGTTTAATGAGTGTGAATACTACTGACCGTGCTGAGACTGTAGTCTGTGTCAATTTTTTTTCCCCACAAGGGCCAGTAATAATCTTTCAATGTATTTGAACAAAGAAGACATAAACAGTATATCACAGAATTTATTTCCCGGTATATTTCGCTGCATCTGAGAAACAGCAACATATTCCAGGCTAAGTTGTGCAATCTACAGTGTGCCCCACAAGTTTCCATACACAAGGAAAAAACATATCACCAATGCCATCACAAGCATAACTTGAGCTGTACTTGTACATGTTTATCAGCAGTGGAGAGCATGCACCGAATTGTGTTTTTAAAACGACAGTACTTTTCCTGTGTATGGAAAGTTACAAAACTTATGGTTGCAGAGATAATATCCAGACAGACCTATAAACACTTGGTGTCACCAATTGGAAGAAGGCCAAGTACAGAGAAGAATGGAGGCAGGTGATATTTGCAGCAATTAACCTCATGGGATCGGAATGCTGAAGAAAAAGAGAAGAAGAATGGAAACAAATGGAACACCCTGTATTGTTTGTGTTTTCTTTGTTCACATTAAAAAAAATGTTCATATAATAATTTATACTCTTTTATTTATTTATATTTATTTAATACAATAATATCAGAATCAGTCATCTAAAACTTGTATACAATCATCACCTGGGAGTTGATGTTGAGAGGGAACCGATGTTCTGTTTTTTCCTTGGATCAAAGTAGGTAACATCAAGGTATGGTGCTTGAATACTTACATCACCTATTTTTACACAACAGAAAACAAGTTAACAGTATTCAAGAAAAAAACAATAATCAGCATGGGAAGCACAGGAAGAGAGATAGAGAGAGAGAGAGAGATGTAAATGGAAAGTTAAAACAAATGGGCAACAAATGACAGTGTAAACAATGACAACTTTCCCCTGATAAAATGCGGTGACTTCAGTAACATGTATACAATTCAGACCAGCCCTGGAAAATGTCATGTGTTCAATGTAATTCTCCCATTTATTATTATTCAGTTTGTTTGTTTGTGTATCTAAATACTGCAATGAAGTCATTTTAGAGCAGTTAATTTGTGTGCGTTGTGTTTTGTTTCCCATCATTGTTCTGCTGAGGAAGGCTTCTTCTTCTTCTTTTCTCGTCTCACTGATACCAGGTTGTATGTAGCCCAATGTTGTGGTTTTCTGTATCTGTCTTGCGCTTCTCAGCTTTTGTGATGGATTTGTTCATCTTTTGCAGGTTTACGCCGTTTATCCATCTCTTTCTTGGTCTTCTTCTTGCCTTCCTCCAAAATGTTCTGCTGTATAGTCTCATATGCAGTCTGGTCTGGCTGTATTCTCACTGGATGGTTGAACCCTTTCATTCTTTGTCTGTCAATATAATTCAGACATGGTCTTATTCTGACTTTCTCTCTAATGCTGTTATTCGTAGCCCTGTCTCTTCTTGTGTTGCTAGTGACCCTGTGGAGACAGCGGATTTCACATGTAGTTATTTTCTGTTCTAGTGCCCTATTAACTGTCCATGTTGGGCACTGATAACGTGAAGTAGGGATGCTGATGAAGGCTAAATTGCTGCAAAGTTTTTCATCCATTCTAACTGGATCTGTAAAGCTGACATTTACTTTAAGTTTTTCCAATATTTGTTTCAAATTTTACCCCTGTGTTATCAGGGCTGAAAAGGGAAACACAGAAAAACAACACCATGCATGTCATAAGATGCATCTAAGAAAAGTTGGCCACAGAATGGCTCCCTCATTCTGCAGGAAAATTTAGCTGCAAAATAAAACAAATTACTGAAACTAGTGGCAGCCTTAACAATATAAGTGAACTCTTTTGCTTTATGTAAACAAAAAGAACATAATGTAAATTTGAAATTGCCATGGTAGTCATGTGGCTGATCTTTAATTTTTGGCGGAGAGGTATACAGAGCAACTAGACAATATGGTCTGCGCATTTCAGTGAACAGGATTCTTTTTATGCTTCATTATATGTTAATTCATCTCTGTAGTGATGAATCTGATAAAATAAGCAAAATATTCCAAGTAATAAATTGTGCAATGTATTGTTTGCGTCCATATTACGTAGACAATTTATTAACAAGTCTACAAGTTGGTTAAGGGTCTATTCTTCTTTGGGAGATAAAAAGTCAAAGAAAAAAAGAACAAGAATGTCAACTTCACAAAATTATTACATGTAAAGGAGCCTTTACATATCATTGGTGGACTGGGCGTATGGTTTTGGATGGATATTTTTTAAATAAACCAACAGGCATAGGATGGGTGTTTTTAAAATCATGATGGTCGTGGAGTTCAAATAATACAACTGTCAGTGTGGGTTCGGGGGATCCCATTTTGTAGGAAACAGAAGAGATCCACTGCCCCATTATAAGCAAGTTGTATAAGTAACTAAGTTTGCTGAAATCAGATGTGCTGGGGGCCCTCCTAAGGCATAAATATCACAGCCTAGCTAAACCACAACACAAAGTGCCACCTGGCCTTTTATCGGCAAACACAGAACAAGAAATAGAATAACTATGAGACAAAAGGATCACAATGAAATTCATCATCTGCTTAAATCAATGCTAATTACTGGCATTATGAAGGCTAATAAACTACAATGGTTGGGACATAAAGACAGAATGTCAGATAAAAGAAAGATTTAAAGAAAAAAAAAACTGCGTCCACAAAAGAATTGAAAGGGAGTAAAACATTAGGCAGGGCAAGAAGATGATGGAGAGATAATATACAGACTTACAAAGACCTGAAGTCACTAAATGGGAAAAAAAAAAAGACCAATAACACAGATGAATGGAGGCTTGTGTTATCTTCAGCAATGAATCTCAAAGGTTTTAAATGCTGAAAAGGAATGAGAAATGAGACAGAATAAGTTACTTTACGACCAGGATATAATGGATTAAAATAAAAGAAATACAGAAAACAAGTTAAGAAATATATATGACAAGGATCTTCTTAAAATAAAGTCCATGCTGTTTGCCACTGGTAATCATGTCTATCCACAACCTTCTGTCTCATGTACTTTCAATCAATTCTGACACAGATGATCCACCATGCCATGATGTCAAACTGTCCAGCATCCTTATTCTAGGTATCCCTCTGACTCTCTTCCCCTCCAGCTTTCATACTGGCACAATGTACTCCAGTTTTCCTCTTCTCATGACAAGGTCACAGAATGTAGATTGATTCTTTCGGCTGTGGGCTATCAGTTCTCTTTGTCTGTCAGTTTCTTTCAAGACATCTTTTTTGTCCATCCAGGGTATTCTCCTCAGTCATTTATAAAACCACAAAACTGCAGCTTCTTAAGAATTTTTCCTAATCTTCCAACTGTCCATGATTCACTTTTGTATATCAGGACAGGAATTATATATCTTCAAGAGTGATCTTTCTTGTCTCAAATGACAAAGAAATATTGCACAGAATATTTTTCATTTGGTAAAATGCTGCCGTAGCTTGAGCTATTCTACATTTAACTTCTCTAATACATCTTCCATCTAATATTACCAGGGTATCCAAATACTTAAACATATCAACTTGCCTGAGGATTATCTCATTTACTTTGATGTTGCATTTTAGATGGTCATTTTCTTTTATAATAGCCATTACTTCTGTTTTTCTACTGTTCAAATTAAGATCCTGGCTCTGCCTGTATTACAATTATGTCCATCATTTCTTGCAGATGTGTTTCATTTCAGCGATCAAAACTATTTCATCAGCATATCGCAGGTTGTTAACAATATGCCCACCAAGCGATATTCCTGACACATCATGTGTGGTAAAGACAAACATAATGTTGGCTGCCTTTACCTCCTAGAATATTTCTTTAGACCTGGTCGACCTGGCAGTCCAGATATAAAAAATTCATCCTGATATGAATTTGAAGCCTAGACCTTCTGACTGGCAGATAAAGGTCTAGCCATAAAAGAAACATATACAGTAATATGCAAATGCACAGAGAGTTTCCTGGCTGTGATTAGTAAGGACTATCATCAAAGCACTCTGGACAGATCCACAGGTGCTTTAATATACTAATCAAAAGCGCCACAATCGTAAAATGACTGATGACGCCTCTGCTGTACTCGTTAATCCCTTTGATGTTGATTTTATGCAGCTCCTGGTTGCATCCTCATGTCCATCAGACTAGACAGAGAAATGGATTCATGCCCTTTGCCATATTCATCTTCACAGTAAGTGTTGCAAATGACACTGATAACATTCCTTCTATTCAGTATCAGACCAACCAATCAAAGCGACTTTAAGATAAGTCTCTATGCTCGCTGCCTTGAATACCCCCATAACCTGGCACAAAGATAAAGGTTAGGTCAGGAGGGGAAGTGTGTGGTTTCCAGGCATGTTGTCTGCCTTGAATACCCCCATGACCTGGCACAAAGATAAAGGTTAGGTCAGGAGGGGAAGTGTTTGGTCTCGAGGCATGTTGTCTGCCTCGAGTGCTAGAGGTTGCAGGTTCAATCCCTAGTAATGGCTGGGATTTTTTCACATGGACTTGGACTTATAGTAATTCTCCCTGGTCTCTGAGTAGTGAGATCGGACGCTCGCGTAAATTGTTGCGCCTGTTAAAAATCTCTTGGCAGTTGGAAAGAGTAGCCTAACAGTGCTGCCTGGGCAAAATCTGGAGTTAAAAATCAACCCAAAGAATTTCAGGATCCTCGCCGGTGCTACAGAGCCTGTGCACTGTGCTGAGCTTCTTTGGAATCAGACTTGAGTTAAAAGAAGAATGGAGCACTTATGGGTTACTACTCGTGTGCCATGATGTTGATCCGTTGTTCAAACCTCAATTACAAAGTACTTAGTGTTATAATCCATTCTTACCTGATGACCCCAGCCAGGATTTTCTTAAGAATATTCACTGAGTCACTAAGTACACCTGGCAGTGAAAGAGCCCAGTATCATCAAGGCCAGTGCGTGGACAGTACATACCTTCAGGTGTGTGTAGCTCCACCACCAAATCCAAATCATCATGGAAGTTGGCAGATGACAGCATTTCAGTGTAACGCTTAATGTTGAGATGCTTCACCTGCAACATGACATGTATGTGAAGGTCAAACATTCGTTAAAATTACTTGTAACATTCCTGACAAAAGGACCCTGCTCAGATCACAACCATCAGGCACATGGTGCAAGAGCCATATTTTATAGACCACCTGACATCTGATGGGTGATATGGACAAAATAATGCTAGCTGCCTTTGCTTCCTAAATTATTTCCTGGTACCCATTTGAGATTGGGTAGTCCTGGAGCCTAGATCATTTCTTTAAAAAAATATATATATATGGATTCAAACCATAGACCTTCTGACTATGACAGTTTCTAACCTTTTTCTTCTTCACGTTCACCAGCTGTAAACTCCGGCAGAAAGTTCTGGTTATTCGTCCACTTCTGAACTCTAGCCCTGTTCCAGAAACTGAGTGTTTCGTGCACAATCATTTCACAGGTCTGACTCATCTGCATGCAGACTGTTAGTTCCTCGCCTCTCAGGCAGATTTACTCCGACTTTAAAGGAAACTCCCAATTAGTCAACTCTTATGACATGCTTTTGGGCAGGCAGTGGGTCTATTTTTGTTATCCCCTAAATGGGGCCCTGGAACCCACACGGAGAGCTTCTAACCTTGTATGGTACTTTATTGTTTACAGCTTTTTGTCTTTCCAAAGGGCAGTGTTGTATTTTGCTATAGGAGCCTCACTTCCATGATCCTTGCCCCTCACAGAGGCTGATGTAACCATTCTAGGCGCCCTCATTTTAACTTCTTTCAGAGCTAAATAGAGAACAAGCCAACTCACAAATCATCTCCACTGCACAAAGCCCGAGCAGTGCTGTGCAGATAATGTGCTGTTTATGCGGCATGAATCCACTCTGAGCCTGCCTTGTTTACTTCACAGGAAAGGTAACAGAGAGAGATAGAGAGAGAGAAAGAGAGAGATAAAGAGAGAGAGAGAGAGAGAGAGAGAGAGAGAGAGAGAGAGAGAGAGAGACTGGTAGAAGCTCCTTCTGTGTGAACTGTAGTGGGGGGGGGGGGGGATAAAATATTGGAGACAAATAAGATCCCATCTTCAATGTGAGATGGCACTGAATGATGATGATGATGATAAATCAAACACAATGGTCAGTTCTATTAAACTAATGTAGCCTGAAGTGAGAAGATCACAGGCTAACATAAACATTGAAACAGCCAAACAGACAATACCTTCAGCTGAAAATAGTTATCTGTTTCCTCTAAAGGGACCAGAAATGCTGGAGTAAAGATTTCCTTCAATTTCTTTGCCGCAAAACCTGCAGAAAATTTTGGTTGCACTCATGTGAATATCCCCAGATAAACTGAAACTCCAATGCTGAGTTTGATAACTCCCATGCTGACCCAGCCTAGAATGGGTACCAACTGATGTCTGGAGAAGTTACAGTGGCCAAATAGATGTGACCAGATCACCCACCTTTACTGGTCTATGAAATATAGGTCTAGAATTAAATGCCTCACATATCAGAGATATGAAAAGGGTCTTTCACTTCCAAGATTTGCCCCTGATCACAGAACCTATCTTCTGCACATCTCATCATCATCAAGTGCCTTGCCAACTGGCGTGGGCGATCATGCCTCTCCATAATCTGCAATCTGCAACTACTTGTATCAGTACGTGTGTTGACACCCCTCCATGACATGACAAAAGACTGTCAAGAATCTTTCTCCGCTGTCTTTCTCTGTTTCTTTTTCCACAGCCAGTAGTTACACTATGTTTCATTTTCCCTCTTCTCATAACATGACCAAAAAAAAGATTGTCTCTTTCTGATGTTTGTGATAATTTGTCTTCGAGCATTTGCCTGTTTCAAAACATCTATGTTGCTTTTTGTTTAGCTGTCCAAGGAATTTTAAAGATTCTTTTATCAAACCACATCTCCTCGGCCTAAGATATTGTTCAGCTTGTTTATTAATTGTCTAGGCTTCACAGCTGTATGTTAAAACTGGCTCTATATAGCATGAGATAATTCTTTTCCTAACCTCAAATGACACACATCTATTCAAGCTATGTGGGTTTTGGGGTCCTGTTGTGGAGAATAAATAAGAGACCCGCTGCCTCCCTAACAATCATGATGAAAAAGTCAAGGGGTGTTTCCTCCGAAGTCAAGTGCATCTGCTTGAAGAGAGGAACCAACAGTCTGCATACAAATGAAGCACAGATCTGTAAATCAGATGTGCATGCAAAGCTGAAGTTCTGGAGCAAGACCGGAGTCCAGATGTGGATGAACAATTAGAACTTTCTGCAAGGAGTGTACAGTTGGTGATCGCCAAGAAGAAGAAGAATAACAACCTATGCTACCTTAAACTGTCAAGCTATAAAATATACTCATTTAGTAAACTTCACTGTAAAGTTGGTCTGTTGTGATTTACATCTATTTTAATATCATTACTTAAACGTTTGAGAGCAGTGGTGGCGTGCCAGCTAGATTCTTCCTCCCCCCCCCCCCCACCCCCTCTCTGTCTTGGATTTAAATGTTCATCAAGTTGGGGTTATGTTCAGTTCTAGATGTTTTGGGGTCATTAAAAGCTTTAGAAAGCTTGGAAACCCAGTCTTACCACCCTCTAAAATGTTGGACTGTCCTGTGACATCATCTGGGGTAGGATATTAATAAAGCACCAAACTTTTTTATCTAACATGTATCAATGTATTTTGTACAGTGCTGATTATAGTATTTTGAAGTAGCTGTTTGTAGCTGTTTGTATGGGCACAATCAAATTACATTATATCACAAATGTTATCCGTGTGGGTTCCGGGGCCCCATTGTCGAGAAAACAATAACAGACCAACTGCCTGCCCAAAAGCATGTTGTCAAAGTCGACTAATTGTGAGCTTTCTCTGAAGTCGGAGTGCATCTGCCTGAGAGGCAAGGAACCAACAGTCTGTATACAAATAAACAAGATCTGTAAAATCGATGCACACGCAAAACTCAGGTCTTGGGACAAAGTACAGGATTAGATGAACAACCAGGTCTATCCACTGGGATTTGCAGCCGGTGAACCCAAACCAATAACAACATCATCATCATATCACGTTCCCTTTATAACTAAATTAATGAACCAAGTAATTATAATTAATTAATGAATTAATGAATTGTGTGGGTTCCAACAAAAAAAGAACAGACCCGCTACCTCCCAAAAAGCAGGTCGTAAAAGTCAGAGTGCATCTGCCACGGAGGCAAGGGACCAAACAGTCACCTTAGAAATTAGCTGGATCCGTAAAATGGACGTGCAAGCAAAAATCAAGTTCTGGAAAAAGACCAAAGAACAAAAGTGGACAAATGACTAGAACTTTCTGCCTGAGTTTAAGCCAATGAAAGCAAAGAAGAAGAAGAAGAAGAAGAAGAAAGAAGTAATAAATAAATGAATGAATGAATGAAGTAACAAACGAATGAATGAATGGAACAAACCTTTCCAATCTCTAAACTCCAAATCCTTAGATTCCCAGAACTGTTCCTCTGTGAGGCCAGAAGGTTTGATGATGTGTTCTGGGTAAAACTCTTCCAAGATCTTGGCTGCGTACACTAAGGTCAACTAAGAAAAGTCAATGATGGAACATGTTAATATCAAACAGAACCATACATAAATGACTGCAGTAATGAAGCAGGTACGTCTATGAATTATATTTTAAAAAATGCATACATGAATTTCTTGGGTAATATTTTATGTGTTTCCAAAACTGGACTGCCAAAACTATAATAACCACTACTGCAGTGCAAGCAAAAGGGGGAGAGGGGGGGGGGGGGTGATCTTTGCACCTGAGGATTTAGAGCCACATGGCTAGTGCTGTCACCACAGACTGTTGTGAACTATCAAGCCAGCCATTCCAAAAAATGGACTAATCAATAAAAACAAATTAAACTCTTGAGTAATGAAGAATGTGTCTAAGAATTCACGCTTAATAGAAACACAACTGGCAGGAAGTGACCTTGGGAGGTAAAAGGTTGAGAAGTTAAAAGTTCAAGGAATACGGTTCAGAGAAGTAAAGTGAACAGTTATTAAATAAAGCTGTGTTGAACAGCTTGTCTGATGGCCAGCGGTCTTTGTTTTGAGTCTGCATTAAGTTGGATTTTTAAAAAAAATTACCTTGGCTCCCAGGTCAATCCAGCCAAAAGTGGCTACCATGTAATGTCCTGGGAAGTAAAAGCGGCTGGTGTGATGCTGACCATGTTGTCCATCGAGTGCAGACTGGTCTGTACAATATGATTTTAGTATCATATGCCAGATGGCCACTAGCCTAAAAAGGGCCATTTCCTCTGTTTGTTTTTGTTAAACTGGGTTGAACATAAAAGCTGCATAAAGATAGAGAACATTAATGTTCTTAGAAAACTGTGGACCAAGAAGAAAAAAAACACACTGATAAACAATTTGAGCATCAAGGAGAACTGGCTCATAAACAGCATCGACTCCTGAAAGCTAAAATATTTTGGCCATGTTAAATGTCATAGTGGCCTGTAGAGAATAGTGATGGAAGGTGCAGTTTCCAGAAAACAAGGCAGAGGTCGACCTCTGCAAACGTGGATACCAGACATTGAAGATACAATGGGTATGAAAGCACACAGGGCTGCAGAACGGACTAGAGAAAGGGAGACTATCAGGTGTGCCATGATGACATAGACAGTCTATAAAGGATCCGATGACATGATGATGATGATGATGCATGTGAAGTTAAAAAGATAGGCATGAGGTGAGCTGCAGGCAATAGCAAGGGATAGGACAACATGGCCTGAGTTGGTTGACCCAATCTGGTAACAAACAAACTAGTCCAAGACCATTTCTAAACTTTTTGGAACTGTCTGGGAAGGGAAAGCGATGAAGAAGACATCTGGCCACATCATCACGCCACATGTTCTGTCCTAGAAAATGTCAAGGTCTAACACTTCAAAAATGGAGGTATCTGATATGAGAATACCTTTACCTTTGCCAAGACTTGCAACAGATGTTTGCTGCTGAAGGAAAATATACAGTTTAGGATTCTCTGACACTAGTCCAGTATCAAGCAGCATCCTGTCCTGAAAGCTGAGGTATTTTGGCCATGTTAAAAATGTCAAGGTGGCCTGGACAGAACGGTTATGGAGGCTAGTTTCTGGAAAACAAGGCAGAAGTAGACTTCTGCGAAGGCGGACATAAGACACTGAAGATGCATCGGCTTTGAAAGCACACAGGGCTAATGAATTGGCTAGAGATAGACTTTTAGGTGAGCCATGATAACCATAATGTTTGTCAACAACCTGATGACTGATGATGATGAAGAGTCCAGTATCAGGTTCGATGCGAAGGCAATGGCGTGAGTCATTAAAGAAGTCCAATGTGCGTGTAGTCACCTTTATTTTCGCTCCGGTATAGGTGGGTGCCGATGGAAATGAAAGAGCTGATAGGCTGGCTGGATCTGCTATCACTACCAACGGTCAACCTCTGGATCATGTTGATAATACTAATACCCTCAGAGAAATGGGAAGGGTGGAGGACTTTGGGGACAGTGAATCAATATCACTCGCCAGAATGATAGACTTGGGAGTTAAGATTGGCATAGAAAAAAACGAGACGCACACCAGGCACATTAGAGGACTTGTTAACCAACATAGGACTGGTACTATTAGCCACAGGATGCTGCAGTTCATACTGAGGGGAGGATCTGAGCCCCTATGGACATTATGCAATTTTAATAACCCAACTAGCTAACTAATTAGTCCAGTATCAACCAGGAATATTAATGTCTACTTACCTTCAGATCACTCTCAGGCAGTTTGATTCTTCTCTGAAGGTCTGGGTTTAATCCTGTGTAAAGCTTCACTTCCCGCCTGGACAGATAACGGATTTTAATTGATTCGATTCACAAATAACATTAACGAAAATATTCACAACAGATGAAAAATATAAAAAAAGCCAAACAAAGCAACTGTTTGCCTTTTTCTCAGCAGGCTCAGACTGTGGATCATTCTCTTCTGACAGGAATAACAACCTTTCTCTCTGAGCTAATTTTTTTTTAAAGACAAGTTCATTATGCTTTAAAAAAAAAATACCCCTGTCCTGCTCTCCTAAAAAGCCTGTCATATAAGTAGACCAATTAGGGGTGTTTCTTCAAATTTGGAGTGCATTGTATAAGAGGCTAATAACCAACAGTATGCATAACCACACAAAAAGCCACAGCTGTAAATTGGACGTGCAAGCAAAACTCTTAAGTTCTGAAACAAGATAAAAGTCCAGAAGTAGACGAGCAATTGGAACCTTCCTAAACAGTCTAGTTGGTGAATGCAAAGAAGATGAAGAAGATCTGTCCTTGATGTTTTCATCAGTCTTCCATAAAACCCCATTGCTGCAGCTTCCACATCACTTGTCACTAACATCCTGAATATTCATGGTTCATTTGCAAATATCAAGTTTGGCTCCATATATCATTTGTCTTTAATATCCTGAATATTCATGGTTCACTTGCAAATATCATGTTTGGCTCCGCATATCATGTGTCACTAATATGCTGAATATTCATGGTTCACTTGCAAATATCATGTTCGGCTCTGTATATAATTTGTCACTAATATCCTGAATATTCATGGTTCACTTGCAAAAATCATGTCTGGCTCCGCATATCATTTGTCACTAATATCCTGGATATTCATGGTTCACTTGCAAATATCATGTTTGACGCTGTTTATCTCGTAAAAACTGTATTTTTTCCACCTCAACTGACAAAGGTAATCTCCTCATCAGCATTTAAACTCAGTATTTCCAGTAATAGCTTTAAGCACACACACAATACAACATTATGTCAATAATCTGTCTTCTTACAGTCCATGCTGTGTAGTGGTGGTAGTCATGTGTATCCCCAACCTTCTGTCTCTTGTAATTTCAATCAACTCTTGACACAGATGATCTTCCATGCCATGATGTCAAATTGTCCAGCATCTTCTCTCTCGGTCTCATCATGCCTCTTTTCCCCTCCAGCAAACCCACTGTCACGATGTACCTCAGTTTTCCCCTTCTTATGACATGATTAAAGAATTTAGATTGTCTACTTCTTATGAGGGCAATCAGTTCTCTTTGCGAGTCAATTTTGTTCAAGCTATAACATTACTCTTTCTTTCAAGATTTAACATTACTCTTTTTTTATCCATCAAGGGCGTTCTCATCAATCGTCTTATAAAACCACATCTCCGCCGGAAATGGTCAACAATTGTATTTAATATAAAATGATTCCCGTGTGGATTCTGGGGCCACAATTTTGGGGGGGGGGGGGGGGAAAGAACAGACCCACTACCCCACTAACAAGCATGTCATAAAAAGGTAACCAATTAAAAAAAGACGGAAATTGGATGTGTTGGTTCAAAAGACGCACATTCTGCAGCCTAGCTGTAAACTACAACACAGTGTACCGACTACCCTTTTAAGGGGAATGCAGAAGAAAAAGACATTCAGTACACTTCACACACAGACAATGATGTGCACTTTAAACTATAACACAATGTACTAACACCACTTTTAAGGTAAACCCAGAGGAAGAGATAAGATAAGACATTCAGTACACTTTACACACAGACAATGATGTGCACTGTAAACTACAACATAATGTACTAACTACCCTTTTAATGTAAACCCAGAGGAAGAGATAAGATGAGACATTCAGTACACTTTACACACAGACAATGATGTGCACTGTAAACTACAACATAATGTACTAACTACCCTTTTAATGTAAACCCAGAGGAAGAGATAGGATGAGACATTCAGTACACTTTACACACAGACAATGATGTGCACATGCAGCTTACTGTGAAACTTTTGCATTGAGAATCTTTACATATTCAGCTGTCTCCTGGCACAAATCTAGATACACCCCTCTCTCACTCAGTGCTGCTGAGAATGGTTTGAAACACTGCTCCACTAATTTCCTGTCAAAATATATTTCAAAATTGTATTAATAACCCGGCTGACATTACAAAACATTCCTTACACACACACAACATATCTCCACTGATAGGTTTCCTTGTCAACGACACTCAATTTTCTACCTTGTCTTCAACACAGGGGGAGCTGCTGTGGTGTAGTGGTGACATGCTCGCCTGCAGATTGGAAGGTGAGGGGTTTAGGTCTTGAGGAAGCCAGACTTTTTCCAAAAACCACCTTGGCTCCCAAGCTGACCCAGCCTTAAATAGGTACCAGGTAAACTGCTAGTAAGTAAAAGTGGCTGGAGCAACACTTACCACCTCACCCACCAAGTGCCAACAGGTTTAGCCCTATATGCCCTATATGCCCAATACGCCTAAAGGTGTGGAAAGGGGTCCTTTACTTCAACACTGGATTCGTCTTATTAATTAAATTAATTAAACTACTGTTTAATTTATGTATAAATCTACTCGGTAACAATGGTGAGCATCGACCAGGCATGGCTGGCCTCCCAAAAACAGGAATTTCTATTTAGCTGTACAGCCTTATCTGGAGTTTTGACCCCCCCCCCCCCCCCCCACACACACACACAATAAGCATATCATAAAAGGTGATTAATTAGGTATTTACTGAAATCAGATGTGTTGGGCCATAAGACACAGATAACAACCTTGCTGTAAACCACACAACCTACCAGAGCTAACTTTAAACAAAAAAAATTAAATCCATGAATGGAGAAAATTGAAAAAGATGATAGTGCTGATCAGCTAACTTACTGGTAAGTTTCTATAGGCTCTTCAATGATGGCCAGCTGCTGTTTCTTCCACGTATCTAGCTCGTCATGCTCTATTCTTGCTTCCAATGCGGCCAGTGCTTGCTCAGGATGGATCTAAAGAGGAGGAAAGCATTGCCATTTTACTGAACGCAGAATGAATCAAAACATCATCATCGAGTGCCTTGTTGACTGGCGATCATGCCTCTCAAAACTCTGTGGTTTGCATCTGCGTGTATTACTTCATGTGCTGATACCTCTCTATGCCATGACAAAAGACTGTCAAGAATCTTCTCACGCTGTCTTCCACTGTTTCTCTTTCTACAGATATTTCCAGTGGTCACAACATGTTTCATTTTTCCTCTTCTCATAACATGACCCAAAAATGATGATTGTCTCTTTCTGATGTTTGTGAAAAGTTGTCTTCAAGCACTGGCCTCTTTCAAAACATCTGGGTTGCTTTTCTGAGATGTCTAAGGGATTCTAAGGATTCTTTAGTAAAACCACACCTCTGCGGCCTCAAGATATTGTTGAGTTTGTTTATTAATTGTCCAAGATTCACTGCCATCTGTTAAAACTGGCTCAATACAGCAGGCAATAATTCTGTTCCTAACCTCCAATGACAAGGATTTATTGCACAAAATGTTCTTCATTTCGTAAAATGCAGTTTTGGCCTGTCCTATTGAATTCTTGATCTCTGTGATTCATCTTCCATCGGATGTTATCCATGTGCCTAGATACTTAAATTTCGGTACTTGTCCTAAAATAATGCCTTTGACTTTTATTATACATTTAGGCACTATTCTTTTCTTGGAAATCACCATTACTTCTGTTTTTCCATTATTCTGAGGCCCTTTTTATCACTTTTTACCACCACCGTATCTAGCAATTCTTGTAGTTCTTTCTGACTTGTCGCTATTAAGACAGTGTCATTAGCATAATGCAGGTTGTTCATGTTATGCCCACCAAACACAATTACTTGCATATCCATGATAGCTCTCATTATATATTCACTGTATAATGCAAACAAATCGGGTGATAGTACGCATCCTTGTCTTACTCCCCTCTTTATGCTCTGAAATGTTCCCAACTGGTTATCAATTCTTATAGCCGCTATTTGCTGCCATTACATGTTATTTATAATTCCTAAATCTTTTCCATCTATGTTTTTCCAATAGTTTGATTATTTCTTCATGTTTCACACAATTTAAAAGAGCATACTTTAAAAGAAAAACAGAAGTGTTAAAGTGAACATTATCTAATCCAGTATTATATTTAATACTTAAAGGAGGAAACAATGTCTTTTGAGGTGACAATGTTGTCTGAAGATTTACACCTTTAACAAGGTGATGGCATAGTTTAGAGTGTCCATAAAATATACTAATTCCTTGAGGTGATGGTGTCAGTAAGAGTGAGAATGAAGTATATTCAGTGTGAATAAAGTATACTTCTTAAGCTTAATGGCAGAAGTGGTTTATGACGATGATGACGACAGGCAATCTAGATCACCAGCACTTTGATATCAGTTACTCTACCTGAAAGAAGTAATTGGAAGCTAGCCCAGGTCCTGCTATTCTTCGTGCCACAAAACCATCACTCGAAGGTACCCGGCCACGATTCTTGATGACGATGTGAAACATGCATGCATCCCAGAAGCTTCTTAGGCAGCTGCTGCAAATTCCATCTGAAATGAACCAATGTAGCTAAGGTTGAAAAATGTTGTTTAAAAGTAAACGAATCCTGTAACAGCATTAGTAAGTTGTCTATCCTTTACAGAACACTGCAGAAACAACCCCAGCATTCCTGGCTGTTTGTGATTTCACTAGGTGATGTTTACATTCAAGAGTTTGCCACTGCTTTCTGCATGGGTGGCTCTCAACACTACTGACAAAACCAATGCAAGGCGGTCTGCTAAACTGCCCCGCAGAGGATTCGAACTCTGCACCTCAGAATTACGAAGCGTGTTCAAAATGCCTAAGCCCCAGATGCAAGACATCATCTACTTCAGAAAGATTTCACAGCTAAAGCCAAAGGGAAAAAAATATTTTAAAAAATTCGACCTGCAAGACTGCACCTCAAAGACTGACATCCCAGTGACTCAAAGAAGAGTCGCCAGTGGGATGCAAATGAAAAAGAGGCAGATCTCAGAAACCCTGTTCAACCATATTTCATTCATTCATTTATTGTCCTGTTGTGCCATTATTTGTCATACAGGGCTCACAGATTATTCCTCCATTCCTCCTGTGCAATCACTTCGACATCATGGATGGATTCCAGACCAGCACTTTTGGCTTCTCTCTTCCACATTCATCTAATGGTTTCTCTTGGACGTTCTTGTTTTCTCAATCCCTCTGTTTCCCACTTCGTTGGCTGTTCAGTGATTCTCTGTCTGTCTCTTCTAAGGATGTGTCCAATACAGCACTACCTTCTTTGTCGTATTACTTGATACTATTGGATGCCCATACATTTTGCTTATCAACTATATTCCAAGTTAAACAATATAAAACAGTTATCTTGAAGCATTCAATGATTACGAATAAACCTGCTTTCCAGTGTCAGTGGGTACAGCCAGCCAAAGTGAGCAAGGGAAACAAAAATCACAATTAGAAACAAAATATACTTGTTATTATTATAACAGTGCTGCATATAAAAATATTTATCATCACCATGATGCAGGTAGTTTGTACAATGTCAATCTCCCTGAAAATGTCACTCCCACTGGAAAGAATCTGCTTCTTTCACCAGTTCTCCTGCCTTAAGCATGATCAAGACCATGATGTCCCTAAGTATTTCTTTAACATCTGTCATGACCAGTGTCTGGTAATAAATAATGTGGCTGTGTCCCCTGGTTTCCCACTATCTAATTATCCACAGAATTTTGACAAAGCAACAAAATGTTATGACATATTCTATGCAATCCATTACAGAAGTCTAAGTTGTGAATGACTGGTAAAATGCTGGATTTTAAAAAAATAGTGTTCGTCTAGAAAGAGACATTTATACTTTTTACATGTTTTTAAAAAATCCTTTTACCATGCCTTGACATTTTTTTGCATTAAAAGTTCATGAAACTGGTACTGATTTAAAAAAAACTGAACAAACAATTACAACTTCAACTTATTCAAAACAGAATAAATGTCTGAACATGCAGAAATCTGGGAAAATCTGTAACTTGTCTTTAAAACGGTATTTACAGCCCAGATTGACCATTTTACGGCAATGTAGAACAGACACTGGGTGTGCAGAGGCAGTCTTCAGCTGAATGGCCTGTGCAGGCGCAGTGAACAACAGTATAGGTTAGGTTTTTGCGTGTGATCCTGACACACAACAAAGAATTGCCCTTACTAAGGTTTGAAAACTTAGCTTTTCCGAAGAAGAGCCCTGCATTCTCGTCACTCAGCCAGCTATTCCTAAGTCATCTCAGCAACAAATCTGCACAAAGTGAATGAGCCAAACACAACAGGAAAGAGCACAAGAAAAAAGAAACATTTGAAATGGCATATCAAAAGAACAGGACATCTGTCTGCTCAAGTGTCAAGAACATTTTTTAAAGTACATATAGTTTGTCTATTGCTCTGTAAACCAGCTGGTGGTGCAGAACTGATGTGTGTTAAAGCAGATGTCTTCTTCTTTTTCTTCACGTTCACCAGCTGTAAACTCTGGCGGAAGGTTCTGGTTGCTCGTCCACTACTGAACTGCAGTCCTGCTCCAGAACCTGAGTGTTGCGTGTGCATCAGTTTTACAGATCTCATTCTCTTGAATACAGACTGTTGGTTCCTTGCCTCTCCGGCAGATGCACTCCGACTTCAAAGGAAGCTTCCCAATTAGTCGACTCTTACGACATGCTTTTGGGGAGGCAGTGGGTCTATTCTTGTTTTCCCCACAATGGGGCCCCGGAACCCACACGGGGGTTAAAGCAGATGTGATTAAAGTCCTTTTGGAGCACATGAACAAAATGGAAGAGAAAACAGATCATCACGGTCTAATAAGAATGGTGCAAAATGGATTAATCACACTACCTGGCTAACTTAATTTAGAGCAAAGGCTTAGCAAACACATAATAAGACCTAAACACAGGTCAATATGGTGAATAGGCAGGCCACATGTTTTAATCCTAGCAAATTTGTTGCTTCTGTCCATAGTTAGCTACTGCATTTCTCCCTACATGTGGACTTAAAGTATATAGTCCATTACCCAGCTACTGAGCTGAGTGCATGGTGTGACACTGCCAGCTGTAAAAGTCATTTAGAATACTTTCTGACTGTGCCAGAGGTAGTTTGTGCTACACATTTCACATTCAGAAAATGCTGAGTGGCCTGTTGCCACAGATCTGCTGGTACCGACAGGTACCCAATTAACAGAGTGTGCAACTGCTGATTTGTTGTAATTGCAACTTTGGTTTCTATTTCTTTAAAAGGGAAAGTGATGGGCATTCTGTGTGGCTTCCTCTAGAAGGAATGAAGCGATTATGAGGGACCTTTTTGCCATGAAACTGAAACTGTGATTAACCGACCTTAACTAGCACCATTTCTAATGTAACTCCATGCTGGCTGCTGATGTATGTATGTATGTAAATTGTACCCCACCAGGACACCACACAAAGCAATAAACATCCGATGACACAAAGTGCAACCATGCAGATGAGGATTACCTGTGAAAAAACCCTGTTCAGCCATTAGGTCATATTTATGGCCGGCTGTATTTAGGGCCCCCAGCAAAAGCCAGGGTGGGGTTTAAAATAACGAAAAATTGCATCCCACATGGGGACACAGTGGTACTATGACTGGCTGGCTGCTGATTATAGGGGATGAATGCTTATGGAAATACCTTGAGTGTTGCGATGTCAGTTCTTAACTAAATTCTACCGCTTCATGTGCATGCTAATTTCTACTTTAATGTTTTAAGTATCAAGTAACACTTCATCCTTCAAACGGGAGTCTTCATTGTTCATGGTATGTATGATTTTGAGCTCAGCAGCAGAGCAATCTTAACAGCATTACGGGGCCCCTGTTTAAGTCTGTGTCCTGGGGCCCCCTATGATAAAGACAACCACTCACAGGAATGAAATGTAAATGGTAAAGTCACTTGAGATTAGCACTGAGCCACTTTGCTCATGGGGGCCCCCGGCAAGGGCCCCGCTAGCCCAAGCATTCAGACGACACTGATCCTCAGTTGAGTAATGTATTCTTTAAAAAAAAAACTAACTTCCTTGTCTGTGTCTTATTCTCGGAATGTCAATGCGTGTGGATTTATTAATCTTAGTGATTAGTGAGGACCACTATCTCACCACTTTGGACAGATCCGTGTTTTAATTGTAGAAAATACTGAAGTTTCAACAACAATAAACACTCTGATAAACAGCAAAAGAAGCTTAAAAAAAAAAAGGAAAGAAAAAAAAACCACTAATGGCAAAATGAATACTTCAAAAATACAAAATAACCAATACTCTACTGAACAACTATTCACCAGAGCTGGTGACCAGGTATCTACACTTACTGTGGAGAGATTAAAAATGAATTTACATGCACATTTATTTTTAAAAAACAATTACTGATATACAAGCTGCATCTCTTACCCTTGGTCTTGGTTTTGAATTGAGTATAATACACAATAATATAATTCTTTAGATGATCAAAACTGGCACACTCTGCCTAGAATAGGTCGCAGCATCCAGAAGTGTGAAGAAACTATCTCGGCTGTACACTGCAGGACACGCCGGGGTGAAAAGAAATGAGAGAGCCGACAGACTGGTCATGTCTGCAGTGGTTAGTAGAGGAAGCAGTACGGACATGGCAAACATACTGGATGTGCTGCGTTCCAAAGACAGAGACAAATGAGTCAGTACAGTGAACCACCAGTTGGAAATGTGCCTTAAATAAAGACAAGCATGCGGAATCTGGGTGCGGGGCAAAGAAAGGAGATATGTGGCTCAACTTCTGCTGGGTATGGTGAGCATGAAGACTGAGAGAGAATAGAGCAAAACTGGGTCAGATCGATGTGCTAGGATGTTGATGCGGATAATAAGTAATAAATAATGCTAGAGTAATGGCCATGCTGAATTCGGTATAACAACAAATGCATATAACAGACAAAATGGTCTGAATATGTTGGTACTAGAACTTTCAGAGACCTACAGTGAAGAAATGTAATTAGAACAGAACCAAAAAAAGTTCCAAACCAACCCTCCTTAGTTGTCCCATGATATGTTACAGTGCTACCATTCTTCACTTTTCTTATGGACTCTGATAACACAATACAGTAGTAATCTGATCTTTACTGTGAATTTTGTGTGTATCCCCTAGCTTTTATTAGGTCACAACCATTTATTTCCTTAATGTTATCACTGGATTTAAGAATCAACATCATAGCTTCTGGGCGTTCCCATACATGCTTCGCTTTCTGACCTTAAGCTTATGCCGCAAAGTGTCACAGAGAGGAGTTATACATAGTTCCTGTCTTCTGCTTGTTGCACAGCTTGTGTAATATCATATTGATCTTTCTGTAGTGCCTGTTTTACTCCCTCCACCCATCTCTTATCTTGCAGCCTTCTGTTCTCATGTGGTACGCTCTAGATGCTGGCTGATTTTGTTCCATTCTGACAGATGACCAAAAATGTGATTCTCTGATGTTCTATCAAATCAATCACCCGGTACTGTGCCTACAATTGTTCTTTTTTTTTGGGGGGGGGGGGGGGGGAGAGAGAGAATAGATTCATTGCTCCTTAACAAGCATGAAAATGAAACAACAAAGCAACTAGTTAAGGATTTGATGAAATCGGATGTGTTGAGCCAAAAGGTGACAGATATAACAGTCTAATTGTAAACCTCAATACACTGTGAGAACCACCCTTTTAAGAGTAAAAACAGAAAGAAGATGAAGAATTCACTGATAAAGGCTAGTGGAAATGTTCATTTATAATGGTAAAAGTCTTTTCCCATTCCTTCCCTTCATTGAGTCTCCTAGTCATTGACTGTTGTGTTCATTTTATTTCATGGAAAACATGATGCTGTCACTTACACAGGAAAACAGCAGAAGAAGCCAGCGGACATGCAACAGCACCAATCAGTATAGCCAACAGTGGTTGCAGGCAACCTTGGAGCAACATGTTCCATATAACAGCTTCGAACAGGATGAAGAATTTGTTCTTCTCAGGCCCTGAGACAAATAGGAAGTATAGAAAATTCAGTTTTACAATAAAGTCATTGTTAAATTAATTCTTCCTCAAAAAACACATTACGACATATGTTACAACTGAAATAATGTTAGAATAAGAAATATAAATAACTTGGTTTCAAAACTGTGTAATTTAGAGTTCTATATTTTGTTCTGGCTTTTTTTTCTCCTTCTACATTCATCTTTTAAAGGTCAGCTGACATGATGTGTTGTGGTTTACAGATAGGCTGTGACATCTGCACCTTTAATTAACACATCTGATTTCGGCAAACCTCTAATTAATCACCATTTACGACATGATTGTTAGAGAGGAGGACCCATTCTTTTCCTCCCCTCAAAATAAGGACCCCAGAACCCTCATGATGAGTTCAGGCTTTTAAATGTGGATGGGTTCATGTCAAAATATTCTTTCAACGGGGACATAAAATAACAATTTTACAAACTTATCTATACTATGTACTCACTTGGACAGTCAACATCCCAAATCAGAATGAAGAAAATATGGCTGACAAATGTTGCTATGGGAACCCTGTGAATTAGAATGTACATTAACATTAACTGTTTACGTCCAAGTTAAGCATCACTTTAAGCGGTTATATCCTAAACTTTAGTCTCAGGCAAGCATCACAAACTGGTTATAAACTTCAATCCCAGACAGGTATCACTTTAAGTGGTTATATCCTAAACTTCAGCCCAAGGCAGGTTATATCCTTTGGTTATATCCTAAACTTTGGTCTCAGACATGCACCACTTTAAGTGGTCATATCCTAAACTTTGTTTACATAACATTTAATAATTTTTTAAGGTATAAATGAACGGGAATAATCAATAAGAATGAACTGAGCACTTAAATGACCACAGTACCTTAGAGGTGAATTAAAAAAAAAAAAAGTATACATCTTTCAAGTTGACCAACCTTAAATATGTACCAGGTAAAGTCGTGGGAAGTAAAAGGGGGCTGGCGTGATGTTGACCACATCACTGAGCGCAGAATGGTCTATCAAATACGGTGGAATTCTATACGTCTAAAATGCCTGAAGATGTGGAAAAGGGTCCTTTACTTAACATATGGTGACTCCTACTGTGACCATGAACACTAAAGGTTAAGAGAGAATTATAAAATCAAATATCTAACCCCCCCCCCCCCCCACCCCCACCCCCACCCCTCCAATTTATGACACAGTAAATATAATCATACCTGGTCCTGCTAAACACTGCACAGGCACAAACAGAACCAGTGAAATTAACTAGGCTTCAAAGGGATTCCTCAATGAAGGAATGCCATTAAGCATTTTCTCTGAGATTAGTAATAGATGAAATTGCAATGTTTACAGCAGCTTGGGTCCAGGGGGTTAAAGAAAGAACATGTCCAAATAATAACAACACAGAACAAAGGGAGTTAAAGAAACAACAGAACCAGAATTTGTATTTACTCAGAAGCTCAGCTCTTAACCTGTCTGCAATCCTTTTCTTTTTATTCGATTCCTAATTTTCTTTGTCCATGCAATACAATCCATGGAATCCTGCTCCCACGGATCCACCTCAACATCTGTATCTCTGGGGCATTCTTACGAGCCACCTCTGTGGGACAATACTACCACCCACCTCTCTGGGGCATTCTTCCAAACCACCTCTGTGGGACATTACTACCACCCACCTCTCTGGGGAATTCTTACGAGCCACCTCTGTGGGACATTAGAAAATGGGTAATAAGTTTTTAAAAAATGTATTAGGTGAATGAACAAACTTTGGGTGACTCATGCAGTGGAATCATTGACCTCAATCACTGAGGCTTATAGGAAAGTTTGACACCAAATTACCTTTTAAAAAGCCATTGGGATCAGAAGAAATACTCAAATTACAATTTTTTAGTTACTATATTTGTCTCCTGGCCTATCATACACTGGATAGGCATGCATAAGACCGATTGAATTTAACTATGCTTTTCGTAAACAGGTCACTGCAGACATGAGCATATATAGGCATTAATGGGGATGTGGCACAACCTGAAGTGACTAGATTTAGGCTTCTTTGGTGAAAATGTTAAACTTCATCATAATCATCATCATTTAGTACCTTTGTGCAGAATATAATTTTCCCACAACTGGTGATTTCCAACAGTGTGCATCAATATGTGTTTTGAAAAAAAGCATAAAGACCTTTGTTACAATACTGACATATCATAAATATGATGCTTGACTCATAATTTTGTAGACCAATCATAACAGCCACTTTTACTTTCCAGGACATTACGTGATACCTATTTTAGGCTGGGTCAACCTGGGAGCACAGATCAATTCTTCTTTATCTTCAGCCTTCTGAGCCCTTGAAATTCATGGCTGCAGATATCACCTGCCTCTATCTATCTCTGAGATCTGAGATTGGTCTTCTTTTCCCAGTTAGTGACCCCAAGTGTTCGTGGGTCTTCCTGCATATGATCTCACCACTATCTTCTTGGTCTGCCTCGTAGTCTACTATCTGGGTACAATTATTTTAGTCAAATACTTCTCTTACACTGAGAAATTACAAAAGCTCACCAAATGGGTGTCAGGAGAGCTGCCGCCAGTGATAAAGTGGAAGCGCTGATACACAAGGCAGGAAAAACCAGCACTATCCCTATGCTCCCAAGAGCACCCTTTACCACATAATTCCAAAACCGGTTGAAATGACGGGTCAAACTTTTGCCCAGAAACCCTGAAAGATACCAAGTATATACAATATGACAATTATCTGATCAGATTAGTAATTCTATTATCCGCATTACTTAAATGATGTGTCATCACATTTTTGGCCATAAACCGTGAAAGATACGAAGCATTTACAATGATAATGATCTGAACGGATGAGTAATTTTACTATCTACATTGCTTAAAAGAGGTGTCTAACTTTTGCCCAGAAACGCTGAAAGTTACCAATTAAATTATGATCCTGCTGTGGTATTAATATGTCACATAAGGTTCAATAGTTTTTCATTGCTTACTGAACAGACAGCTCTCGGTATGACTGTTTAAACCAACGCAAGAAAAACCGTCCGCAGTTGGGATCGAACATGATTATTTTTACTAACTAGCATTTTCTAAATTTTTCCTACCACTTACGCTGTAAAATGTCACAAATAAGAATTAGACATAGTTTCCTTTTTTTTACTAGTTGTGCTGCCTTTGCTAATGTCTTATTGCACTTCTGCAGTGTCCTTTTTTTTAATTTTGATGATGCAGCAATAACCACCCACTCAGAGGAGGATCTGCAGTGTTTACTGTCTGCATTTGCTGAGGAATGCTGTGAATCTTGACCAACAGTTAGTAAAAAGAAGACAAAGGTTATGATGAAAGGTGTTAATGACAGACCTACAGTCTACATTGACGGTGAAGAGGTGGAGACAGTAGACCATTTTACCTATCTGGGTTCCACAGTGAATAACAAATTATTGCTGGATCAAGAAATCAATATTAGGTTAGGTAAGGCAGCAATGACACTGAGCAGATTTAAAAAAAATAGTTTGGAAGAACAGAAAGTTCACAATAAAAACAAAACTCTTGTCTATCAAGCATTCTGCTTTATGCCAGTGAAACTTGGTCAACTTATTTGCTAAATAGCTTTCACATGAGATGCCTAAGAAGAATACTTGGCATTAAGTAGCAGGACAAGATCACAAACTCAGATCACAAACTTGGAAAGAGCAGGTAATACAACTGTCTTCTCAATGCTTAGTCTACGAAGGCTCAGGTGGCTGGGTTACACCTGGAGAATGGAGGATGGCAGATTCTCCAAAGACATCCTATGGTGAACTAAAGACAGGTAGAAGATGTAGAGGCTAATTTCTACTATGATATAAAGAAGTATGCAAGCGGGACATGATACAGGTACTGAGGTGGACTCGTGGGAACCAAATGCCATGGACCGTGCTATGTGGAGAGAGCGCATCAGAAAAGGAATGAGAATGAAGAAAGAATTGACTGCTGAAAGGATGAGAGCTGAGCGTCTCAGAAGAAACAGACTAAACACAAATGTTGGCAACAATGGTCCTGAAATCCCATGCTTTAAATGTGGAAGACTTTTCTGAACGCCGGCGGGTCTTGCTAGTCACACTCGCCATCTCCATGGGCTGTGAGACCCATGCCTCCTCATAGCACAATATAACACTTTCGTCTAGAAAGATGGAAGGCCATCCTAACCAGTGTCTCTTTTACTTCCTCCTGGCTGATTAACTGGCTAGTTCTTTATAGTTCACTTGTACATATATTTGAAGAGAAAGACAAAAATAAGCAACCTGTGTCTGGTGCAGCTTCAAACTGTGCCCTTGAACTTGTGATGTTGCTGAACAGTGCCCTCAGACGTGACAAGAGACTCTGTGTCCGTGAGCTTTCTCGGGGAAAAAGAGAGCCCTATGGAGAAAAGTTTTTCGACACTGTTATACCTCAGTAAAGCAATCAGAATATCTTGCCTAACATACACCATATCATTCTTAACTCTTTCACCACCAAGCAGCTGCTACTTTAACCCCTTCTATCCCAAGGAGTTGAGCTTAACCCTTGCACCCCAGGAATGTATAAAAAGAGGGGTGGAAGGGGGTCACATGAACCCATGAAAATTCCCAGAAAAAAATCGATAAAAAAGGAACCATTTCACACAGGTCACTAATAAACTGTTTAAAAATGTGTGTATCTATGTTTTCCACCTCAAAATATATAAAGGTGTATCATCATCATCACGTAACACTACGTGTCATTGGGTCACCAGTTTCTGTCACCAGCTCTCTCCACCATTGGCGGTCATTTGTGATAGACTTCATGGTTGCATGCCTCAGTCAGGTTCTGTAACCAGGTCTTTCTTGGTCTGCCTCTTCTCCTCTTTTTCTCTACTGGGCCCTGCATTATTGTTTTTGAGAGGCCGCTAGATCTTATTACATGTTCATACCATTGCATTTTTCACCTTTTCACTGTAGCTAAAAGAGGTTCAAAGTTGCCAATGTGCATTAAAATTATATGGCGAACGTCTTCGTTTGCAATGTGGTCTCTGTTTAAAATGCCAAGAATTTTTTTGAAACATCGCATTTCTAATGCTTGTACCTTCCTCTTGAGTTCAGCTGTTAAGGTCCACGAAGGTTTATAAAGGTATATAAGAGGAGTAACAATAAACTCCTAGAACAAAGTGAAGCAATTAAAAAAAACATTCCCCAGGGCCTAAAAGAACAATATGTATTGGCTGTGACCCCGTGACCTCTATCTCTGAGGCTTACTAGAAAATTTAATATCAACCTGACTTCAAACAAAAAAAAAAGGGATGGGGGCAATGGAGGTCATAGAAAATCTGCCATAGTGTAGCAGACAGAAGCTCGCCTGTAAATACAAATGCCATGGGTTAAAATCTGCATGGTGCAGGAGAGGTGGAGAGAGACAGAGAGAGAGAGGGACAGAGTGAGAGACAGAGAGAGAGTGCCCCCCACCCCCACCCAAAAACAAATTGAGACTTACATCATGTTGAGACTGGTCCAGGTCAGGAACAAATGATGAAGGCCAAAGTAAAGCTCGAAAGCTCACGGGACTACACCAGGGTATGACAATCTGGCATGATCAGAGATAAATAACATAAGTTGATTCAGTCATCATCACCATCATGTGCCCTGCCAACTGGCGTAGGCGCTTATGCGTCTCCACAGATCATGATCCCTGGTTGCCTGGAACAGCCCTCTTGATGAGATCCCTCCAAGCCATCGTTTTAGCCCATCCAGCATCATCTCTCTTGGTCTGCCTCTACCCCTTTTTTCCACTGATCTTACCAGTTGTCACGATGTTCTTCAGTGTCTCTCTTCTCATTATGTGGCCAAAGAACAGTGTTTGTCTCTTTCTTGTTGTTGTATATATCTACTTTCATTAGCTTCTTTCAAGCAAATGTTGTTAGTTACTCTGGCCGTCTAAGGTATTCGTAACATTCGTCTCAGAAACCACATCTCTGTTGCTTTCGAATTCTTCCTTATTTGTTCACTGACATTCCAAGATTCGCTGCCATACAGCAGAACTGGTTCTATGTAACATTTTAGCACTCTCTTTCTGACATTAAATTAGAGCAATTTATTGCATAAGATATTTTTCATTTTCTGAAATGCAGTTTTCGCTTGACCTATTCTGCTTTCAATCTCAGTCACACATTTTCCATCTGGTTTTATGACTGTCGCCAGATATTTGAATTTGATTCAGTACAGCATCCAAAACCTGGTATATTCACAATAATACACATGGAATGAGCACTATCTAATCCCATTATCTTGTCTGAGGGGTGTTGAAAGCAGAAAGCACTGAGTGTGCTGCACAAAAATCAAACTCTGTAGCTCCAGGGAACAAACCTTAAGGATCTCTAAACAACTGTACTTGTGAACCGAAGGCTAAAATGAAACCCACAACCTTTCAGAGAGCATACAGCAAATAACTTAATCACTTCACCCCAGAGACCCCAATATTATCACATGATATTATCACCTGTTTTATCATTCCATATTGTAACTCGAGGTGGGCTCAAAGAGTCATGTTACGAGAAGAAGACTGGGACATGCTGTCCCACTGAATAGATTTGTAGAAAAAGAGAGACAGAGCAAGACAATGCAAGAAGATTCTTGACAGCTTTTTGTTGTGGCACGGAGGGTTGTCAACACATGACCTGATGCACGCTGTTGGAGAACACTGACTGTGGAGAGGCATGATCACCCTAGGCAGCCAGCAAGGCACTTGATGATGATTATAATAATTCTAAGAAGTGGGTTGTAGGAATGCCAGGATGGAAGCTTCAGTAATCACTCCTCCTCCATAGCTCTGTATCATGTGTCATACAACAGCATGGATATGAGCTCTGTATCATGTGCCATGCAACAGCACAGAAATGAGCTCTGTATCATGTGCCATTCAAAGGCACAGAAATGAGTTCTGTATCATGTGCCATAAAACAGCACAGATATGAGCTCTGTATCATGTGCCATGCAACAGCATGGATATGAGCTCTGTATCATGTGCCATACAACAGCATGAATATGAGCTCTGTATCATGTGCCATTCAAAGGCACAGAAATGAGTTCTGTATCATGTGCCATAAAACAGCACAGATATGAGCTCTGTATCATGTGCCATGCAACAGCACAGATATGAGCTCTGTATCATGTGCCATAAAACAGCACAGATATGAGCTCTGTATCATGTGCCATAAAACAGCACAGATATGAGCTCTGTATCATGTGCCATAAAACAGCATGGATATGAGCTCTGTATCATGTGCCATGCAACAGCACAGATGTGAGCTCTGTATCATGTGCCATGCAACAGCACAGATATGAGCTCTGTATCATGTGCCATAAAACAGCACAGAAATGAGCTCTGTATCATGTGCCGTAAAACAGCACAGATATGAGCTCTGTATCATGTGCCATAAAACAGCACAGATATGAGCTCTGTATCATGTGCCATAAAACAGCACAGATATGAGCTCTGTATCATGTGCCATGCAACAGCACAGATATGAGCTCTGTATCATGTGCCATAAAACAGCACAGAAATGAGCTCTGTATCATGTGCCATAAAACAGCACAGATATTAGCTCTGTATCATGTGCCATAAAACAGCACAGATATGAGCTCTGTATCATGTGCCATAAAACAGCACAGATATGAGCTCTGTATCATGTGCCATAAAACAGCACAGATATGAGCTCTGTATGATGTGCCATAAAACAGCATGGATATGAGCTCTGTATCATGTGCCATAAAACAGCACAGATATGAGCTCTGTATCATGTGCCATGCAACAGCACAGATATGAGCTCTGTATCATGTGCCATGCAACAGCACAGATATGAGCTCTGTATCATGTGCCATTCAAAGGCACAGATATGAGCTCTGTATCATGTGCCATAAAACAGCACAGATATGAGCTCTGTATCATGTGCCATAAAACAGCACAGATATGAGCTCTGTATCATGTGCCATAAAACAGCACAGATATGAGCTCTGTATCATGTGCCATAAAACAGCACAGAAATGAGCTCTGTATCATGTGCCATAAAACAGCACAGATATGAGCTCTGTATCATGTGCCATAAAACAGCACAGATATGAGCTCTGTATCATGTGCCATAAAACAGCACAGATATGAGCTCTGTATCATGTGCCATAAAACAGCACAGATATGAGCTCTGTATCATGTGCCATAAAATAGCACAGATATTAGCTCTGTATCATGTGCCATAAAACAGCACAGATATGAGCTCTGTATCATGTGCCATAAAACAGCACAGATATGAGCTCTGTATCATGTGCCGTGCAACAGCACAGATATGAGCTCTGTATCATGTGCCATAAAACAGCACAGATATGAGCTCTGTATCATGTGCCATAAAACAGCACAGATATGAGCTCTGTATCATGTGCCATAAAACAGCACAGATATGAGCTCTGTATCATGTGCCATAAAACAGCACAGATATGAGCTCTGTATCATGTGCCATAAAACAGCACAGATATGAGCTCTGTATCATGTGCCATAAAACAGCACAGATATGAGCTCTGTATCATGTGCCATATAACAGCACAGATATGAGCTCTGTATCATGTGCCATAAAACAGCACAGATATGAGCTCTGTATCATGTGCCATAAAACAGCACAGATATGAGCTCTGTATCATGTGCCATAAAACAGCACAGATATGAGCTCTGTATCATGTGCCATAAAACAGCACAGATATGAGCTCTGTATCATGTGCCATGCAACAGCACAGATATGAGCTCTGTATCATGTGCCATAAAACAGCACAGAAATGAGCTCTGTATCATGTGCCATAAAACAGCACAGATATGAGCTCTGTATCATGTGCCATAAAACAGCACAGATATGAGCTCTGTATCATGTGCCATAAAACAGCACAGATATGAGCTCTGTATCATGTGCCATAAAACAGCACAGATATGAGCTCTGTATCATGTGCCATAAAACAGCACAGAAATGAGCTCTGTATCATGTGCCATAAAACAGCACAGATATGAGCTCTGTATCATGTGCCATAAAACAGCACAGATATGAGCTCTGTATCATGTGCCATAAAACAGCACAGATATGAGCTCTGTATCATGTGCCATAAAACAGCACAGATATGCTATACCCTGCCTAATTTTGAATGTTATCAGTTCAGGGTTCTCCTCTGCCTTCTGAAGTGATACCATTTGCTCTCAACAATTCCCTGGAGGATTACTTTAAAAGACTGACATGACGTGTTTCATGATGCTTCTTCTTCCTTTGTCGTATCACTCGTACTAGGTTGTCACTAGCTATCGTAGTTTTCTCTGTTTCTCTTGCATTTCTTGGGTGGCATAGGTGACTGATTTGTTCATCTTTTTGCAAGTTTCAGATACATCTTTTATCCATCTCTTTCTTGGAAATGAGTGACAGGTTTAAAAAGGAAATATTTTAATACTGCCTTCAACAATGAAAATGTTCAAACTTTTTTTGGACAAATATTCTAACATTATTGTTGTGCATGAATTCACATATTTATCTTCTTGCTACATAAAAAGAGGGATGTTTAAACTATAAGAATGGCACCGAATCTACTCAGTTACAACTACCAAATCAACTCCAGCGGATCTCAGGCCACTGAAATATTAGAGGAAATGTTGAATGTTGAATGCAGAATTGACATCACAGCACTCGGGACACTCTCATAAGTGCTCAGTTCCCCCATCTTCAGCAGCAAGCAAAAAGCTCCAATTCTGATGGCACCAGTAACTATCTGATAGTATATCCGTCACATCCTTCCCTTGAGTGTTGAGCGTTAGCCATTCTCCTTAGACCGTAATGATCTAACTGCGCCACCACACTGTTCACTCGCTTGCAAAGGGCCCTCACAATATCTGACTTGTCATACATCAACTCACCACCAAATGGTGCAGAGCCAGCCAGTCTATCTGCCTGCTCATTTTCCACCACGAAAAAAAGCAGACTACTTAGCAAAAATGTTGAGTCATACAGAACAGGCAGATACAGGATGTACTTATGATGAAACTGAAATTCAAATAAGGCAGGCATTAGAGAACACAGGAACACTTCCCACCCACAATACAATCCTGAAGAACCAGTCATCCTCATCACATGAAGGAAACAGACCATTATATTTAGACTGTGAACTGGACACAACAGACTTTGCAGCCATATGGACCAGAAGTTCAAGAAGGGGGATTTAGAACTTTGCCCACGTGGAAAGGGCCCTCAGAATACTGAACATATGACAGTTGCTGTTTAAGTATGTTGACACAGTGAGTTATGCTGATACTATGTTTTCAAGGATTCTGTTTTTAAAGTATCTGGACATTGGGAAATGAGATAATAAGAATCCAATGAAGGTACAATGATCTTAATGATTCTTAGTTGCTAGAAGATAACTTAACAACTAACAGCTTGATAATATAATTTTAAAATGTGTTGAATCTTACTCCAAACAATACACGAGATTCAAATACTTCACTCTGTATTGTTCTGACCCATAGCTTGATATAGAAAGATAATAAAATCTGCAAATTTGTTGAATCTTACTTCAAACAATACATGAGATTCAAATACTTCACTCTGTATTTTGGCGCACTTTCCCAAGACACAGAAAGATATTAGATTATGCAAACATGGTTTAACTCTTACCCCGAAGAAATACATGAGATTCCATGTATAACTCCATGTGCGCTGTAGAAAATTCCACCATCGCCAGAATGGATATCGAGTGCTTGTCCCCCTCTCAATTGATTTTTGCACTGAGAAGCTGATATTCTGCAACAGTTAAACCAAAACGATTGTATAAAAATGGTTCTTCTTCTCTCATTTACTTGAAATCTATATCTGCAGTGTATGTTATTATTACTCATCCCCCCTGGGGGATGCAATTTTTCATTATTTTGAAGCCCCACCAGACTCTTGCCAGGGGCCGCAATATAGCCCGGCCATAAATATGGCCTAATGGTTTCTGGGACCTCTCCACAGGTGATCCTCATCCATATGGTGGCACTTTGTGTCATCTGGTGTTTATCGCTTGTGTGATGTCCTGGTGGGGTAAAAGTACTACTATTACTAATCTGAAATGTTGTCCCCAGTGCTGACTTTTTAAAATCCACTGAGTGGCCTATAAAGTTCGGCTTCCATCTGTGGTTCTCTAGGCCAGAGGTTTTGCCTTCATATGTTACATCTGGGACAGTTCTGAAGGACATGATCTGTTGTCACATGTGCCTATCCACATGTGCGCATGGCTAAATTGCCAGTCTTAAATTTTGTGTACATGTGGTTGCGAATTCGACTGTGCCCTGTTCTGAGGCGTAGAATGACCTGCTCTGGTTTGTCCGTAATATGGTAACTGTTTTGTACCTCTGTTAGTGACATAGAGGAGCATATGACCAAACGATTAGAACGCTGGGCTATCAAGTGGGAGACCCGGGTTTGAATCCTCTGTAAGGCTGGGGAATTTTTCTGTCAGGGGAAAAATAAAATCATCTGCACAGTAATGGCGACAGCACTTGCCATGCAGCCGTAATTCCTCAGGTTCAAACCCCCCCCCCCCCCCCCCAGCCTAAACTGCTAAAGTGGTACGATAAAGGCAGTAATTGGCAGTTTTTAATTGGACCCATCAAAGATGCAAACAGCGGTGAATGGAGAGTGAGAAGCAACAACGAAATTCATAATCTATCTAAATCACCACTGATCACTGGCATCATGAGAGCTAATAGACTGAAATGGTTGGAGCATACTGAAAAGAATGTCTGATGACAGAGAAGTAGAAACTATATACACCAGGGAGATGAATGGTCGTAGACCATGAGGGAGACCAAGAAGACGGAGAGATAATATACAAACAGACCTGCAAACACTTGGTGTCACCAACTACAAAGAGAAGGCCAACCAGAGAGATGAATGGAGGCGGGTGATTTCTGCAGCAATGAACCTCAAGGGCTCGGAATGCTGAAGAAGGCCAACCAGAGAGATGAATGGAGACAGGTGATTTCTGCAGCAATGAACCTAAAGGGCTCGGAATGCTGAAGAAGAAGAAGTTGGCGAATTATTAATTCTAGCAAGTATTTAACTAGCACAAATCTTTGCTACTTCTTTCATCACAGTGTAGGTAGGTCCTTTCCCAATTCCTGCTAAGATTTTCGTGTAGGAATAATACAGGTAAGGACATTAACTTTACATTGATATAGCCAAAGATGATGTAGCAAACAGAAATTAAAATAGGCAAGGAAAGCTCCCATTATTTTCAACTCACTTATAAAAATAACAAATTCCCTCAAAATGTTTAAATACTTACTGCATCTGATGAAGTTTTGTGCAGTGGCTGCGACTCCAGAATAACTGTTTCAATGATCTCTGACTTCAATCCATTGTTCCATTTCCGAACAATCCAATTGTGGGGAAGCCAAATGCGAGTAGAGAAAGTAAATTCTTGTGTAGGAGCCTTAACTCTGCCCAGCTCTTTCCTCAACACAGTTTCCCGCTATCAAAATTAAATAAGGTGCAAGTTTATATAAACAGTAAGTCACTAAAAAGGCTACATACACATGACACAATGCAGAATAAACCAGCTGCAAGTTTATATAAATATATAGAGGGGAAAAAGCTATATAAATCAGTCTCAAGTTTATTTATAACTGAAATAGGTCAATACAAAGCCATAGGACTTCCAGCCAACAATGACAGCAGAGAGTTTTTACCTTTCAAGCAGCTTACATTTTCACATTAAAGATGGAACATTTCATCACTCAAGTGTAGTTAAATGTGCCCAGATTTAAAGCAGATTTATTTTCTTCTCAAGATTTGTGTGTGCCTATGCTACAGAGTTCATGCACCTGTGTGAAACCATCTTTCAGTTCTTCTTTCAGAGTTTATGCTTACCGTATTATGTTGCAATTTTGATGAGATACAGGAACAGCAAGTGAAAAGGGGTAAGAACTTTTCATTATTTTAAAGCTCATCCTGGCTGTCGTCGGGGCCCTAAATATAACCTAATGCGTGTTTCTGGGACATGTGCCCGAGTGATTCTCATCTAAATGGTGGCACTTTGTGTCACTGTTCTGTGGTGCTGGTGGGAGTTAAATGTCATTAAAGTTTCAGTCTTAAATTTCTGTCTCGCTTTTCCTCTGAGCGTCAAGTATCACCAGATCCCCTCATCACTCCAAAGCTGCTTCACTCTCACAAGCTTAAAACGGTGTCAAGCACAGAGCATGTGCTCCATAGCTTTGGAAATGATTCATATGTACAATTAAATCTATAAGTCAAAAAAAAAAATACTGCAGGAAATGATCAGTCACCCTAGTACTGCCTGCCTGCTAGGGAAAAGGCAGGGGATGTCCTGCAGGAGTCCATGCGGTTGGTGCCGCCCGGCACACACACCAGTCATCCAACATTCAAGACCAGCTTACCTGCGAACCACAGGTTTGACAAAACAATGTGGCATGCCTGCTTTATGAGGACTGTGAATAATTTAGTATTAAATGACAAATGAACATCTTTTCTAAATAAGAGAAAGAGAATACTCACCTCTTTTATGAAGTTGAGATCTCTGCGTAAGAAATAAACCGTCTGCTGGAGGCCATCTTCCTCACACATACTAATGGCTTCTTCGTGTACAGTCCACAAATTTTGTCTCACAAACTCACGCTGTTCATTTATCAGAATTCATAACTGTATTATGATCTTACCAACCCAGATCAATCAATACAAATAGAGATAACCTAGCCCATTTACATGTAATTAACCCTCCTGTTACCCTTGACCCTGAGATAGCCCATACCCAAGCCCCTAAGCTGAAATTTGGCATAATCTTACCATGTCTACAGGCATTGTTTCTTTCATCTTTGGTATCTTCAAAAATATGCTAAACATTCTTTATTATAACTACTTTTCCAGTGAAGGTAACACTTGTCATGATTAGATCTACTATGTTTTTCACTGTGATATCAGATGCTAAGACAATCTGTGATGTTATTGGAAGTAAATATAACTTTTGATGTTATAAGAAGTAAATATTATATATGGAATGCTATCAGAAGTTTATACAGTATGTGAAGCTATCAGAAGTAAGTCAATCTGTGATGCTGTCAGAAGTAAATACAATATGTGATGTTATCAGAATTAAAATTAATATGTGATACCATCTGAATGAAGCACAATATGTGAAGATGTCAGAGGTAAATACAATATATGATGATTTCAGAAGAGAAAACAATCCATGATGCTATATGAAGAACACACTACATGTGATGCTATCAGAAGTAAAATCAATATGTGATGTTATCACTATTACATACAAAATGTGATTGATGAGGTCAGAAGTTAATACAATATGTGATGTTATCAGAAGAGAGAACAATATGTGATGCTATGTGAAGAAAACACAATATGTGATGCTATCAGAAATAAGACAATTTGTGATGCTATCACATTCACTGGACCAGATATATACTGGAAAACGGATAACAGTATAGCTAGTTTATCTATTCACTCGCAAGCTAACAAGACAGTGGAATACTTAAAAACAAAATTGAGAAGGAAATTAAAAACAGATAGATAATATTGGAATTGGCATCGATGAGTGTTTTAATATTTGGTCTGTTATACTTTCCAGGAACTCTACATAAAAGGAAAAAAGTTTTAAAGTTAAGAGGGTTGTTTATTGCAGGTTTGGTCCCATATGGCTCAGTCTCTCCTACAGAATGGCTAGCTGTCTGCCAAGAGTGTCATGCAAAGCTTGCACTCTGTAGCTCAGGTGATGACCCTGAGGGATTCCCATAAAAAGTTCAATCACGAACCAAATGGCGCAGTCTGAGAAACAAACCCACATCATCCGAGTTAGATACTTTTGAAGTCAAGGTCCTTCATATGTTCTTTGAAGTATGGGTGTATAAAGTAACAAAGAAAGTAACAGAAAATTCAACTAAACTGACCTCAAAAGCATGAATCTGTTCTGTCATCCAAGTGCTGATTCGAGACTTGATCGGGTAAGTTTCCTTTAGGTAGTTTATCAACTAAAAAAATCAAAGTAAACAATGAGAACATTAGGGAATTGATTCGAGACTTGATCGGGTATGTTTTCTTTAGGTAGTTTATCAACTAAAAAATCAAAGTAAACAATGAGAACATTAGGGAATTGATTGGAGACTTGATCGGGTATGTTTTCTTTAGGTAGTTTATCAACTAAAAAATCAAAGTAAACAATGAGAACATTAGGGAATTGATTGGAGACTTGATCGGGTATGTTTACTTTAGGTAGTTGATCAATAAAAAATCAAAGTAAACAATGAGAACATTAGGGAATTAATTCGAGACTTGATCGGGTATGTTTCCTTTAGGTAGTTTATCCTTTAGGTAGTTAATCAACTAAAAAATTAAAGTAAACAATGAGAACATTAGGGAATTGATTCAAGACTTGATCGACCATGTTTCCTTAACTGTTTCAGAACCAGAAAATTTCACAGGCAATTCTAAAGTTAAGATATATCCATGATAAAAAAAATTTGTGAATGCATTACTCTCAAAGTGATGATGATTATTTGGGAAAGCCAGATTTCTTTAGTGTGCTGCGAAAAATTTTTGTTGTTGTTGTTGTTGTTGTTGTTGTTGTTGTTGAGAGAGAGAGAGAGAGAGAGAGAGAGAGAGAGAGAGAGAGAGAGAGAGAGAGAGAGAGAGAGAGAGAGAGAGAGAGAGAGAGAGAGAGAGAGAGAGAGAGAGAGAGAGAGAGAGAGAGAGAGAGAGAGAGAGAGAGAGAGAGAGGAGAGAGAGAGAGAGAGAGAGAGAGAGAGAGAGAGAGGGAGAGAGAGAGGGAGAGAGAGAGAGAGACAGACAGAGAGACAGACAGAGAGAGAGACAGACAGAGAGACAGACAGAGAGACAGACAGAGAGACAGACAGAGACAGAGAGAGTTTTTATTTAAATGCTTAAAAGTGGCATCTGTGGCTTAAGCATTGCAAGTCCAACTCGTAATTCCAATGTACCGTGATCAAAACCCACTGCTGGCTGCGTGGATTTTCATCATGGTATGGGGCGTCGCAGTCGATCCAATCTAAAATAGGTACTAGGATGTATGTCCTGGAAAAGTAAAGATGGCCAGCGTAATACTGACCACATTAGCTACCTAGTGCTGATTAGTCTGTAAAATTATGGGTGCTCTTCCCATATGCTAGATGCGCCTAATGGCACGAAAAGGATCTTTTCTTTACTTTACTTAAATGCTAAAACAACAATGAGAAAATTAGTGAATTAATTTGAGCCTTGTTTAGGTAGGTTTCTTCTAAGTAGCTTATCAACTAAAAATACAAATATACAATGAGAGCACAGCGTAAGTGCTCTAATAATTCTCATAGCTATGCTGGCATGGGAACTGTGCCTTTGGCAGGTTTAACCATGTGGGCCAGGCCTTGAGAAGAAGGGTAAAACAAAACTGGCACCCTGGTGCTATATGAAGAAACATAATAGGTGATGCTATCAGAAGTAAAATCAAATTGTCATGTTTTTAGAATTACATATAAAAATGTGATGATGTTAGAATTAAATACAATATGTTATGTTATCAGAAGAGAGAACAATCCATGATGCTATATGAAAAGAAAACAGCATGTGATGCTATCAGAACTTTTAACCTTTAGCCCAGTGACCTGGTCTGTAAGGTCTGGGGTTGGGCAAGGAGTTGACAACACATTACTATTTTTTTAAAAGTACTTTGTTATGGAAACAGCATCAAGATAAAACACTGACTGGTGGCAAGAAGTGAGACTAGCCAGATTCATTCATTCATTCAGTAGCATGTCCCTCGCGGAACCTCGCTGCCATAACAACCCTCCGGAAAACCTTCCTATCCTGAGCAAGATGTCCTGCGTCTGATACACCCATCTGGAGATCATCTGCCACATCCTGCACCCATCTTCTCCTTGGCCTTCCTCTTCCTTTCTTCCCAGGCATATACCCCTCCATTATTGTTCTCTCTAGACTTCCATGGCGTTTCAAGTGACCAAAATATTTCAATTTTCTTTGTTTTATTGTCTTTACTAGCCAACCCTCTTCAATATTCAGCTCTTGAAGTATGGATGCATTTGTTCTTTTCTTTACCCAAGATATTCTTAGAACCTGTCTGTAACATTTATATTCAAATGCATTTATGCGCTGTTCCGCTTGTTTAGTAAGTGTCCAGGTCTCACAGGCGTATGTTGCAATGGGAAAGATGCATGCTCTTAAAAATCTGACCTTTGTAATTCTATCTGTACAATTCCATAATTTATTCAGTTGTTTTAGTCTTTGAAGAGCAATTGATAGTCGCCATTTAATTTCTTTCATTGTGTCACCATTGTTGGTAACCAGTGACCCAAGATATTCGAAATTTTCCACCACTTCCAATCTTTCCTCATTAACATATATTTCCTTCTCCATGGCAGTTTTGTTTGTATGCATTATCTAGTGCCAGATAACTAGTCAAATTTACAGCTGGGCATTAAAGCTGAAAGGAAGTCAATGGCAAGTTCTCCCCAAAACACCTACAATGTCTGGAACTCGGAGAAAGACAGCCGAAAATGAAATACAGGAATGTAAAATGACACGGGATAGCAGCAGAAAGCAGCAATGGAGACTACTAGTAAATGCCTTATATGTCAACAGCAACGTGAGGAGGATTTAGATATAAATAGATGTGGGAGCATTTGTTTACCCATTTGAGGTCTGATAGAGTATATTTCTCTTTAGAAACTTATAAGTTAAGTTAAAAATAAATGCTTACAATAAGAGAATTAGTTTACAGATTAAAGGCTTTGTTAGATACAGTTCCTTTAAGCAGCTTATCTGGTTAAAAAAAGTCCAAATATATATAATATGGGAGCATTAGTTTATTAAATCAAAATGTAACTGTGTATGTTTCTTTTAAGTAACGTGTTAACTAAACATTCAAAAATAGAATAGAAGGTTTAGTGTAATTTATAGCGATTTTGGCCACAAATGTTTCTTCTTCTTCTCTGTTCCCCGGCTGTAAGCTCCGGCAGAAAGTCCTGGTTGTTCATCCATTTGTATTTTGATTTTGTTCCAGGGCCTGAGTTTTGCATGTACATCCGTTTCACTGGCTTATTTGTGTGCAACTGGTTGTTCCTTGCTGCTTGGGCATATGCCCTCCAACTTCAAAGGAAGCTATCAATTAGTCGACTCCTTCAACAAGCTTGCTAGGCAGGCAGTGGGTCTAGTCTTGTTCTCCCTACAGTTGGGCCACAGAACCCACAGAGACACAAATGTTTAACGGCTACAAAATCAGTTCCACTGTACTGGATCATAATTCACACAGCTCAGTTTCTTTATGGAGTGTCTACCCATCAAAAGAGTGGCACAAAGCCTTGTTGCTCCACTGACGAAACCTAGTTAATTCTCTATTTCATTCGTATTTACTGATGACTCCTCTTATTCTGTATGGAATTTTAACTGCTTTGGTCCATAAATGGAACTGTTAGGAATTTGTTTGTGTGACCTCTGTTTAAATCATCATAGATCACTGGCATCTTGAGGGCTAATAGACTGAAATGGATGGGGTATACTGGGAGAATTTCAGGTGAAAGAGAGGAAAAAACGGTATACATAAGGTAGCTAAATCATCATATACCACGAGGCAGACCAAGAAGACGACATGATGGAGAGAAGGCCAACTACAGAGATGAATGTAGCCAGGTGATATCTGCAGCAATAAACACCAAGAGCTAGGAATGCTGCAGCAGCAGAAGAGAAGGAGGAGCAGCAGGAGGAGGAGCAGCAGCAGCTGAAGAAGAAGGAAGAGAAGGAGGAGTAAAAGAAGAAGACAAAAAAAAAAGAAGAAAAATAAGAAGAAGAAGAAGAAGAAGAAGAAGAAGAAGAAGAAGAAGAAGAAGAAGAAGAAGATGAAGATGATGAAGAAGAAGATGAAGAAGAAGATGAAGAAGGAGAAGAAGAAGAAGAAGAAGAAGAAGAAGAAGAAGGAGGAGGAGCAGAAGGAGGAGAAGGAGAAGGAGGAGGAGGGGGAGGAAAAGGAGAAGGAGGAGGAGGAGGAGGAGAAGAAGAAGAACAAAAAGAAGAAGAACAAAAAGAAGAAGAACAACAACAACAACAAAACAACAACAAAGACTGTACCTTTTCTTTTTGTTCATCCATTTTCTTTCGTAAATTCTGCTTAGCTTTCAACATTGCAATCACTGATTTGGCTTGATTTACCAGAAGATCACCTGAACAGAAAGAAAGGGCTTCCAAAGTTTAGCAATGGTTTTATTGAAAATATTAAACAAAATAATGTTAAGGTGTTCTCCTGCTGTGTGTCTTTGGTTTTTTCTTCATTTTATATTTCTGTCTCTATGTCTTTTTTTCTATCTTTTTTTAGTCTGTCTCTGCTTCTTTGTCTGTTTTGATTTCTTTCTTGTATTTACTACCTTGGGCATTGTAAAAGGTTGCAAGAATTATAAGATCCATTTCTTAAATGGAAGAGAGAGGTAGGTAGGTAGGTAGGTAGGTAGGTGTGTGTGTGCGTGCGTGAGCGCGTGTGTGTGTGTGTGTGTCTGTGCATGCGTGCGTGTGTTGTTGTCCTTGGATACTTGAGAATATCACCAAGGTGGAGACAGGTATGCTCCGTGCAGAGTGACAAGCATTGTTTCAGAGGTCCCTGGTAGTTAGCATCCTTTGGATATTATTTCCAGGTTATGCCGGTGTTTTCAGAAACTAACAGGCAGATAAACTGACTGGTTTTGCACCAAGTGGCGGTGAAATGATGCCTGCCTAGCTACAAGTTGAAAGAGTCCTTTGGGAGCATGTGACCAGTGAGGAGACAAAAATAGATCATCATGGTGTGAAAATAATGGTGCTGCGAGGATTGACCAGGGGATCTGGCCGACAAGGGAAAGGTGAGACATAAACAATCAGACTAATAATGGTACAATCGGAATTGGAATTCTGTGCTTGCTGCTGAAGATAGAGATGGAGCGCTTATGGGAATGTTCTAAATGCTGTGATGTTGATTCTGAAAGCCAACATTCAACATTTGGGAAGCTATACACACGGCTGATCCAGTTTAAAATGAGTATCAGGAAATTTCCTGGAAGAAAAAGGTGATAGTCGTGATGATGACACAATTATTCATCAAGTGCCGATTGATCTATAAAAGCATAGGTCATGCACCATATACGCACAGGGGGGTATCTGTGGAGAAGTGGTGATGTGTTTGTCTCACTCTCTAAGGGTTGCATGTTTATTTCACGACAAAATCATTTGATTAATAACTGGAAGTTTTACAGAGACCTCTGAAAATCGCTGCTGGAGCTACAGTGTTCCTGCATTGTGTGACCCTCTTGGCAGGCAGCTATCCATTCTACAACGATGGACTGAGCTATATAGGGTAAAACATGTTGCAGTGAAGTCGATCTTGTCACAACTTGAGAACTACCAACTGTAAAATGAGACTACTTCTTTGTCTTCTTTTGTCGTCTCACTGATACCCGGTTGTAACCAAATGTCGGGGCTTTCTGTTTTTGTCTTGAACTTTTCGGGTGGTTTGGGTGATGGATTTGTTCATCTTTGTTTGCAGGTTTCGGCTACAACATTAATCCACATCTTTCTTGGTCTTCCTCCTAGATGTTCTGTTGTAAACAGCCTGGCTGCATTCTCACTAGATGGCCAAACCATTGAATTCTTTGTCTGTCAATATAATCCAGACATGGTCTTACTCCAACTTGCTCTCAAGCACTGGTATTCATAACCCTATCTCTTCTTGTGTTGTTAGTGACCTTGCAGAGCCAGCACATTTCATAAACAAAACAAATAAACTAATGAAATTGGTTATGCAACAACCATACCTGGTCTTAATCTGAAACCTTACTGGTCTATGTTGTAGGGTATAATGTCAGGGAGTACATGGCAACATACCAAGTCCAGGTTGTAGGGTATAATGTCAGGGAATACATGGCAACATACCGAGTCCAGGCTGTAGGGTATAATGTCAGGGAGTACATGGCAACATACCTAGTCCAGGTTGTAGGGTATAATGTCAGGGAGTACATGGCAACATACCTAGTGAAGGTTGTAGGGTATAATGTCAGGGAGTACATGGCAACATACCTAGTCCAGGTTGTAGGGTATAATGTCAGGGAGTACATGGCAACATACAGAGTCCAGGTTGTGGGGTATAATGTCAGGGAGTACATGGCAACATACCTAGTCCAGGTTGTGGGGTACAATGTCAGGGAGTACATGGCAACATACCGAGTCCAGGTTGTGGGATATAATGTCAGGGAGTACATGGCAACATACCTAGTCCAGGTTGTGGGGTATAATGTCAGGGAGTACATGGCAACATACCTAGTCCAGGTTGTAAGGTATAATGTCAGGGAGTACATGGCAACATATCTAGTCCAGGTTGTAGGGTATAATGTCAGGGAGTACATGGCAACATACCTAGTCCAGGTTGTAGGGTATAATGTCAGGGAGTACATGGCAACATACCTAGTCCAGGTTGTAGGGTATAATGTCAGGGAGTACATGGCAACATATCTAGTCCAGGTTGTAGGGTATAATGTCAGGGAGTACATAGCAACATACCTAGTCCAGGTTGTAAGGTATAATGTCAGGGAGTACATGGCAACATACCTAGTCCAGGTTGTAGGGTATAATGTCAGGGAGTACATGGCAACATACCTAGTCCAGGTTGTAGGGTATAATGTCAGGGGGTACATGGCAACATACCTAGTCCAGGTTGTAAGGTATAATGTCAGGGAGTACATGGCAACATACCTAGTCCAGGTTGTAGTGTATAATGTCAGGGAGTACATGGCAACATACCTAGTCCAGGTTGTAGGGTATAATGTCAGGGAGTACATGGCAACATACCTAGTCCAGGTTGTAGGGTATAATGTCAGGGAGTACATGGCAACATACCTAGTCCAGGTTGTGGGGTATAATGTCAGGGAGTACATGGCAACATACCTAGTCCAGGTTGTAGGGTATAATGTCAGGAAATACATGGCAACATACCGAGTCCAGGCTGTAGGGTATAATGTCAGGGAGTACATGGCAACATACCTAGTCCAGGTTGTAGGGTATAATGTCAGGGAGTACATGGCAACATACCTAGTGAAGGTTGTAGGGTATAATGTCAGGGAGTACATGGCAACATACCTAGTCCAGGTTGTAGGGTATAATGTCAGGGAGTACATGGCAACATACAGAGTCCAGGTTGTGGGGTATAATGTCAGGGAGTACATGGCAACATACCTAGTCCAGGTTGTGGGGTATAATGTCAGGGAGTACATGGCAACATACAGAGTCCAGGTTGTGGGGTATAATGTCAGGGAGTACATGGCAACATACCTAGTCCAGGTTGTGGGGTATAATGTCAGGGAGTACATGGCAACATACCTAGTCCAGGTTGTGGGGTATAATGTCAGGGAGTACATGGCAACATACTTAGTCCAGGTTGTAGGGTATAATGTCAGGGAGTACATGGCAACATACCTAGTCCAGGCTGTAGGGTATAATGTCAGGGAGTACATGGCAACATACCTAGTCCAGGCTGTAGGGTATAATGTCAGGGAGTACATGGCAACATACCTAGTCCAGGCTGTAGGGCATAATGTCAGGGAGTACATGGCAACATACCTAGTCCAGGTTGTAAGGTATAATGTCAGGGAGTACATGGCAACATACCTAGTCCAGGTTGTAGGGTATAATGTCAGGGAGTACATGGCAACATACCTAGTCCAGGTTGTAGGGTATAATGTCAGGGAGTACATGGCAACATACCTAGTCCAGGTTGTAGGGTATAATGTCAGGGAGTACATGGCAACATACCTAGTCCAGGTTGTAGGGCATAATGTCAGGGAGTACACATGGCAACATACCTAGTCCAGGTTGTAGGGTATAATGTCAGGGAGTACATGGCAACATACCTAGTCCAGGTTGCAGGACATCTAGCTCAGCGTTTGTGGTTATTGCCATGAACACTTTATTCAGATAATGATCCATGATGTCCTCAGTCACTTTCTGAAATCAAGTCAACCATGACATTATTTTACATATTCTATTTTAAGATAATGTATACACACACTGTATTATCATTGTTCACAAATGTGATTTTAAACAATTCAAAATAGTTTGCTTAGATGTACACATTTGTTCATCATCACACATCTATTCTTCTTACCTTCAGCAGTTACCTCATCGGAGTCTTACGAGAGATGTAAAGAATTTTAAAAATACTCTTCCAAAAGCACTATATAGATTGATCTCTATTTTTTAAAGGCTGTTCTTGATGTCATCATTCCATATTTTGTATGGACTTCCCCTTGCACGTTTTTTATATTTCTTCCGCATAGCTCTCTGTAGCAGCTGGTACGAGGGCTTTTAGTCAGATGATAAAACTCTTTCATCTCTTGTTTTTTCATGGACTGTATGTGTGGTTTCAATACTAGTCTTCATTTTTGATTTTATCTCTATCTTTTTGTTACTCCGGCAGCTCTTCTATGTCATCTCATCTGTGTTGATTCTGAATTCACTAGTTGTAGCAAGGGTCCAAGTTTGACACAGGTAGCACAGAGTTGGCCAAAAACTATAGTTTGATTGGATCTGTCTTCACTGACAAAGGTATCCCTCTGTGTATTATAAGTGAGTTAGTTGTCCCAGTACACCTATAATTCCTCAAAAAAGTATACACATTTAATGGTCTTTAGGATGAGAAATTGTAGGTTCTTTCAAGCACACAAGATTTTCCTTCAAAAACATCTTGCTGATGCCAATTAGTGCTACTGATCATATCTCTCAGGTCATTTAAAGTCTACTGTTGTTTCTTCCGGACTGTTCTGTTACAATGCTCAGTATCTGCTAACCAGGTAATGACAGTTCCAGCTTCATAGCAAATGGGTAACCCCATAGTTGCTCCATTTATCTGCCAATGAAAACTACACATAATGACCATCAGTGTCCCGTGTGGGGGAAAGAATTGACACAAAGTGCAGTCTCGGCAAAGCCAACAGCATAAACACGCCTTAAGTGCATAAGGCAGCCATCAAAAGTGCCAACATAAGCAGTCTGACACTGGAAATGCAGTTCATCACTGATGGAAGCAGCAGTTACAACAAATCAGTAGCTGCACATGCAAATACGTAATCAGGGCTGGCAGACAATGAAACATAATCTTTCCTTTCAGGTTTGTAAGTTGTTCACTGCACTGCTGCATTATTTGAAATATCTTCACATCTATATGTCAAAACAGATTATCTATTGACTGGTTGTATATGTTTGATAACCCCACAACATAACACAAGCCCTGCAACATGGCAATTTATGAATGGGGAGGGAAGTCACTCTCTTTCTGGGCCCAAAAACTTGAGTTGTAATGTTTCTACTTTTGCCTTTCATCTTGTAATGGATCGTTCCTCAACCAATAATAGAGAAATTCCTTTGCAGAATTGCTCATGGTTGATTTAGATTTTTCAGCTACAATCTAAGTATATGAAACTTTGGAATAACTGGTACAAATTCAATAAAAGTGTGTCGAAAGTACAATATACATTGAGATTAATGCAACAGAAACATAAACGAGTAATACACTGATGTGCCACTATCAGCAACAACATAGTCATTTGACTATAAGTTAAAAGCACACACATTAAGAGAGAAATAACCTACCTTGGAAATCTCCTCATTAGTCCAACCCTGACCTGAAATGCAAGTAAGCAAAAAGTGGCAAAAGGCAGAAGGGATTACAACAAAGAATGAGGAACAACTATCAATGCTTCAGCACACCATCAGAGACCACTCTTCCCATGTGGGTGCCGGGGTCCCCATTGTGGGGGGAAAACAGCAATAGACCCTCTGCCTCCTCAACAAGCATATGGTAGGAATCAAAAATCTGGGGAATTCCTCCGATGTCAGAGTACATTTGCCCGAGTGGCAAAGAACAACCAAGTGCACAAATAAGCCATTAAAACGGATGCACACATGATACTTAGACCCTGGCACAAAGTCAAAGTCCACATGGACGAACAGCCAGAACTTTCTGCTGGAGCTTACAGCTGGTGAACGAAGAAGAAGAAGAAGAAGATGCCCCTCAATTAAATATCAGTAAGTCTCATCAATGTTGTTTTGTTGCTGAAAAGCCACTTATCCCTTGCCAGCTTTTCTGCCTCATGAACTTTCATGGCCAGTGTGTCCTCGATATCTGTGTTCAGCATTGCACTGATATTCTGAAAAAGTTGCTGATCTTGCTTATATCAATTGTTGCCCGGCTGGTTCAACTTTCCCACAGAAATCATGCTCTGCTTTCATCTGCTTCTCTTGTTTAGTATTTCCCTACAGAACTAGTCTGTAACATTTAAGTTCAACAATCCATTTTCCATTTTTGGTAATTGTGAAATGATGTTACAAAACTACAACCTGCCCTTATTTATAGATAATTACAACAACAAAAACAATAACAACTAAAACCTTTATAATGTTTCTGCAGTTCCACAAACTGCCCCTATTTATGATGACATAATTTTTTAAAAAATCTCTCAGATGCAATAAAGAAGCATTCAGTTAAAATTAACAAATTAAACACATTTGCTGCAAATACAATAATGTGACATTCTTAAATGAAATAAAATAGATTTTAATAAAACTCATATATACAACACAGAACTAAAACAATATTAAGAATGCATTAATGTGATCATAAAATGGTCAATAGAAAGACTAAGGAAGTGAGGACATACAAAAGAAACCCTAAGATGAATGTAGACAAGAGAGACCAAAGGTACCGATTGAATTATATCCATAATGTTGAAAGGATTGCACAGAACATTTCGGAATGGAAGAACAGACTGCAAGCACTATGTGACATATAATGTCACAAGAAGACAATGATAAGGACTGTGATCACAGTGTGACAGTACATGCCTTGATAGTGACGGATGAGTTTTGTTCTCATCTGTATGTGCCAGCCTTTAGCCTGACGGTCCAGGATATTTGACAGGATGCCCATACTGTTGTTCATCAGATCTGTAAAGAATAACAGAGTTAAATGTAAGTATGTATGTATTTCACACGAATTACATCAAAATATATCTAACATAAAAGGAACTACTTTTTAAATTTAAAATACAATATGAAATACGTGGGTATGTTTATATATAGGCAACCATCAGTCCCTGTGGAGCATGGGGTTGTGCCGCTGGTTCTAGGAACAGCATCTGCTATGAGTGTAAAGTCCAGTGCTGGAGTGACAGTCTCTGGCACCTAGTCCTCATAAAATCATTGACGCTCTATCGTTCTTAAGCTGGTTTTCTCCTAGACCAGTGTTTCCCAAACGTTTCTTACTCGCGGCCCCTTTTTACAATTAAAATTTTCTCACAGCGCCATAAACCTAAGTAAAAGTATGACAATTTGTATGAAAGAGATAAAAAAAATAAAACCCGTGTATTTTCGAAAATTTTGCGGCGTCCATGTGAAGAGGTCGCGGTTCCCCGGGGGCGCCGAAGCGCACAGTTCGGGAATCACTTCCCTAGACAATTTTCTTCTCTATAGCTTGCTGCAATAGGCCTCTTGCAAACTGTAACTATCTGCCTCCAAAGGAGAAGTCTGCAGCTGATCTCTCCAAAGCGTCTGTGTCAATGGTAATATCTTTCAGGGTGTGTTTGCACATGTCCTTGTTGTGTAACATTGGTCTTCCTGTGGATCTTATCATTGCTACCAGTTCACCATACAGGAGATCTTTTGGAATGCAATTGTTCTACATGCGAGAGATGGGAACATGAGTATAATTACTGAACAAAATGAGAAAAATCAATGCAGTTGTTACATGAAAGAAAATATACCTGACCAGTAAATTTAATAAATAAAATTAACTACAATGATGTATTTCTTATACACAAGGAATTACAGGGGTACATGTAAATAAATATAAAAGGAAATACAGCAATTATAAATTGTGGCCCATGAGTCCAGTTTTCAAGTCAAATTTTTTTTCTTCTCATTCTAGGGATCGACTTCTTCTTCTTCTCTTTTTGCGTTCACTGGGTGTAAACTCCGGTGGAAAGTTCTAGTTGTTTATCCACTTCTAGACTGTTCCATAACTTGAATTTTGGGTATTAGTCGACTCTTACAACATGCTTGTTGGGAATGCAATGGGTCTATTCTATTTCCCGCTATAATGAGGCCCCGAAACCCACATGGAAAAGGGTCACCTTATATGGCGGGTATAAATGTGTTAGAGATATAGACTTAATTCAGAATTTTCAGCTAAACATACTGAAATCACACTAAGTCGGTTAGTATGTTGCAATTTTGATATAAAATAAAAATAAAATGATGCATTTCTTAAAAAGAAAGAAGAATAAAAGAAAATGTACAAACAACAGCAGAAATATATAACAAAATATATGATCTATAAAGTACATTATGCTAAAATAAAATAAATAGCTACCTTTATTAAACAGACGTAGGTCGATTTCTTGGCCTTTAGGAGTTTGATAGCGGTAGGGAATTGGAGGAGGCCTCAGTTCTGCTGTCTAAACAAGAGATCAAATACAAATTTAATCAATACATATCTAATTTACTGATCCTAACTAGTGATTAAACAGAAAAGAAAACAACTGGCAGTAACACCTTCTTCTTCAACATTCCAAGCCTTTGAGGTTTATTGCTGCACAGCTTTCTCCTTCCTAAGTGGTGACTGCAAGTATCAGTCTTATGGTTTACTCCCACTCAATTCTTGTGGGTACACAGCTTTTGTCTCCCTGTTATCTGCGATTCTTTCTATATTCCTCAACAAATGCAGTCTGTAAGCACTCAGGGTGCCAGTAATTAGTTCTGATTTAAGCAGATTGTGAATTTTAATGTTGTTTCTTACTTTTAATTACCTTGAAAGGGTCCGAGAATTCATCATAAAACCCTGTTCTCAAGAGTTTGTAATAAAGCTTTATCTTTCTTAGATGTACTCCGGTTTCAAAGCCATGTAGGAAGGACAACTGATCTTATCAGTATTTTATAAACTGTGATTGTGGTGTTATGAGACACAGCATTTGATTTTAGCAGACTTTGGAGGTCATAGTATTCTTTATACAACAACACAGTTTCATTAAACAAATAATAATATAGACAGTGACCACTAACTCACATAAATTAAGCAACAATTTACATAAGTTTCCAGATTGGGGTTTGAGGTTTGAACATCGGATCAACATCATAGCACAAGGGCAGTAACCTATAAATGCTCCATTTTACTTCTAACTCAAGCCTGAGTCTGAAATAGCTCATCGCAGTGCATGGGCTCTGTGGCACCGGCAAGGATCCTGAAATACTTTTGGTAGATTTTCAACTCCAAATTTTGCCTGGGCAGCGCCGTTAAGTTACTATTTTCGATTTCCAAATGCCAAGGGATTTTTTACGAGCACAACAAATCAAACGGGCGTCAGATCCCACTACCCAGAGATCAGGGAAAATTACTAGAAGTCCACCTGAAAAAATCTTAGTCTTCACCGAGGCCTGAACCCGGGACCTCTAGCACTCAAGGCGGACACCATGCCTCAAGACCACACAGCCCCCTAGTTTCCAGATTAACACTGGGAAATAATAAAGAAAAGAAAATGACCGGTGATTAAACCCTTTATCCTCCTCCAATGATACACAGACCTTTGGCCAGTTCAGTAACTTTTGCTGTTTTGATTACCAACTTTTGATTGAACTGGTTATGAGAAATTGTGGTAGGTAGAATGTTTAAACGCACTTCTGTTTGATGAACTGTTTGGGTGTATTATAATTTTTAAACAGGCGAAGAAGAAGAAATCACAAGAAATATCTGGAAAACTACAGGTATCAAGAGTTATAAGACACAGAAGATGGCAATATCTTTGGCACATCCCGGGGAGACACAAACATAAAAATTACCAAATAGGCACTGAATGAAATGACGTCCAAAACAAATCCTGCAAAGAATGTTAACAAGCAAGTTTAAATGTGCTTAACTGGACTCCACCAATGATACTGAAAAGACTGCACAGGACAGAATAGAATGGAAGAAACAGATTGCCAGTGCCTGTGACACATAAAAGGAATGACAGGATGATATACTACCAGTCATTTGGTCATACTGTTAAATGCATCTGTTCAGAGAACCTTTCTTGCAGACTTGTGGTTTGGCAAAACTGTTTATGTGCACTTGTGGTCAGTAAATTATGAGCTCCAATGAACGCCTAAACCATTTCACCCAGTGAATGCATTAAAAGATGGGTCATGAACCCACGAGAACTCTCAAAAATCCTTTCAAAATAAATATTTTACACAGGTCACAACATTTTTGTGCATGTAGTAAATTTATTTATTTACATTTTTAAAAATAAAAAAATAAAATAAAAGAGAAATAATAAGATATATAAAAAGGATAATCAATAAACATCAACAGATTAAAGTACTACAGAGAGTACATTCCCCGGGGCCTAAAACATATATGTATCTGGTGATGCATGCCATGACCCCGTGACCTCTATCAATGAGGGTATCAATATTACTCATATTCAGTTTAATTATAAAGAAGCAAGAATATAAACTGAAATTACAATAATAAACCCAGATATTAGAACATTTTTTTTAAAGACCTTTTTTTTTTTCCAAAGTGAGGTTGAAGTTGGAGACTTTCATGTCATAAATTTTTTAAGTCAACTTTGACAATTATACTGACATAATCCTAACAGTACTCAGTATTACAGCAATACATTTGTCAAAACCAACAAAAACATCAGCCCTCGTCAAATATTCTCCCCATGTATGTTTCAGGGCCGCTGTGTGATAGGGAGAAGAACAGACCCACTGCTCCTCTAACAAGCATGTTGTAAATGCTGACTAATTAGGAGCATTGCCTTCTGAGTCAGAGTGCATCTGCATGAGAGGCAAGGAACAAACAGTCTGCAAACAAATAAGCAAGATCTGTAAAACGCATGTGCATGTAAAACTCAGGCTTTGAACAAGACTCTAAGTCCCTAAGTGGGTGAAGAACTAGAACTTTCTGCCAGAGTTGACAGCTGGTGAATGTGGAGAAATCAGCCAGCAGCTAGAGCGTACTACAAGAGAACAGCAGGCTACAGGTCAAGAGGCCAACCAAGAAAGAGATGAGTGGATGGAGTAAATGAGACACTAAAGAAACGTAACATAACATTAACACAAACTTTACAATTAGCAAAAGACAGGAAAATAACTACATCTAACCCCTCTCTGTGAGAAAGCGAAGAAGAAAAATATTCAGTAACTCACCTTGTGTTTATTACCAGGAAACCCACGACATTGTGTCTTCACATACTCACAGTATGTGTTCAGCTCTCTCTTTAGGCTGGGCTAGAAAGAGTCAAACAAATATCATCACTGCAATTAAAACAATAGTCCCCTGTGTGGGTTCCGGGGCCCCATTGTGGGGAAAACAAGAATAGACCCACTGCCTCCCCAAAAGCATGTTGTAAGAGTCAACTAATTGGGGAGCTTCCTTTGAAGACGGAGTGCGTCTGCCGGAGAGGCAAGGAACCAACAGTCTGTATTCAAGAGAATGAGATCTGTAAAACTGATGCACACGCAACACTCAGGTTCTGGAGCAGGACTGCAGTTCAGTAGTAGACGAGCAACCAGAACCTTCCGCCAGAGTTTACAGCTGGTGAACGCGAAGAAGAAGAAGAAGAAGAAGAAGAAAACAATAGTTTAAAAGTTACCCAAAATGACCAAAAATAAAAAATGTACAGTTAGCTGTGAATCCTTTACAGGATGTTGCTGAATCAACCCCATCATTTTCTGGCTGTTTGTAATTTCACCAGAGAGTTCAGTAGTTTGCCACTGCTTCTGAACAGTCAGCTCGCAAAAAAACTATCAAAACCAATGCATTGTGATCTGCTGCCAGATCCTCCACAGCTGGGATCATATTATGAATGGAAAAAGTACACAGGTTTGAGGTTTGAACAATGGTTCAACATCATGGCACAAGGGTAGTAACCCACAAGTGCTTCATTCTACTTCTAACTCAAGCCTGAGTCTAAAGTAGCCCAGCCCAGTGCACGGGATCCATCTGGTATCTGGTAATCCTAGTTTCAGCTTCATAGCAAACGGGTCACCCCACAGATGCTCCGCTCCTGTGCCAACGAAAAACAAACGCAGCTCACAGTGTCACGCCATGCACTCAACTCAGAAGCTGGGCGACGAAACTACATCCTTCCAGTCTACAAATGGAGCAAAAATGCAACGGGATCCATAGCACCGACGAGGATCCTGAAATATTTTGGTTAGATTTTTAACTCAAAATTTTGCCCGAGCAGTGCCATTAGGCTACTCTTTTCGATTTTCAACTGCCAAGGGATTTCTATGTTCGCATCAATACACATGGGCATCTTATCTCACTACCCAGAGACCAGGGGTAATTACTAGAAGTCTACGTGAACAGAAACAAATCCCAGCCTTCACCGGGGCTTGAACCCGGGACCTCTAGCACTCAAGGCGGTCACCATACCTTGAGAGACTACACAGCCCCCTAAGTACACATTTAAAAAGGTACGCAGATGTCACAGTAGCAAAGTTGATAGCCCTACTGTCTACCAGCCTGGAGGCCATACATTAGAGGAATCCCTACCATCCCCTTGTGGGCTCCAACGCCCCACTGACATTGGAAATAAGAAAAAGACCCTCTGCCCTCTAACAAGCATGCCATAAAAGGTCACTGATTAAGGATTTGCTGAAATCTGACGTGTTGAGCCAAACTGTGCAGATACTGCACAGTCTAGCTGTAAACAACAAAACAACATGCAGACCATCCTTCTAAGGGCACACGAACAAGAAGAAAAATCCCTACTGGTGTGCTGGCATCTTACTGTCTTTCCAGATGACAGTGTTTTACACTGTACTAGGGGGAGCATGGAAATCACAGACCATAATGATGGTGAGGTAACTAGCAAGATCCGTCTGTGTTTGGAAAAGTCTACCACACTCAGAGCATGGGATTTCAGGACCATTGTTGGCAACACTTGCATTTAATGCGCTTCTTATGCGCTTAGCTCTCCACCTTTCTGCAATCATTTTTTGTTCCTATATTCCCTTTCCCTTCCTTATGTTTACCCTCCACACAACACTAACCATGGCATTTTGTTCCCACTGTGAATCTAACTCAATACATATATCATTCATCTCTCACTTACACACATCTTTATATTGTAGTAGAGGCTGACCTCAAAACATTCTATCCATCTGTAATTTACCATAGAGGATGTTCATAGGGACTCTACTACCCTCCATTCTCGAAGTGTGACTTGGCCACCTAAGACTTCAGAGTCTCAGCATTGAGAAAATTACCGTGATATTGCTCCTTCCAATGCATCACTGTCTGTGATCTATTTTGCCAAGTAAACCCTATTGATAGGGTTTTTAAAACATTGACATGGTTCCTAGGTCAACCCAGGCTAGAATGAGTCCTGTTAAGCAATATTTTCAGTAAAAGCAGCCAGCATTATGCTGCCTAACTCACCCATCAAATGCCAAGGTATCTATACAAATAGACACAATATGCTGTATCATGTAGCGGGCACTTTACAGATTGTCACTCTCATTGTGGCATGCCAAAAAGCCACTCTACAGATTTTCACTCTCAAATGTGGCATGTCGAAAAGCCACAATACAGATTTTCACTCTCATTGTGGCATGCCAAAAAAGCCATCCTACAGATTTTCACTCTCATTGTGGCATGCCAAAAAATTAATCCTACAGATTTTCACTCTCATTGTGGCATGCCGAAAAGCCATCCTCAAGATTTTCACTCTCATTGTGGCATGCCGAAAAGCCACCCAGTTGACTGCCTGCTTTTTTGCAAACAATATATCTTAGTCAATCAATCAATCAGGTACCATCTTCACAATGATGGCTGGCTTCTATGAATTCCCAATATGCTCTGTTTTTCACAGTTTATCTAAAGGTATAAAAATCTAGCCTTATTTTTTTCTTAATTTGGTTCAGGTGATCAAGGGGTGAAAATAAATCTCACACTCAAGAGCACTTATGGTTTATAACCGTGTGCAATGACGCTGGTTTACATCTCCCGACTTTACCTTTTAATGTCCAACTCTGCTACCAGCTAGGACCTACCTTAATGTCTAACTCTGCTAACAGCTAGGACCTACTTTAATGTCTAACTCTGCTACCAGCTAGGACCTACCTTAATGTCTAACTCTGCTAACAGCTAGGAACTACTTTAATATCTAACTCTGCTACCAGCTAGGACCTACCTTAATGTCTAACTCTGCTACCAGGTAGCGCATACGCTCCTCATGCAGCTTGTGGCACAGGTCACCAGATGAGGTTGAAGGAACACCAATAAGAATATCTGTGTAGAAAATTACACATGCTCAGTTACTTACAAGCACAGTGTCCTTTAATCTGTTGTTGTTGTTGTTGGCAAAAGTAATAAATGTTGAATAACAAATATACATGTTTTTTTAATTTCCAATACCTTTTGATTTAATATTAATCTGGTTAATTTTATGTTTCCTAGGTCAGGATGAAAGTGACTTCCCTTGCCATTCATGCCTCGTCAAGTCGCAGGACCTCTCCTATGTTCTGGGGGTGTTTATGTTTTTCTTACTTTCAATGGCTTAATCATCCCCTCTTTTCTCGCTGCTCACCTACATGGTTATTTTCACATTCTGCTACCTGCGTGACAGTTCGGGAATATGGAAACAGTGATATTTTTCTATTCCTACATTCCTTGTAAGTGCTTTTTTTCTCCCGGGGGGAACCACCACCAACGACCTTACAAATACAAAAAGTCTCAGTTTTGATACTCAAGAATTGTCACGCTTATGGCGCTTCCCCCTGCAGTACTTGTACACAGGTACCTGAAATAGACTAACAACAACACAACCTCCCACAAATATTATATACGCCGAGCGAACTCCAAACCAAGCCAAATCATAACACCCCCCGCAACATAGGAGAGGTAATGCGACCTGACAAGGCATGAACAGCAAGGGAAGTCACTCTCATTCTGGGCCAGGAAACATAAAATGAACCATAAATATTTATAAAAAATTAGATCCACTGAAGGTTCACTGTTAACTCCGTGTGCCTTGTTATATAATTAAGGGTTCATTAGCACACAGACGAAAGCAAAAAAAGGACACTCTAAAAGTTTTAAAAAAGACAGGGAGATTTAAGACAAGAAGGTAAGAAGGTTAGGCCAGATGAAACAGAGGATACCGATTACTTGTTTTGCGAGGAAAATTTACAAGTGACTGAAACAAAAACAAAAAAAAGTTGGAAGATACCACCACTAAGAAACAATGCATAAAACAAACATTTAAGAAACAAAACAGCTAGAAACGCACGCACGCACCCACACACCATGCCTTGCCACTCACAGGCACACACACACATACACACACACACAATTTTTAAAAAATAATAATTAATTAACTTATAAAAATAAGACAGAAGGTAACAGAAACAAATGTGTAGATGACAAACTGTATTACCTAACAGACAGCAAAGTCCACTGCCCCAGCTCCTTACTGCCTCTGCCAAGCTAAAAAAATCTGAACAGAATCTGTCACGGGCGACAATGGTTATCAAAGACAGGGATCTTGCAAGATCCTAGAAGAAAGAGAATGAGAGAAACATGATACTGCTTACTATCTGTAAACTAAGTACAATTTGAGAAGCTTTTATTAAGTTCACTTTTGTTTCTTTGTTTGCTCGTATATCTGCTCAACCTTTTTTCCTTCATTTCTACACTATTTCCTGATAAGATATCGAGCTCAAATTTTGAACATACCTTAAACGCATATATATGATTTGTTGACAATTTTTGCTTTCAAAGATATGATATGTTTAGATTGTAAAATAAACTGTCAAAAGACTTAATCTATGACACTCTTTGGATTACTTCCATCCCCCCCCCCCCTCCCCCAGTACTCTGCAGGCATTAACAATTCCCAAGATGCACTGCTGGGAAGGGTCAAAATATTTCGTTAGATATTACTTGAACTCTAGAAAGAGGGGAGACCTAGGAAGGCTAGCCCAGACAGTTAAGCCATACACAGACACTGCAATTATATCCTTGGATTAATGCAGGAGAGGAAGGAAAGAAGGAGAGGGATGTATCTGAGTAGAACTCTAGCCCTCAACTATTCTAGTCAATGAAAATAGAAGAATATTACTTTAAACCATAACTGTGTGCAATTATCAACTTTTGTATGTCTGTATGTCACTGCTTTTTAAAGTGGTTGGCTGAGCAGTTAAGAACAGTGTGCCTTCATGCAGGAGACCCAAATTCGAATACTTGGCAAGGTGACAGATTTCTATTTGGGCAAAAATAAAAATCCTAGCCTTGGGAAAAATAAAAATCCTAGCCTGCAAAGCTGTGGCAATTAGACCAACTAATTGGCCCTAAATTCTCTGGCTCAAGATCTCTAAAAAAGTGGTAAGTACAGGCAATAAGTAGTCGTTAAGAAAGAGAATAGGGGCCTTTGAGCTGAAATGTTACAGAAAGATTCTCAGAATATCTTGGACAAAGAAGAGGAGAAATACTGACATCTTGAAAGATCTGAACATCAAGAAAGATTGGCTAATAAACAGCATCCTATTTCGGAAGCTGAAATATTTTGGTCATATCAAGCGCCACGGCGGATTGGAAAAAAGTTATAGCAGAAGGCACAGTTCCAGGAAGGAGGGGCAGGGGCAGCCAAACACAAAGATGGGCACAGGATACAAGTGACTCCTTGAGGATGAAAGTACATGAGGCGGAAGAGCTGGCGAGAGACCGAGTTTCTTTCAGGCAGACTGCGATGAGAGCGATGTTCTGCAAAGGACCTGCTACATGATTATGACAGGCAATAAAGACAGGTGGTTTTTTTTTTTTTTTTTTTAATATGAAATGTTTTGTATGGCTTTTCCTCTTCTTAATGTCATTCTACATAAATCCTGAGAATAAATCTCACCTCAAGGAGTGAATCTCGAGTCCTCTCAGAGCCCTTCTGCAATATCTTGCTGAGTCTCCATCTGTGTGTGTGGCCTGGAAAGTTCAGGCTGGCCACTTCAAACTCCCTGTTGAAAATATATGCAGAAAAAAATTTATTCAGATGAATCTGTGCACCACTGTTCCCTTCTGCTTCCTGTATCAGATTACAAGACTGCCTCACCATTTCTCCACTTACAATTCATGAGTTCACAGAACCAGATATTGCATGTTACAAATTTTTAGCCATTTCTCCTGGGATGAATAAGTTAGCTGAAAGTTTCACTACCATGAAGAAGAGTGCTGAGAACACAAGCCTGAAATACAAGGGTTTTTGTTTTAACCATGAGCTTTATGTTCTCCCAAACTGTTTGTTAATCTGCTCATCCCTGTTGCTGCCTTATCTATCCTAATGTTGATTTCTTGGTCCAGTGATAGTTTATTAATCACTGTGGATCCCAGATAGGTAAAATGGTCAAGTCTCATGCTCCTCCCCTTCAGTTAAGACTGAGTCTTTCCACCTAAATCTTTCTCTTCTGTTTGCTGACTGTTAGTCTGAATTCAAAGCAGGAATAAGCAAATGCAGATAGCAAACACTGCAGTTTTTCCTCAGATTGAGTTGTAATTGCAGCGTCATCTGCGAAGAGCAGCTCTCTGATAAGTCTGATCCAGGTCTTGTCTTTCAGTCTAAGTGCACTCCAGGTCTTGTCTTTCAGTCTATGTGCACTCCAGGTCTTGTCTTTCAGTCTATGTGCACTCCAGGTCTTGTCTTTCAGTCTATGAGCACTCCAGGTCTTGTCTTTCAGTCTATGTGCACTCCAGGTCATGTCTTTCAGTCTATGTGCACTCCAGGTTATGTCTTTCAGTCTATGTGCACTCCAGGTCTTGTCTTTCAGTCTATGTGCACTCCAGGTCTTGTCTTTCAGTCTATGTGCACTCCAGGTCTTGTCTTTCAGTCTATGTGCACTCCAGGTCTTGTCTTTCAGTCTATGAGCACTCCAGGTCTTGTCTTTCAGTCTATGAGCACTCCAGGTCTTGTCTTTCAGTCTATGTGCACTCCAGGTCTTGTCTTTCAGTCTATGTGCACTCCAGGTCTTGTCTTTCAGTCTATGTGCACTCCAGGTCTTGTCTTTCAGTCTATGAGCACTCCAGGTCTTGTCTTTCAGTCTATGAGCACTCCAGGTCTTGTCTTTCAGTCTATGAGCACTTCAGGTCTTGTCTTTCAGTATATGTGCACTGCAGAGACTACTGTCAGATCAAGAATGGTTTATAAGATTAAGTGCTTATCTTATTTACCCCAGTTTCCTGATCATTGTGAACTGAGCCTCATTAAGCTTCTTCAGTTTCCCACTTTCGTCCATAGCAACGGCTTCAAGTTCATCAAAAGTTGGAGTCACAAACAAGTCCTTAAACTGGACAACTCCCTGGAGGGAAGACAAATTCAAAATTCATCAAACTAATATCAAAACACAGAAAACTGCTGCATATATATATTCCCAGAAAACAGTTTCCTATATATCTACATTAAAAAAGAGGAGATTATGTGAGTTCTTCTTCTTAATTCTTTCTCAAATTACCATGTGGTACTGTTGCATCTTCCTTTTCTTCTGTGCTTATCCTTCACAAATGGGAAGGTGGGGGTTTGGCATACTGTGTTCACAGCTAGGCTGCAATATCTATGCCAGTTCACATTCAATTTCAGCAAACCTCTAATTAGATGCCTGTCACAACATGCTTAGGTGGGCAGTGGGTCTATTCTTTTTAACCCCAAAATGGGGTCCTGGAACCCACTCAGAGATGCTGTTATATAAGTCTGCTATTAGCTTTTCTTGAAAACTTTTAGTTTTTGTGTGTGTCCTCTATAAGATATAGATATTATGTTAAGTGGTTTTTCTGTACTTAAGTTGGTTGAACCGTGGAATCACATACAAAAACTGGCTGGTGGCGGTACCATATATGAAAAAACCTATGCAAACAGGTCTTCTTAATATTTGTCTAATACCTGATGCAGAACCAGCCTCATCAATATTTTGGCTGTTCGTGATTTTATTAGGCAATTTTATGTTTAGTAGTTTGCCACTGCCATCTGAATGGTTAGCTCTTGATACCACTGTCAAAAACAATGAAAGACGGCCGGCATTCGAACTGCCCGCAGCTGAAATTGAACCAGGCATCTCGGAATTACAAAGCGTGTTTGCAACAGCTAAGCCACAGATGTCAGCAAATCTAGTCTAAGAAGTGGAAGAATACTGACATTTGTCGTGATCTGAATATCAAGGTGACCCAGTTGGTTCCAGGGCCGCCCCATTTGGGGGAAGGGAGAGAGAATACACCTGTTGACCAACTACCTCCTAACAAGCATGTCGTAAAAGGTGACTAATTAGGTGTGTTTTCTTCGAAGTTAAAGTGCATCTGCCTCAGAGGTGAGGGACCAACAGTCTGCATACAAAGCCATATCTGTAAATTAGATGTTCACACAAAACTCAGGCTCTAGTAAAGTGGACAAACAATCAGAACTTTTTTGCTAGAGTTTAAATATGGTAAATGTTTGGATGAAGAAGAATAATTTCAAGGGGGATTTGGTTCATTTACAGCATAATTTCTTTGAAACTGACAAACTTTGGCCATATTAAGCGCCATGATGGTTTGCAGAGAACAGTAAATGAGGGTAAGGTTCTTGGAAAATGAGGCAGGGGTCGACCAGCCTTGCTGAGCACATTTTTTTTAAAGGAAATAAAGTTCTAATTTTCACCTTTACTGTCACATGACTTCAAGCAATAACTAAGAATTGTCAAAACAAGTACTTTATTATACAGACTTTCCCCCTCTGATCTTTGGTAACATGTACTAGTTCAAAAATCTCAATTAATGAAGTGACTGCTGTCTTTGTGAGTGCTCAGGTGTTCATGCGGGTGAGTGTGTGTGCTTGCGTATGCATGTGTGGAATCTCTGCCTCTATCTTTCTTTACTGCCCCTTCCACAAGAAAAAGACATTTAACTTTATTGAGATAAATTATTTAAACTATTCCACCATGTACCAAGGTCATAAAACTGATATTCTTTTATTTCTGTCTCTTTAATACACATCTGACTCTAAATTCAGCAGAAGCTAGATGTTTGAGAAAGGCTGTGGGAGTAACAAGAAGAGACCAACAAACAAAAACAGGAATCAGGCTATAAGAGGCTATAGCGTAAGACAGTGATTTCCAAACCGTGTGCTGCATCACCCCAGGGAGCCGCGACCTCTTCCTAGGGGCGCCGCAAAATATTCGAAGATACGTGCGATTTATTTGTTTTGATCTCTTACATACAAATAGTCATACTTTTACTTACGTTAGGGCGCCGTGGAAAAATTATAACTGAAAAAAAAAGGTGCCGCAACTAAGAAAAGTTTGGGAAACAATGGCCTAAGAAATTCATCTGTTAAACATGCTTTATGTTTATTAACAATGACCATTATACTTTTGACATCATCAATAATAAACAGACATCTTCAGGTTGTGTAAAGTAGAGAAAAAGGCAAACATAACTTACCGTATACTCTTCACCATCACTGATGGTTGCATCTGCCCTCTTTTCTGTGATAGAATCAGGCAAGATGATGGGGAAATTTTTCCAGTGGAACAGCAAAGTTTCTGACAGCTAGAAAATAATCCACAATGAATACACATTTTAAAATCAACTAAATCTGCGATGTACACTGTTATGCATGCACAGACAACAAAATCCACAAAAGTGTAATACGTAGAACAATGCAATCGTAATGGAGTAACAATGTGCAATACAAGAATCTTACTGTCTCAGAATCTCTTGCTCAAGGCTACCTTTCCCTCATGTATGTGTTGTGTATGTTGTATCGGTGTGTGTGGTCTGTATATAGGTCGTATATGTATATACACGTTGTGACTGTTTTTTTTCCCCCTGTGTATGTGTGCTGGGTGTGTGTGTATGTGTTGTGTCTGTATGTGATCTATCTTTGATTGTGTTGATACTTCTCTGTCTGTCAGTCTGTCTCTGTGTGAGTGCATGTGTGTGTGTGTGTATGTGTGTGCATGCATGCATGTGTGCGTGCGCCATCAATGTGTGCACCTCTGGGTGTGTAAGGGTGTTGTGTATGTGTGTGTGTCTGCAATGTGTGAGTGTTTTTGCAAGTATATTGGAAGGTATGCATTTGTCATCCATGCCTTTGTATTTTTAATTTACATTTATACAAGAAATTCTGATACACGAACATAATATGCCTGATATATAAAATTCTACTGCTGCAGGAAAATGAATGCTTGGAAGCACCAAATGTAAGACGGCCTGCGTGCCCAATTTCTAACCCTCCGGAAATAAAGCCTGTTTAATGGTTCATGTGGTGGACCCTGTTCTCCATAGTAATCCAGGGGAAGGTTAGGGTTTCAATCAACAGCGGGGAAACTGGATGGGACAACAAATAAGTTATATGTGAAATCTGGTTCCAATAGCCAGCTTCAGAGCTGAGTGCATGGTATGACACTGTGAGCTGTGGATTTCATAGGAAAAACTTTTTGTTACTGCTTCCAGTGATTTGTGTTGGGCTTCAGATTCAGAAATGGAGGACAGCTGGTTGCCACAAAACTGGGATTATGCCTTATGCAATAATGCATAAACACCTCCTAGTTTGCTGTGACTGATGCTTCCATCAAGAATGAACTGCAGTTCCAGTGACAGACTGTTTTATGCTAAGACCTCTGGTGGCTGCCTCAAGCATTTAATGTGTGTGTGACCTATTGGATTTTACTGGGACTGCTGACAGGCATGTTGTGTGATTTTTCCCTGGCACAAGAACGGAGTAATTATGAGGTGATCAATTTGCTGTGAAGTTGGAGCTGCAACTGACAGCATGATAATGTAGAATTATATTCAAGAAAAACGTTATAAAAGATCAACAGATTCATACCTTTTTAATGGACAGTGTAAGCTCTGCAACTTCAGGTGACAATTTTTCAGTCTCAATGCTGAATGTGAGATTTTCCCGCTAAGGATGAAAAATAGCAAAATTATAATTATTAATTTAGACTACATTTTATCTGTACACTGAATACACTGAATCTGTAGTGAATAGCATGCATTTTGCATGCTATGAAAATATTTATAGACAATAAGCAGAGAGGCTAATCAACACCAAAACTAAACACACAAAAACAGATCTGATTATCCATTCATTCATTGTGTGCTACTGTATGCCTGTGAAACTTGGACTGTATACAGACGTAAGGGGAAAAAACTCAACCACTTACGTACAGTCTGTCTGAGAAAGATACTGAATATTAAAGGAAATACATGGTCCCGGTCACTGCTGTACTCAGTAGGGCTGGCATTTCCAAAATCAATAGCATCCTAATGCAGTCACAGATTCGATGGGCTGGCCATATAGTTCGAATACCTGATCATCGGCTCCCAAAAATAATCTTCTATAATAATATAGGAAGGTAGATGCTCTCATGGTGGCCAGACAAAAACGCTTCAAGGACACAATAAAGGCATCACTGACAGATTTCAACATAAGCCCTGACACCTGGGAGGCTGCAGCACAAAACCGGACTTTATGGCACACATATATGAAATGGTGCAACAATCTACGAGGCATCTAGAACAAGGGCAGCTGAACAGCGAAGACATACCAGCAAAAACCATCAAGCAATCACTCATTCACCTCAGGACTCAAAAACATTAAATTCATGATGGATGAAAGAAAGAGTGGTCCTCATCACTTGTGATGGCTGAACAACAACATTTATTGTCCTGTTGCACCATTATATGTCATACAGGGTGTATAGTCTATTCCTCCATTTTGTTTTGACCTGTGCAATCCCTCTGATAACAAGAACTGAATCTAGTCCAGCACATTTGGCTCTCTCACCAACCTTTCCTCCATTCCTCTATTTACAATTTTAGTGCTTGTCTGATAAATCTCCGCTCATTGCTTCTCAGGAAATGTCCATTAAAGTGCCACCTTCACTGGCACCTTTACGTTTTTCCAGACGATAGTGTTATATTGCGCTATGAGGAGGCATAAGACTCACAGCCCATGGCGATGGCGAGTGTGACTAGCAAGACCTGCCCGTGTCAAGAAAAGTCTTCCACGATGACAGCATGGGATTTCAGGACCATTTTTTTGTTTCTGAGACCGATTAAGGCCAGGGATGACGTTCCTCCTCTCCACAGCACAAAGCCTGGGCAGTACTGTCGAGACCATATGTTGCCCATGCATAATGATCCCTTCCTCAACCTGCCTTGTTTACTCCAAAGGAAAGGAAAGGAAAGGTAAAACCAGTACGTTTGGAACGAGGCAGGTTGTAGAAGCTGCCGGATCAGAAGAGCAGTGCTCTATCTGTCCGCCTGTTGGAGTTTCCCTCCAAGACCAGCTGCCAGCCAAGGCGAAGGGTTGCCCAGACATTTCTCTTATTTCTTTACCCCTTATAAATTAATTTTATGCTCAGGCATCTGTTTTCAAATGCATTAAACTTTTGTTCATGTCTCTAGAGGTTCACCAGTTTTCACTGGCACATTTTAACATTGAAATAACATCAGAATTGAATATTTTAACATAGTTTTAAAGCTATACAATTTATAGTTCATTGTTTTGTTCCGGCTTTAAAAACGTGGGTTCATGGACCTTTGAACCATTTATTATAGCTCCAGGACTAAAAAAGGGATCTGCACTTTCACCTGTACAGTTCAAAGTTTTTTATGAGCAAGACTGTGTACCAGAAAACACCTGGAGTTGACAGAATACTGACGTTTGCAGATGATGTTCTTGTATATAGGAATGGAAGAGATCGGAATCAAATAGCTCAAGAGTTACAGGCGACAGTAGATAAGGTGATCGACTCATGTATAGAGATGAGTGCTGTAATCAACCTAGAAAAGGCAACCATTTAGTGGTGTTCTTTGGACAACAGGATTGTTAGAGCTGATGGTCAAACACTCAAAATAAATTGCAGGAACATCAAAAGAAACAACAGACTGTGTTACCTGGAAATCAAATTTGACAGAAGTTTGTCTTTTAAGGATCATATAGAGGGGTTTGTGACAAATGCTCAAAAAGGTCTTAATGCACCAAAGATTATGGCAGCAATGGACATGGAGCAGAGAATGCTGTTCACACTTTACCAGCAATTAATCATCTCAGTGACTGATTATGGATTGGGGTTACTAACTGTCTCGAAGAGTTAGCTAGAGAAACTGGAGCACATACAGAATGAAACTATGCAGGTGATCCAGGGATGCACAAAGGACACCCCGGTTGTGTGCATGTGATACACCCTTACACTGCTGACTATTGCAGATAGGCTAAAGGTGCTGCAGGCTAAGTCATACCTCAGAGTAGCTGCAGACAAAGAACACCCTCTGTATGAAGCTTTGGCTGCAGGTAAGAGTCAGAGGTGGAAAAAAGTGAAAATCTTGGACAGCTCAAGCAGAAGAAATAATAAGTCAAGTATGCATGCTGGAGAACATTGTGGGAGGAGAGGAGTGGGTCAGAGTACCAGAGGAAACGTCTGACCTGTGTAGGGTTGTGATCACATTAGGCAGGGAGTGCAGAGAGTGGCCGGTACGGAGGTGGAAGTCCAACAGTTGATTCAAGACTATTCTTGTCCAGATGATCTGATTATCTATACAGATGGTTCAGTGTTGAGAGGTGAGAGAAGTGCCAGGGTGTTCGTAGCAAAAGCCAAAAGAAAATCTTTAATGCAAAACAGACTAGCAAATGATACCACAACATGTAGCATGAGAATGGAGGCGGAGGCAGTAACTGCAGTTTTCCGTTGGCTAGAGAACAAGATGCATACACATGTCAACACTGTAAAAGACTCTGAAGGCATGCTGAGAAAGGTGAAGCCAGGGATGCCTTGAGCAGAGTGGCACTAAAGCGTCTGGCTGGCTCACTACACTCAGAGGAAAAGCAAGATGGACATATAACCAGATTACAACTGGTAACATTAGTATTGGAATTCTGCGCTGGCTGCTGAAGATGAGGATGGAGCACTCATGGGAATGGCCCTGAGTGCTATGATGCCAATTCTTTACTCAACTGAAAATTACTTTAATGATATTTATCATTGTTATTGGTATGTCAAAACATTTCAGATTCCCCACAGAGCGTAACTTATCAAAAAAAACTTCTTAAATTCAATAACATTTTAAATAAGGTGTTGCTGTTTTTCTTAACAAATTCCTCTTAAAAATAATCTCAGGTTATTTATCTGATATAAGCAGCTTCTTATTGGTTGAAAATCTGCTTGTTTTTCTCTCAGATCCACCACCATTCTATTGAGAATTAATTTACAAAAAGTCTAGGACAGTGATTCCCAAACAGTGCGCCACGGCGCCCGGGGAGACGAAACCTCTTCACAGGAGCACAGCAAAATATTCGAAGATACACAAGTCTTAATCTTTTTTTAACTCTTACATACAAATAGTCATACTTTTACTTGGGTTAGGGCGCCGTGAAAACATTTTCATTGAAAAAAGGCGCAGGGACTAAGAAAAGTTTAGGAAACACTGGTCTAGGACATTAGTGATAACAGAGTAATTCCTTTACAGTTGTTACAGTCAGTAACTTCCTTGGGAATTTTAACAACTATTCCTTAAAAATGGCTTAACAATTTTATCAAAGAAACTTTTAATATTGTAAAATATATACATATATATTATCATATGCTCAATGTTAAAAATATAACATTTATTTTCATAAATATTCTTTCTATTATTTTAAGCACTTCTTGGCGTGCATATCTATTTTACAGATCTGGCTTATTTATATACAGACTATTGGTTCTTTTCTCTCAGGCAGAGGCACTTTGACTTGAAAATAAATGCCACTAATTAGCTGCCTTTTATGTAATGTATGGGGGAGGGGAAGGGGGGGCGGTGGCTCTATTAATTGCCCCCCCCCCCCTTTCCTCCCCAAAATGGGCTCACAGAATCCACATAGGAAGTTTTTATGAATTTATTTATATAAAAAGTGTTTTTTAATTTTATATATATATATATATATATATATATATATATATATATATATATATATATATATATATATATATATATATATATATATATATAATATACATACACACACATACATATAAATTATATCCACACATAAAAGTTTTTTTTTTTTTTTAAATAAAAAAAAAATTTTAAAAAAACTCAACTAAATACATACCTGAGGTTGTGAGCCTGTGGCAGCTAATGGATTAGTGTAATTCTTCTCCATGACCAGCTGCAGAGACTGACCACATTTAATCAGTAAACAGTGCTGATGAAACTGATACCTTCAAGTGGCATATGTCTGGTATAACCCAAATGAAATGTAACAGAAAAAAAATTATAAATTAATTAGTCTAGTATACTTTGCCTGATAGAGAAAGAATTTTGCAATCAACCTGCATCAAGGTGGATTTCTGATTAGCCTGACTTTTCAGGTTCACTCAACCTAAAATGAGTCTAGGAATTTTACTGGGAAGTAAAGGTAGGTGATATGATGGTGATCACAATACCTATCAAGCATAATTTGACCTAAAAAAATTGGATCTAGCATCATATGCAAATGAATTCTGTGTGGTTTATCAAAAGAAGAGGCTGAACAGAGAAACTGGCCTTATGTTGATTAAAAAAAAAAAGTAAAGATCCCTTTTCACGCCTTTTGGCGCATCGGGCATATGGGCAGAGCGTCCCATATTTTTACAGACCATCAGCACTCGGTGGGTAATGTGGTCAGCATTATGCCGTTATGTTGATTTACTGATTTAATAATCAACATCACAGCACACCGGGCATACCATAGATAGGCAGGGTCACAAATTGAGAACTGCTGAAGGATTATTTTCTCCATTTGTTACAAGTTATGTTATCATCATCGTAACACCATCCTCACTCTACTAGCCTCTGCACGTATGGAGCTCATGGACTGACTCATTTCTATCACTGATATTCTGTATAATGTCATGATCAATCCCATCCATTTATTTTTGTTTAGACTTATAACTAAATCTTGTTCATGTTGTTATTAAAATAGTTGAGTAAATTGTGTACTTAGGTTCATGTGTCTTTATGCACACTAGTTGACCTCAGCTCACTTATATTTAAATCACCTGATGGAGGCTTTTGTTCTATATTAATACCAGGAGAGGAGAAAGTCGGAGGTGTTAACTGTGTATCTTGATATTATCTCACTGGATTCATCTTGATATCTATCTATCTATCCTTTTTTCTACTCCTGTGGATACAACTACAGCTACTTTCATTATATTGTAAGGTTTTTTTTTTTTGGGGGGGGGGGGGGGTGGGGGGGGGGGGGGGGGGGGGGGGGGGGGGGGGGGGGGGGGGGGGGGGGGGTATATCAGGACAGTGTCTGGGATCAACATAACTCAGATATTAGTCCAGTTCTCATGTGGGTCTGCAGTGTTGGACTATTGAGGCGCTCGCTAGGATTCAGACCCACACACTCACTATATAAGTGTATATTCCCTCGTGGGTTGGTGACACCGGCCTTAAATGAGTACCAGGTAAAACTCCTGGGAAGTAAAGGTGATCAGCTTGACGTTGACTTCATCACTCACCGAGTGTTGATTGGTCTATAAAATGTAGGTCTAGCTCTATATGACAAATACACCTGAAGGTGTGGAAAGGGACCATTTACCTAACTTGTGCCCCATCCAACTATAACATGAATCTATCTTATCTCAGTTGTTACTTGTACTTTGGTTCCTTTGTCTAATTTTTTATTAACCGAAACGATTCAGATTTAATTAACAACTGCTTAGGAAATCACATCAGGGAATTAAATCTGACCGATTTCATCACATGCCCTAAAAGCTTCCATCTGAACACTTGCTGTGAGTACTGTTACATACTGTCGGGGGCAGCGTTAGCGTAGTCGATAGGAGACTTGCTTTGAAATCTAACTGCGACTCGCCGCAGCCCACGGCCGGTGTTCGAAACCAGGCGGTTCCCGGCATTCACCTAGCCTTTAGGTAATGGGTACCAGAGTTAACACTCTGGGGTAAATGGAGGAACATCGCTGTAGCTATGGAGTTGCGTGCCGATGGCGACACAGGCGAACAGTTTCTTATCAGCTGTCCGTACTGGTGGCAGAGCACTTATGGTTAATAACTGTGTGATATGACGCTGGTTCACATCTCCCGACTTTACCTTTTACTGTTACATAGTCAGTTAGTTAAACGACAGATTATCCTCATTGCACATTGAACCATTCGGTCTATAAGTGCTCGGATCATCTCCTTAGTAAATCACACAGCAAGTAGCAGCTCACGACACCAGTTCTGTGTTGGTTTCTTATTCTTCTTTGGCTTTCTGCATAGTGCTCTTGTCTGGCCACACCACTTTTAACATGTTCTTGCAGTCTGGTCATGGTTGCAGATTCAGTCATCACTTGGTTCTTGCAAACATCTTACTTCTCATACACCATTCATAATATAAGCATGGCTTGTCTGCGCTCCACATTAGTGAGTATTGTCATATACGTTCATGAAACTTCTGTTGCTTATCATTACAAATTACTGTTGAGGGAAACGTTGGCTAGTTATGGCTTCCTAAACTAAAACTTTATTTTCACCAATTTACTTTCTTTTGGCTCATAAAAGGATAAAGATAACCCAAAGCATTTGCTGCAGCCTCATGTGCCACTAGGCATAACGAGAACTGATGATGATGAAAGCATTTGCTGCCTTGACTAGAGGGAATTAAATGGTTTTGATAGAATCACTAATGTTGAGATTCTAAACAAGTTCCAGTGGACCAAGAGGTGAAGAAAAGACACCGGTGCTGGATATGACACACGTTGAGAGAACGTAGGAAAAAACTAGAATGTCTTTGCATTGGAACCAACAGGGGCATACAAATAAAGGCAGACCAAAAAACACATGCAGAAGGAAGCTAGAGAGTAAAAATAAGATAAGGAGGACATGTGGTGAGCTTCATGCACCGGCGAAAGATAGAACAATCTGGCCTGAGTTGATTGAGAGTCTATGCTCTACTGGGGCATAGAAGGTAGAATAAGTTATTGCCTTTGGGATGTCAAAAGTCAGGCAACAGACCCATCCAACTGGACCTGTTACTTAATAACCGTTCTGTGGTGTCCCAATATAACAGTGCTATATGACTATAAGTACATGAGGCGGAAGAGCTGACGAGAGACGGAGTTTCTTTCAAGCAGACCATGATGACAGCAAACGTTTTACAAAGGATCTGCTACATGATGCTAATGATATGACTATATGGTTAAGGGAGTCTACTGGATTTGCATCTGTTAGATTGCCAAACCATGAGATGTTAATCCTACAGGCTGCAGTGTAAAGTGATGGAGAGAGCAAACTATCTTTTGTGTGTTTCTTTTTGTTTAAAGTGTCAGGCCTTTACATATTCTAGGTCATGTCATACAAGCCGGGGTAGATGACTCACTTCCTCATCACATTTTCTTCACATATAATTGTGGTATCCCCCGTGTGGGTTCCGGGGCCCCATTGCGGGGAAAACAAGAATAGACCCACTGCCTACCCAAAAGCATGTCGTAAGAGTCGCCTAATTGGGGAGCTTCCTTTGAAGTCGGAGTGCATCTGCCGGAGAGGCAAGGAACCAACAGTCTGTATTCAAGAGAATGAGATCTGTAAAACTGATGCACACGCAACACTCAGGTTCTGGAGCAGGACTGCAGTTCAGTAGTGGACGAGCAACCAGAACTTTGTGCCAGAGTGTACAGCTGGTGAACGCGAAGAAGAAGAATTGTGGTATTTGGTGCCTGCTGAAGTTTTGACATCACCAGCGTGACTACCCCTACTAACTTGTGTCTGTGGGAATGAATGTATTTGTTATGAATTTTATTAAGTGACAACATGTTATTATGAGTAAGGAGAACCTGCCGGAAGAACCCGATCATATTATTATTATTGTGAACACACACAATTACATTACAAGGTGTAGCATACGTCAGATTAAATAACAATAACAAGATTTCTATCTCACTACGTGCGCTTTGTTGGTTTTTGCATCATTATTTTTCAATGCATTTCTATAACTGCCTGCTGGCATCTCACAGTAAGTGGATTAAAAATTAAAACACTAGTCACATAAGGAATCCACCTGGTCTGTTGAGGTGGGAACTGTGTGCGCTGTTTTCTTCCTCATCAGCTGGTGTATTCCTGGATCTCTGATCTTCCTCCTACACAAACTCACACCCCAGCTTTACATCTTTGTCATAGTATTCTAATTGTTATGCGTCCAGGGAATTCCTAATTACGGCATTTATAACATACATTTAGTCTTTAATAGCAGGATTTTCGAAAGGTAATATATGTGCTTTTGCAATAATCTATAGCGAAAAACACACCTCAGAAATAATCATATGCAACATATGCTCCGTGTTGTTCAAAACTATCTTTGGCTCTAGCTCTGGCAGAGCAGGAATGAAAATGGCAGCGCTCATGTAATGTTGACTTAAGAGTCGTCGATGTTGGATTTGTTGACATTCGTCTCAAGTACTTCAACATCTAGGTATCACTAACATTACAGTTTAAATTTTTCTTTATTCTCGAAACAGTGATCACAAGAAAGCACAATCATACTTGTATACTGTTTCTTTTGTCATTATCCTGTTGTGCTGCTGACTGTCGCCACTCCTTTGCAGTTAAAATGTAATAAATAGTAATATATTATTAATAATTAATATACTAATATGGTTTACGCCAACCGATTATGAGACAATCAGACAATCCATTGTTTGGTGTACATTCACATAATATAAATAATAATAATAATAATATTATTTCATATTTAATATTGTTTTAGACTAGGGTTTGAGTTAGGTTTAGTGCTTGGGTTAGCCACTAACTATAACCCTAATTATTAAATATGAAAAAGTGAAAGAATATTATTATTATGACAACTTACACAAACAGTTGATTACGTCCCCCTGTGGTCGGCACTTACAGTAATGTTAACTTATAATAAATTGTGTTCCCGTAGTGTCCCCATTACCAGGAGTGCCTCCCTGTCTGTTCCTCTACTAGTCCGTTCCTCTATCCTGTGCAATCAGTTCAATATCATGGATGGAATCCAATTCAGTAGCCTTGGCCTCTTTCATAATCAAATCAGTACTTATCATTTTCGGCTATCCTCCGAATAACGGTCCTAAATTATCAAGGCCGAAAATATACCCTAACAGGGCCCCAGTCACGTGTCAATTGCGAACGTCCGGGGACTATACCGCAACCGCTGAATTGCGGGCTTCTGGGGACTATGCCGCCACCGCCAAGAGTATCCCCACACGGATTGGGGCGTAACTAGATGGCTGGGACTCACGAGCAGATAAAATGAAGGGAGATGCGGTAGCTGCTGTTCATGAGTCCCAGCCATCTAGTTTAGCTACAATTCATGCCTCATTAGCGTGGGGGATACTCTCGGCGGTGGTAGAAGTAAGTAATTTAAGTCGCCGGAAGTCGGCAATTAACACGTGACTGAGGCCCTGAGGGTATATTTTCGGCCTCTATAATTTGGGACCGTTTTTCAGAGGATAGCCTCATTTTCTTTTCAGTTTTCTCGCCTCCTAAATCCCTTTATTTCCAGTTTTAACGCATATTTGATGAGCCTCTGTTGGTTTCTTTTTATTACATTACTGTTTTAAGAAACTATATATAACCCACTGGGCATACCTATCGCTCCTTCTCCCACAGCAGATGTTTTGAGGTGTAGATGCTAACTTTTCCCATAGCACACTATTTATATATGCACATTGTTATCTTTTTCCCATACAGCTGTCCTTGCTGGATCCTTCTAATTCTTCATTCACACATTCTAACACATGTTATTTTATGTAACTTGTATCTTCTATCAACATTCGTTCATCTCAGGATGTTTCCAGTATAGCGCCATCTTCTCTGACTGTAACTGGATACTAGTTTTTGCCCACATATTTCTATTTCTTCACTTCTTTTGTATTGATCCCATTTAATTTTCCTCAGACTTTTGTCTTTGAAGGCATTTAACTTTCTTTCCATGTCTTTAGAAGTTCTACATGCCTTCTTTAAAAATTTAAAAATTTTTAGCAGACTTTTCTTGATTATTGCCGCGGCACCCCTGGCATACGCTCACGACACCTTAGGATGCCTGGCACCCAGTTTGAGAACCGCTGCATTAACGCATTGTTAGCCTGACCCTGGAGCCGGTCGTGGTTTACCCTAGAGCATACACAGTGATTGAGGACTGTGCAAGAGTAGGGTTTACCCTAGAGCATAGACAGTGAGGGTTGTGCAAGAGTAGGGTTTACCCTAGAGCATAGACAGTGAGGGTTGTGCAAGAGTAGGGTTTACCCTAGAGCATAGACAGCGAGGACAGTGCAAGAGTAGGGTTTACCCTAGAGCATAGACAGCGAGGACAGTGCAAGAGTAGGGTTTACCCTAGAGCATAGACAGCGAGGACTGTGCAAGAGTAGGGTTTACCCTAGAGCATAGACAGCGAGGACTGTGCAAGAGTAGGGTTTACCCTAGAGCATAGACAGCGAGGACTGTGCAAGAGTAGGGTGTACCCTAGAGCATAGACAGCGAGGACTGTGCAAGAGTAGGGTTTACCCTAGAGCATAGACAGCGAGGACTGTGCAAGAGTAGGGTTTACCCTAGAGCATAGACAGCGAGGACTGTGCAAGAGTAGGGTTTACCCTAGAGCATAGACAGCGAGGACAGTGCAAGAGTAGGGTTTACCCTAGAGCATAGACAGCGAGGACAGTGCAAGAGTAGGGTTTACCCTAGAGCATAGACAGCGAGGACTGTGCAAGAGTAGGGTTTACCCTAGAGCATAGACAGCGGGGACAGTGCAAGAGTAGGGTTTACCCTAGAGCATAGACAGCGGTGACAGTGCAAGAGTAGGGTTTACCCTAGAGCATAGATAGCGAGGACTGTGCAAGAGTAGGGTTTACCCTAGAGCATAGACAGCGAGGACTGTGCAAGAGTAGGGTTTACCCTAGAGCATAGACAGCGAGGACTGTGCAAGAGTAGGGTTTACCCTAGAGCATAGACAGCGAGGACTGTGCAAGAGTAGGGTTTACCCTAGAGCATAGACAGCGAGGACTGTGCAAGAGTAGGGTTTACCCTAGAGCATAGACAGCGAGGACTGTGCAAGAGTAAGGTTTACCCTAGAGCATAGTAAGCGAGGACAGTGCAAGAGTAGGGTTTACCCTAGAGCATAGACAGCGAGGACAGTGCAAGAGTAGGGTTTACCCTAGAGCATAGACAGCGAGGACAGTGCAAGAGTAGGGTTTACCCTAGAGCATAGACAGCGAGGACTGTGCAAGATTAGGGTTTACCCTAGAGCATAGACAGCGAGGACTGTGCAAGAGTAGGGTTTACCCTAAAGCATAGACAGCGAGGACTGTGCAAGAGTAGGGTTTACCCTAGAGCATAGACAGCGAGGACTGTGCAAGAGTAGGGTTTACCCTAGAGCATAGACAGCGAGGACTGTGCAAGAGTAGGGTTTACCCTAAAGCATAGACAGCGAGGACTGTGCAAGAGTAGGGTTTACCCTAGAGCATAGAGCGAGGACTGTGCAAGAGTAGGGTTTACCCTAGAGCATAGACAGCGAGGACTGTGCAAGAGTAGGGTTTACCCTAGAGCATAGACAGCGAGGACAGTGCAAGAGTAGGGTTTACCCTAGAGCATAGACAGCGAGGACTGTGCAAGAGTAGGGTTTACCCTAGAGCATAGACAGCGAGGACAGTGCAAGAGTAGGGTTTACCCTAGAGCATAGACAGCGAGGACTGTGCAAGAGTAGGGTTTACCCTAGAGCATATACAGCGAGGATACATACACAGTGTTCTCTGCATGCTTACTCAGTCATTTATTTTCACTTTTGTTTCACTGTACTCTGCAGGTTCAACTTAAGTATCTGTAAACATATGAAGTATGGCTGCTGCAGATGCTTCTTCATTCTGCAACCTCATCCAATTTGTACCACAGCTGACAGGGAAAGAACGTGAAACTGAACAAAAGAACAAAACAGCATGCACATCTGAAGTTGATGAATGTGGAGAGGATATTAAGCATTTTTATGAAGCACTTGTGAGCAGCGATGCAGCATTCAACAGTCAAGTGACAGATTCTAACCCTGAGATTAATGTAATAAAGACAAACAAGAAAGACAAGTTGGATTCTGTCTCACCAGAGATAAACCCTTCATCCTTAATAACAGCTTGTAATAATGATAAGGTAGCTAGACCTAGAAAAAGAGAAAGAACTGTTAGCTCCAAATTACATGAACACAAAGCTGCAACACACCAGACGTCTACAGCACAAAATTCATATCTTCCACACAGTCAGACATTTAAACTCCTCCAGGCTGCTCAGATGGGTGAGTTAAAGCAGGTGTCTGCACTCCTTACCAAAGGAGTTAATGTGAATTGCCAAGACTACTTTGGGTGGACCCCACTAATGGTCGCGGCAAAACAAGGCAATGATGAAATTGTCCAATATTTGTTGAAGCATGGCTGTGACCACACTGTGAGCAGTCTCGATGGACATACAGCAGTGACGTTAGCCAGGTTGGGTGGACATGAACATATTGTTGCAACAATCTTAGATTATTCACGCTGTGATTTACATGAAAGAATCGCCACGTCAAATCTTGGTGCTGAACAAGAGCCAGACTTGCGACCTGATGATGTTGCGAAGGAGAAATCTTCAGGAGGTACATATTTCTGCCAGATCTGTAAACGTGAAGTTTCACTTAGTGAAAAATCACATGAAACATCAACTGTTCATTTGTTCAACAGTGGTCACAAATCAAAACAGCCATCATATCTTCTGCCAGAAACAAACAAAGGTTTCGATATGCTGCTGAAAATGGGATGGCAAGTTGACAAAGGATTAGGTCCGCATGGAGATGGTCCTAAATATCCTGTGAAAACTGTTTTAAAACTTGACAGAAAGGGACTTGGAATTGATAATTGTGCAAAGAAAAAAGCTAAAATTACACACTTTAATCCAAACGATAAATCTGCTATTGAACATCGCAGTGAAATACCTGTGAGAACAATTTCTGCCAGGAAGGCTGCACAGTTTGCAAACAAAGCTAAAGAAAAAAGAGATCGGCAACGTGAAAGGCGTCTAAGATTTGAGTTTAATGACAGATAATATGTTTAAGATTTGAATTGAAAATGCTTTCTGCTTTCATTTGTATCTGTGATCTGAGCAATATTTTCATGTCAGACAAAGATATGTCGGTATCTTTTGGAATTAATGGCTGTTCAGATGCCCAGGATGTCCTCCTGTTTATTTGAATATTCTTTTTAGTTTTTCCCTTTAATTTTCAATGTGGGGCTGTATTGTTGTTACTGTATGAGCTTGTGATGATACAGATTTTGATTTAGTTTGTGACTTTCCTGTTGAATGCAAAAACTGAGAATGTAGACACTTTGTGTCTAAATTTCCATTTGTTTTTTAGTGGGGGGGGGGGGTGGTATATAAATGTAAATGAAAGGAGTAATCATTAAACACGAACAGGCTGAAGCATTAAAAGGTTTACATCTCCTGGGGCTTTTAAAAAAACCCACATTTATTGGGTGGCTCATGCCATGACCCATGACCTCTATCACTGAAGCTCACTGGAAACTTGAAAATCAACTTGGCTTTAAAAAAAAATTGTATAAATTAGGTATGAGCCAAACAACTCTGTCAGTGTCTTCGGTGGAACATACTACAGAGCATGTCTTTCAAGACATTTAGCAGAATGGTTTGTGCGGGTATGAAAACAGCTGATAGCATTAACTATACGTCTCATAAACAGGTCATTATAGAATGGAAAAATGACATTTATGGGGAATTGGGCCCAGCCAGATGCATCAACTTCTAGGTGTGAAATGTGCCGAAAACTTTTTAATCTTTCTTGGTTTGGGCAGTATTTCAGCAAAATTTGCTTTCAGTTGATTTTACTTTGGCAAAAATATTTTTATTTATTTAGTTTACAGATTTGATTAAATTGTCTTTACATAAATTTAAACTGTCTTGTATAAACAGATTAAATGACGTTTGACAGCATGAAAAACCACCTTCTTGTACAGCACATTAAAAAAGAAAAAGAAAATCCTGATATCTCTTTGCAACATTTCGATTAGGTAACTTGGAGAAGGAGAGAAAGATACCTTTTATAAATTGACCGGTTAGCGTCTACCTTTAATCTCTGTATTAAGTAAAGGTGCTGAGCCAACCCACACCAAGTGTTTTCTGATTGATTGGATTTGCTGCTTAATCTTTTCTCCCCACATTAGGCGAGGAGAGGGGTGGGTCAAAGTGCCACCTGAGCAGTCAGACTTGTGTAGAGTCATAATCACACTGAGCCGGGAATGCAGAGACTGGCCAGCAGATGCCACAGAGGTGGAAATTCAGCAGTTAATTCAAGATAATGCTCGCTCAGAGGATTTGATCATTTACACAGACGGTTCAGTGTCAAGAGGCAAAAGAAGTGCTTGGGGCTTTTTAGCAAAAGTTAATGGTCGACGTTTGGTGCAGGAGCGCCTAGCATAATACCACAACATCCAGCTTAAGAATGGAGGTGGAGGTGGTCATTGCAGCTTTCCGCTGGCTAGAGAACACGACAAACACACACATTGTAATTGTAACTGATTCAGAAAGCATGCTGAGGAAGATCAGAACAGGTATGCTTCGTGCAGAGTGGCATGCTTCGCTGCGGAGGACACGAGTGAGGAGTATTGTCTAAATTTTTTCACCGGGATACGCCGGTGTGTTGGGAAATGAACAGGCGGACAGACTGGCTGGCTCTGCACAACTTGGTGGAATACTGCTACATGATAGGACAGACGTGGTTAGTGCCTTGTGGGAGAGCGTGTACAATGCGAAGGAGCAGATGGATCACCACAGTCTGGTGAGATTGATGCAGTTGGGGGTGACGAGAGGTTCTGGCAGAAGCTCAAGGCTCAGAGGAAAGGCAAGACGGACGTTTAATCAGAAAGCTACTGGCACCATTAGTATCGGAACTCTTCGCTGGCTGCTGAAGATGGGGACGGAGTGCTTATGGGAATGCCCAGAGTGCTGTGATGTCGGTTCTTGAATCAAATCAATCAAATCTTTTCTTCCCATAAAAAAAATCATACAGAGTGGCCTTTCTCATTTTTCTGAAGAAGAAAGGCATGGTTAGAATTTTCTGAAACTTTACCCTGAGAAAGTAGAAGAGAAGAAGAATGAGCATAAGAAATTTGTCATCTTAGTTAATATAAAACCAGGGGGTTGAAACCTATGACCACTGAGCAGACAGGCAAGCATGCTAACACTTGTGTCATCGCAGCCCCAGAGTAAATAAAAAGATGGATTTTTCAAATTTCTAGTCATTGTTTTAAGCGGGTTTTTTTTTTTTTTTAAATGAAGGAAAATAGTTTCTAATGCATTTTTTTTTTTTAAATGAAGGAAAATAGTTTCTAATGCATTTTTTTTTTTTATATGGAGGGAAATAGTTTCTAATACAAATGTAGCAAAAAAATAACTGCTTTCTTTCTGTTTGACCAAGAAAACTTGAGTTTTGTTGACACAACCTCAGCCAGCAATATAACATAAGTTTATTATGTTATGACAAACAAATTTTGATTTTGTTTCACCCCAAATAATTATCAAAATAAGATCAGTATAATCATTCCTACTATGTCAACACACTATACAGTTGCAAGCAGTACCAAGCTGTTAATAAAATAGCTGTTTTGGCCACAGCCCAAAGAATATTTCATCAGAAACTCTTAAATGTTGGAAAACTGACTTTCTTGGGGAGACTGTTGAATTTTCTACAGTATGTAGCCAGTCTTCAACCCTTCTTTGTTTGCCTCTGATGACATACAAGATAGGTTACAGAGTTTGTAATCTCTGATTCCCTTATGTGCCCGAATAACATACTGGCAGAGAACGACTTGCCCTTTGACATCAACAAATAATTCATGACATGGTGAATTGATGTTTGATATGCTAGATGTTAGGAGGGCCTTTTGGGAGCGAGTGAACAGTGTGGAGGCACAGATAGATCATTACGGTCTGAGGAGAATGGCACGGCAAGGAGTTACCAAGGGATCTGGCCGACGCTCGACACTTAAGGGAAAGGCTAGACAGATATGCAGTCAGACAGCTGCTTGTGCCATCAGAATTGGAACTCTTCACTTGTTGCTGAAGATAGGGACGGAGTGCTCAAGGGAAATATCTAGAGTGCTGTGATGTCGATTCTCAATTAAGCATTCATTCCATTAGGTGTCCTATCAACCATTCTTGCAAACACATGTTTCGGATAAGAAAACAGCTTTTCATGTATTATGAAGAAATAGTTTTTATTTCACATTTATTATTAATATTCATGATTATTTATGAAACTCACTATCATTATATTAATATAGAAATAATAGTTGTGTCTTACAGGTTTGGATTGTCAGCATGAATACTTATTCAACACACTGTATACAAACAAATAACAATTGGTAAATAAACCTATTCTGTGAATTCTTGTTATAGTGAGGATAACTGCATGACATTTGTAACACTGAAATGTATCAAACATAGTCATTGGAACTGCAGTGATACAGTCATCATCATCAGTCAGCACAGCATGTACTTCACAGAATGTGGCTCATGGCACTCCTGAAAGTCTCTGTTTCTCTAACCAATTCTCCAGCCCTGTATGCATTTTTAGTGAAACTGTATCCACATTCACAGAGGTGGGCCTTTGCCTCGTTTTCCAGAAACTGCATCTTCCATCACCCTTCGCTCCAGACCACTATGGCACTTGGCATGTCCAAAATACCTCAGCTTTCAGGAAAGGATGCTGTTTACCAGCCAGTTCTCCTTCTCGCTCAGGTCATGCAGGATGTCAACGTTTTTCCTTTTCTTGATCCTCATAAGAACCCTATTGGGCGGTAAAAACAAACTAACAGAAATCATCCAAGCAGTAGGTAAGAGCAACATCAGAGGACGCAGAAAATTTAGTACGGCATAGATAAAACAAACTGCTCCCATTGACTGGCAACATGCAACATTTGTACCATTGTGGTAGAACAGAGGAAGTAAGCTAGAATGCAGTGATTGCTGGGGCATCTCTCACATAAGTCATGTTAGCAAAATGTATGCAAAGATAAAGAAAATTAGGCTGAGACCAGTGATAGAACCACAGTTGGCAGAAGAACAGATGGCATTTGTTGAAGCAGTTATGTTAATGGGTCTCCAACATTCTCTCTCTCTCTCTCTCTCTCTCTCTCTCTCTCTCTCTCTCTCTCTCTCTCTCTCCTCTCCTCTCCTCACCTCTCCCCCCACCATATATAAATATATTACTAACTTGAATTCACCTTTTCTCTCCTGTATGGTTTTCATAAGTATTTCCACTCTTTTAATGTGACAAAAATATTTCACTTTTCTTCTTTTTATTTTTTTCAGTGATTTAAACTGAATAGTAATTGATGAGGGAAGGCAAACCTGTTCTAAAAACCTTTGGTTGAAAATGTAGTTCAACTGTAACAAACAATAAAGTCAGTCTTAACTGTAACAGAATACAGCCAGGATTAACTGCCACACAATACAGCCAGGATTAATTCAACACCATAAAGCCAGGATTAACATACACTACAACCAGAATGAAGTATAAAATACAATATAACCGTGCTTAACTGTAATACATAGTACAACCAGGCTAGCACACAATACAGTCAGGATTAACTGTAACACACTACATCTATGGGTTTTGTCTCCAGGTCAACTAATTAAGACAATTTATAATATTTGCAAAAGATACAAAAATTAAAATTGCATAATGTTAGACAATAACCAGTATTCATCTTCAGGTTTACACAAACAGAGAGAGCCTACAATTGTATGTGTTCATTGCTTTCCTGTTGCTAGGGCAAGCCAGGCTGCTTTTTTTTTCTTCATTTGATCTTCATTCTCCTTCCTTTTTCTCTCGGCATACAACAGCTGTGTCTGCTTCAAGATGTTTGCTTCCTCCTGGTGAGTGTACAGTTGAAATTTGGCATGCAGCCTCAGAGGATGATTGAATGCACTAACCTCCCCCAGTGGTTGTCCTTCAGAATTTCTTTCCAAAGATAACTGCTCATTCTTCCTTTTTAACTTTATTTCGGCTATTTTATTTTTGATTTCCTTTGTGCTCGTAAACAGAGGCACATCAGTGTATTCCTCACCAGCTGATGATAAATTGGATTGGGATCTCTGTGTGCAGTAAAAGGCACCGGGAAGTACTGCAGCAACATTGGCAGGGACAGCCTGAATGTTCCTTGAGCTTGATGACTTTAGCGGAGTCGTTAGTGGCCTTGGTGGTAGGGATGACTGGGAGATGAGCTCTTGATGTTTATATGCTTTTGGTACTGCAGATACTGGACGAATGATGTATCCTTGAGGAATTGTTGTTTTCACTACTGTAGGATGGATGCTTGCTTGCAGGGGTGTACACACAGGGTAGGCTGTAAGAGTTGTGGTGAAGCTGTCTTTACTCACTGCAGGCGGAGACTTAGGCATGTCTTTTAAGTTGACTGGTGGAGCTGGGCTGGGACCCGAAGTCTGGTTCTCAAGATGTAATATCTCCATTTGAATTTTGTCCACTGGGACTTTTGTCTTAAGATCAATACAGCTCGGTGAGGACATAGGGCGTTTGTTATTAGCAGAAGAACCTGTTTCCCAGTCACATCTCCTCACTTTTGTATTGGATCCAGATGCTGACTTGATGCCAGAGTTCTGCATTGTGCTAACAGTGAGGTATATGAAATCTGGAGGAATAATACTTTGTGCTTTCATTCGTATCTGTGATCTGAGCAATGTTTTCATGTCAGACAAAGATATGTCGGTATCTGTTGAAATTAACGGCTGTTCAAATGCCCAGGATATCCTCCTGTTTATATGAATATTCTCTCTAGTTTTGCCATTGTCCTCATTATCATCATAAGACTGTATTGTTGTTACTGTAGTATGAGCTTGAGATCTTGCAGACTTTGTTCTAGATTTTGCCTTTCCTTTTGAATGCAAAAATTGAGAATGGAGATCTTTCATATCTAGAAGATTATACCTTTCTTGGCCGTAAAGTGTACTGAACGCTGTATCTGCTGAAGTTGACGATGTCTCCACAGATTTCCAGCTACTTTGTGCTAGTTTTCCATGATGACCCCTGCTACTTAGACTCTTTGCACTGTGACAAATCATATCATCTTTGGTCTGGTGTTGTACGTGGTTATGTCCTTCCTTATGTTCATGATACTGAGAACTGTGGTGAATGAGTTTACTGTTAGCAGCCCCAGCTTTGTGCGTTCGTTGTGCTCGCACATAGGAATGTGGCTGAGTTCTCAAGGGAAATTTGCTGTAGGATCCACAGCTAGTGAGAGGTGCAATGTTGTCAGTCTCCATGGTGTAGTTCCAATTCACCTTCTCAAAGTTCATCACTAGAACACTGCTCAACGTATTCACTGTGATTCTGCAAAAACATTTAAAAAACACTTTTTGGTAATAATAATGGATTCTAATTTTTTAATTTAAAAAACTAAAAGCACAAACAACAGATTGATTAACTTATTTCCTAAAAAATGTTACTATCCCAGGTCACCTCAGCCTAAAATGGGTACCAGGTCGTGCCTTGCAAAGTTAAGGTGGCCGGTGTGATATTGATCACATCACCACTTGAGGGCCGATTGGTCTACAAAAATATGTCTAGCACTTAAGATCTAATGTGCCAAAGATAAGGATATTTATATTTTACAATATCTCGTCAGATGTGCACTACACAATTAAACAGTATGAAGAAAAATAAACGGAACCATTTTAACTGACATACAAACAAACCAAACTCAATTGTGTTAGTAAAGAAAGCAAGAAGACTGCATCTTGAGCAATTCATTGTTTTTATCTTCTTTGTTAAATTTTACAATGAAAAGATCTTGCTTGGGTTAGGTTTTATTTTTACACTGAATTATCTTGAAAAGTTTAGCTGTTGTTTCAACTTCAGTATTTAAACAGTGTAGGTTTCAGGGGAATGGCTGCACAGTTGCTTTATACCACTCCTTAAACCAAATAAATATCATACCAAGCTAAATGGTTAGAGTTATTACATTACAAAATACATTTGGTAAGATTCTGGAAAAGATAGTGGCAGGTAAATTATAGGAATACCTAGAGAAATGTTGACTCCTGCCAAGAGGGTTAGAGAGTTATGGATCAGGAAAATACACTTGTGTAAATGCCACAATCTTGGCTTATGGAAATGAGGGGTTTCAAAATAATCATGAAGCATTGGTGTGGTACTGTATCTAGAAGAGGCATATAACAAGGTTAGATGTGTTGTTTTACTTTAGACACTTATAGATACGGAAGTCGGTCCCTGGAATAGTCAGTGATCCTGTATGAACGTCAGACTGTTTTTCAGCAATTTCGTAGAGCTCTGAGCACTGTAGTATTGCAACAGGCCTCCCACAGGGACCCACAATTTTGCTTGTGTTTTTCAATGTGTAAAAAAGCAGGATGTCCACCTTAGAGGCAGTGGGGATTGGGAGAATTTAGGCTGATGATATCTTAGTCTACAGGCAGGTGAGAAGTAGAAAAGAAATATCTAGAGGACTGCAGACCATGGTAGACAAGGTAGGAGAGTGTTGTGAGGAAACGGGTTCTATCCTTTACCCAGGTAAGGCAGCAGTATTTTGGTTTTCATTAAATAGAATTGTTAGAGATGAGGTTCTAAACATCACAATAAATGGCAGTAACATAAAGAAAGAGAACTCACTAAGATATCTTGATATAACTTTTGACAGAAGCTTGTGAACAGCATGTGGAAAATAGTGTTAAAGATTAGGTTATCAGGTCTTGGTCAGATATTACTGAGCTACCATACAATAATAGCCGGTACCACCGATATTCTGTTATGTGGAATGTTGGGCAGAAGAGCACACTGGGGAGGTTACTAGTCTTATCCTAGGAAGAGTAAACGCAGCCTGAAAACTTTGTTATGGCAGAGTAGACCAGGCTCTTAGCCTTTGCTGGCAGCTGGTCTAGGAGTGAAGCTCCGACAGGCAGACAGATAAAGCACTGCTCTTCTAATCTGGCAGCTTCTACAGCCTACGTCAGCAGACATGGAACAAAGAATGCTCTACACACTCTACCAGCAACTGATTATTTCAGTGATGTAGTATTGTTTGAGAAGTTGAACACATGCAAAATTAAGTCATGGGAGTCATTTTGGGATGTACACGGGACAAGCCAATCATGGCGTGAAATGCCAGGTACAAGGTGTTACAGGCAAAAATACACCTTAAAGTCACAATAGACAGGGAACACCTTCAAAATGAGACTTTGCGGGCCTTGCAAGAGACATTGGTTGGCAGCATTTGGATCTCACAAGGAAAAGTCACAATAAGAGGTGTATGTGCTACTGACAAAACAGTGCCTTGTGAGGAGTGGGTCACAGTCCACATGACAAAACAGACTTACACAGAGTGATAATTACCTTGGGCTTAGGGTGGGGGGATGGATAGTTGGTCTTATAGAGGCATCAGCTGATCAATGACAGGTGACATTAATATTTACACAGCTGGATCAGCAGTGAGAAGTAACAAGAATGGTTGGGGTTTTGTTACAAAGATGAATGTACATTGTTTGAAAACAGATAGCTTCTCATATAACATCACAACATCCAGTACGAGAATGGAAGTGGGGGAAGTTATTGACACTTTCTGATAGCTGTATTCATTGATGCTCGGAAGGTCTACAACAGAGCTCTGGGAAGGTGGTCTCTAGTTGAAGATAACAAGTATTGGAATCAGAAAGAGAATGGTGTAATGCAGTTGTGGACTCCAACCTAGGGGATGTCAAGCAAAAGTAATAATCTGTTATACTTTCATTTTTAGTTTAATTATAAAATACATTTTAAATTATTTATTTAAAACTTAAAAGGCATTTTTTTTTTAAATTAGCAATTTGTACATCTAACATTAAAAATCTAATTATTATGATAACATGTGCATTTAATTATAGATTAAGAATATCTTCTGATTGGCTTGGCATATGCTCAGGGGAGCAGGTGAGGGGGAAGGGGTGCATGAGGGTCTTGGCATATACTCAGGGAAGCAGATGGGGGGGGGGGGGGGGGTGCATGGGGGTCTTGGCATATACTCAGGGGGGTGGGGGGTGTATGGGGTCTTGACATATACTCAGGGGAGCAGGGGGTGGGGGGGTGTATGGGGGTCTTGACATATACTCAGGGAAGCGGGTGGGGGTGCAGGGGGGTCTTGGCATATACTGAGGGGGGAGGGGGTGTGCATGGGGGTCTTGGCATATACTCAGGGGAGCGGGTGGGGGTGCAGGGGGGTCTTGGCATATACTCAGGGGAGCAGGTGGGGGTGCAGGGGGGTCTTGGCATATACTCAGGGGAGCGGGTGGGGGTGCAGGGGGGTCTTGGCATATACTCAGGGGAGCGGTTGGGGGTGCAGGGGGGTCTTGGCATATACTCAGGGGAGCGTGTGGAGGTGCAGGGGGGTCTTGGCCTATACTCGGGGGGGGGGGGGGGGTGCATGGGGGTCTTAGCATATACTCAGGGGGGCGGGTGAAAGGGGGAGGGGGTGCATCAGGGTCTTGCCATATACTCAGAGGAGCGGATGGGGGAGTGAAGAATTCACTGGTTGCTGAAGATAGGGATGGAGTGCTTATGGAAATGCCCCAAGTGCTGTGACATTGGTTCTTGAATCAACTCAACTCAACTCAACTCAACTCTTGACTAGTAGAAGCAGAGCTACTAGTTAAACAGATACAACAACATATGCAAAAAACTCTAGAGGAACGATTTCTCCACAGCTTTTCTTTAACTTCTTCAGCCCTAAACAATCCATACTGTGTCACTGACTCTTCCCCTTAAATCCTGATCTTCAGTTAATATGGTCTCTAATTTTCTATGTTTGGTCATAGCATAGTAATGGCATCTGGTCTTTCCCACTGGCCACTTTCAGTGTGTATTTTGATTTTTCAAATTCACATGCTCAGCTTCTCATATGATGGCTCCTCTGAAGCATTAGCTGAAAAGGATTTTTGAATTAAAAGAGTTAATTTGCATTCTTTTCTACATCTTTATCAGTATATCTAATATACTTTCTGAGGATAATCAGGCCCTTGACTTAGAGACATATCCCATCCAGCCAACATTCAAACTAATATGAGCTGCCGAAACTTAAAATCAGCAGTCATAAAACTGTTTATACCACTTTTTTATGAAACTGCAGCCATGAGAATCATTAAAGTTTGAGTGGCAGTGCCGGTGCTGATTTGCTACCAATTAAACTTCTTTTCTGTGAGCCGAGCAAACAAGAAAGAGGGCAAGAAAAATGTTAACACGAAAATTATTATTGTGTGTCTGCAGCATGGAGCAAACACGCTACTAAATAGGTAGGTTTTTTGAAAGTATTATTTCATTACAATTTGCTGAGATTGACTTATATTCCAGTAAACACAATTTATTCACATTGTTTACTAGTTACTCTGTCCTGGACAATTATTTGTTATTTATTATACAGATGTCATATTTTAACATTGTTGAAAGAATGGCAGTGAGAAAGGAAACTAACCACCCCCACCTCATACACCATGACCAGAAATATGTGAAGCCTAACAGTTCACTTCCCCAATATCAGTAACTGCTATAGGACTACTTTTGCTTCATAAGTTTTGCTGTGATTATTTTTGTTTTTACAATGTACTTTAAAACTTTCTAGTTACCTATCTCCATTTGCATTAATTGACAGTACTGGATCACTTTGACTGTTTCCTCGCATCATACGACAGCACTGGCCAGTTAGTATGTTCCATATTCTAATTCGACCATCTGCCGAGCCTGTGATCACTCTTAGATATGCAAATTCTAAACAAAGAACTTCTCTGTAGGATAAAAATTGACAAAATTGACTTTGAAGTATTAAAAGAAAAAAAAAAACAACTGTTTAATGATTACACTAAAATGATAATGTTTTGTAAGCAATTTCTTAGTACTTACCATAAATTGAAGGCGTACAAGTTGACTTGGTGTGCAAGTCAACCTCAAGATTTTTAGCTCAGAATTCTGAGTTAGGGCTATACCGACCATATCATTCTGCCTTTATTTTTGTAATGATTTTTTAAGGCTTGAAAAGTTGACATAGAAGCTGCAATTTATGGTACTCATTCATTGTAGTTGTCTTATTCTTCTTTGCATCACTTGTTGTAAACTCTGGCGGAAAGTTCTGGTTGTTCAACCATCTCTGGACTTTGGACTTGTTCCAGAACCTGAGTGTTGCATGCTCATCTGTTTGACATATCTGACTTATTTGTGTGCTGGCTGTCAGTTCTTTGCCTCTCAGTCAGATGCACACTGGCTTAGAAGGAAACTCCCCCACCCCCCCCCCCCCCCCCCCCCCCCCCCCCCCCCCCCCCCCCCCCCCCCCCCCCCCCCCCCCCCCCCCCCCCCCCCCGCCCCCCCCCCCCCCACCCCCCCCCCCCCCCCCCCCCCCCCCCCCCCCCCGTTAGTCGACTCTTACGACATGATTGTTGGGGAGGCAGTTGGTCTATTCTTGCTTTCTCTACAATGAGGCCTCAGAACTCACATGGGGATTTGTAGATGTAAAACAAGAAGTTCATATTATTACATTTTTCATTTTTTTTAAGTAATTTTTTGTAAACTGCTAACCAGATAGCAAAAATAAACATTCTCAAGTGCTTACACTTGCCAGCTGGGCTGATGATCAAACATGTAAATTCCCACTGAGCCTGAAATTTGACCTTGGCTCTCACATCAGTGCTGACTAAAATAGGTACCAGAAAACATCTCAGTAAGTAATAGGCAGAAGGTGTGATGATCATATTACCCAGCAAGTGCCATTTGGTCTATAAATATATGGGACTAGAGCAATATGCTTTATACGATTAAAGTTTGGAAATGACAACTTTAATTTATTAATCAGTGCTTTGCAGCTCTCTGCGGAACAGAGCACCTATGGAAATATCCTAAGTGCTGTGATGTCATTTATTAATTCAGTTCAGCTCAATATCTGATGCCTGGAAGTAATACGGTTACAATTCTTGGTTAAGCCTTATTTAAAAAAATTGTTTTTTTTAAATATTCCTGGGATTGTTAAAAAAAAAAGTGGTAGCTGCATCAAAAAGTATTGTGCTATAGATTTTCTCAAATTTTATGGGTTTGTTTGTTTGTTGAGAAGTGGTTAAGCTGTTCGCCTCATGCTTTGATGGTCAAGGGTATGAGACTCTAGAATTTGTTTTGCAAGAAAGGCTGATTTGAGGCTCCTGAGGGTTTTTGCTGGATTTGTGGAGTGTCATACTTTCCATGAGTTGTCAGCCACTCTGCTGATAGAAACTGAACCATATGGGGAAAAAAACCATAGCAATGAAGTCACTTCTTGGCTGAAAGAAGGAGTAAATCACATATCCAAATCTTATAGCATTTTATGAAGAATAATTGTATATGTTATGGATGTTTGTAGCTGACAAAAATGAAAAGTTGTGGCTTTTAATTAAATAAGAAACAATAATATGTGCTTAAAAGTACTCTCTAACTGTTCATTGAATCAACTAAGATGTTTGTGTTCACTGTTTGCTGGTGAAATAATATTTAAAGAGCAACAGATGAGATGGTTTGGCCATGGTACCAACTGCCACACTGAAAAAGTAAAATAAATACAGAGCAAAGAAAGACCTCACAAAATATGAAACAACAGCATTAAGAACAGCCTTGAAGTGTTGAAGATCAACTTATACAACACATTAGAAAAAACAAACAGAAGATCTTTACATCTCCTCCTAACACTTCAGTAGGTAACTGGAGGAAGAAAACATAAAGATTACATAGTGACCATAAGTCATATTTTTAATATATAATTACTATAATGAATAGGTGCTAAGTATTACTTTGGGTGTCTCAGTGCTCTCAGGCATCGAGAATGTTGACCAACAGTGCTCCAGACCAAAGCATAGGCATCTTTACCTCCAGTGATGATATGCCACCGATCAAATTTTATGCTTGTCACAGAAGAATGATGACCTTTTAAAATCTGAAACACAAAAAGGATTTCATACTGAATTTAAAACTCACTGATTTAAAAGTTTTATAAAACTGGAGAAATGTAATCATGGGTGATTATGACTTTAACCCATTCTGTATAAAGAAACCGTGGTATATTGACTAGTTTCAGAATACATGGTTTTCTTTGACCAGCTTCTTTTAAGAATGATGACCTGTTAAAACCTGAAGCACGAAATGTATTTCATGCTGAATTTGAAACACTGATCTTAAGAAAATGTGTATTCAATGGAGAAAATGTATAATAATTAAGTGAATATGGCTTGAATTTTAACCCATTCTATTTATTAGTTCCACAATGCATGATTTAATTTATCTGACTTGTTTTACAAACACAAATGAATAAATGAATCAAGCATTTTCATCACTGCACTCGGGGAATTCCCCATACAGACTGTACCCTGCCTCAATAGCTAATGAAGAGTTCCCATACTGATGGTGCCAGGTGCAACTTCATTAAACATCTGCCTGACCTGTTCCCTGTGTGCTCCTTCTTCTTCTGCATTCACCCTTTAGAAAGCAGTTGGTATGTTGTGTTGTTTTTTTATAGCTAGGCTGCGATATCTGCATTATTTGGTCCAACACATCTAATTTCAGAGAACCCCTAATTAGTCACCAATTACAATATGCTTTTTGGAGGGGAAGGGGCAGTGGGTGTACCCACCAATTTGTAGACATATAATGGAAAAAAACAGAAGTTAAAACTTTGCGAACCTGGATAACTGAGTCAAATGGCATATGGGTATGTTTCGCTTCGGAGGTCAAGGGTGAAGAGCATTGGCTGAATTTCTTCTCAAGGTCATGCCAGTGTGTTGGGACATGAACAGGCAGACAGATTGGCTGGCTCTGCACAATTTGGTGGAATACTGATATATGATAATTCAGATGTGTTAAAGGCTGTATGGGAGCACATGTATAATTCGGAACAGCAAACTGATCATCACAGACTGGTGAGAGTGATGCAGCAAGGAGTGACAAGGGGATCTGGCCGAGACTCGATGCTCAGAGGAAAGGCAAGAAGGACATATAATCAGACTGCTACTGGCACCATTGGTAATGCAACTCTGCGCTGGCTGCTGAAGATGGGGACGGAGCACTTATTAGAGTGCCCAGAGGGCCGTGATGCTGATTCTTGAATCAAATAAAATAAAATCAAACGACATATGGGCAGAACAAGAATTCAGACCTGACCCATGATTTTGGTGATCATGTTAGATGGCAAACTAAAACTTCCTTTATTTAATGTCATGGCACATAATGATGTTAATTCTAACTTAACTTTGATTAAAGGCAGCAAGTTTTATGTTGACCACATTACCCCTAGCAGCTAGACGTTTGCCTGCAAATCGGAAGGTCATGGGTTCAAGTGTTGATATATGCCAGACTTTTTTTTTAAATGACCTTGGCTCCCATGTTGATCCAGCCTTGTGTGAGTACCAGGTGCAGTCCTGAGAGGTAGAGTGTGATGTTGACCACATCACCCACCAAGTGCCGTTTGTTCTATAAAATATAGGGCTAGCCCTATATACCCATTACGCCTGAAGGTGTGCAAAAAGGTGCTTTTTTTGTGTGTAACTTTTACATTACCCACTCAGTGCCACCATGTCCATACAAATATGAGCCTAGCATCATATTCCAGATGAGCCATTAGCATAAGAAGGGGCCTTCACTCTACTTACTTTGATTAAATCACCAGACGCCAGCTGCCATACTTTGACTTTTCCTGTGTCAGTGCCCGAGATGCAGATGTCTTCAGACAGTGCAACACTCAGTACTGATGACTGATGTCTGAAAGTATGTTGGCATTTTCCTGTCTCTAGGCTCCAGACTGAAGATATAACAACAAAAATAATGTTCAAATTCGATCAAATTGATTTATTTTATATGTTCACATGAAAATAATGATAACGGTCAGATTTATAATGTATTTGTCTAATTTTAAGATAATGACAATTTCTCATACCAGTAGTTGTTGTTGAGTCAAGAATTGATATCACTGCACTCGGGGCATTCCCATGTGTACTCCGTCCTTATCTTCAGCAGCCAGTTCAGAGTTCCAATACTGATGATACCGGTCACAATCTAGTCATATGTCCGTCTTGCCTTTCCTCTGAGTGTAGTGAGCCGGCCAGACTCTCTGGTTACAGCCAGGTGCCTCATTCTCTCCAGGCCATAATAACCAGTAGTGGACCCCGGCAAATAAAAATCACATTTTTAAAGCCAATAGGCACTCAGTGGTTGATGGCCTCAACAGCACCCCGACCAGCTTTACTTTTGAGGACATTAGCCGGTGCCTATTTTAGCCTGAGTTGACTTAATAGCCAAGGACAGTTTCTTAAAAATCTGCCCTGTGGATTCAAATCAAGACCTTCTGGCCAACAGGCAAGTATTTAAAAGCAATTTTCAGAGAAAGATGACAAAAAGTCTATATCAAGACAAACAATCATGATTTTTAGTCAGATTATGAGGCAAGGGAGCCTGAAGAAGGCTGTGACAACTGGAAAGATTGAGGTTGTTAAAGACAGATTGACAGAAAGTACACTTCAATACCACAGTACACTCCAGCATCACCCTGTTGGGCCATTTTTACATCTTATTTGGGCCACAGTCAATTCCTTCATGTCCGTTCAATTGAATCTTTTAAATATTGTATATGGAATCCAGTCTGGTCCTTTTGGCCTCTCTCAAAAATGTTTATCACAGGAATTCTGTTAGGTGTCTTATATTCCTCAGTCAAATTGTTTCCCATTTCAATGCATATTTTGTGATTATTTGTCTGCTTCTTGGAATGTGCCCACTGATACCCACTATGAACTTGTCTTACATTACAGAAAATCCCAACTTAGAGAGAGAGAGAGACACAGAGAGAGAGAGTGAGAGAGAGTAAGAGATCATGCTGCATAAGCAACACATGATCCCTGCAATACTACCCAGGCTTTGTGCTATGAAAAGGAAAAGCCTGCATCCAAGTCCTTAAATGGTATCACTATGGGCTATGATTTCCATGCTTCCATATAGCACAATGAAGCAACATCATTTGGAAAGATGAGGTATGGTATGAACAACGGATCAACATCATGGCACATGGGTAGTAACCCATAAGTGCTCCGTTCTTCTTCTATTCAAGTCAGAGTCCCAAGAAACTCAGCACAGCGCACAGGCTCTGTAGCACCAGCAAGGATCCTGAAATACTTTGGGTAAATTTTTAACTCGAAAACTTGCCCTGGCAGCGCAGTTAGGCTACTCTTTTTCGATTTCCAACTGCCAAGTAATTTTTTTTTTTCATGCGCTACAATGCACACGGGTGTCCGATCTTACTACCAAGGGATCGGGGGAATTACTAGAAGTCAAAGTCCACGTGAAAAAATCCCAGCCCTTAACAGGGATTGAAACCAGAAACTCTAGCACTCGAGGCAGACACCATGTGTCAAGATCACCCCCCCCCCCCCCTCATGTTGAAACAGTGCCAACAAAAGCTTACTCTTGCAGCTGTTGTCCATTGATCCGGAGGCAACTATGTCGCCCAGCACTGTAATACAATTGACTGTGTTTTGGTGGCCTCTGAGAATCTTCAAGCATTTTCCTGTGCGGATGGACCAACATCTGCAACAGTATTTAAATACTTGAAAACAAAACAGTCAAATGAGAGCATAAAATACATTTAAACACATGAGTAAATTGACCTTACATTCCTTCTTTCTTTCCCTCACTTGCTCTATTCATACACCTCTGTGTGTTTATGTCTGTCTGTCTGTCTGTCTGTCAGTCTGTCTGTCTGCATGTCAGTTTATTTCTCGAACTGTCTGTCTCTCTGTTAAATTTTTCATTACTTTAACTGTTTGAAAATAAATATGCTCTGTCTGCATATCTAGCTTTCTACTTACCTGCCTACTCATTCATCCATCCATCTATCCATCCATCTATCCATCCATCCATCTATCCATCTATCTGTCTATCTATCTATCTATCTATCTATCTATCTATCTATCTATCTATCTGTCTGTCTGTCTGTCTGTCTGTCTGTCTGTCTGTCTGTCTGTCTGTCTGTCTGTCTGTCTGTCTGTCTGTCTGTCTGTCTGTCTGTCTGTCTGTCTGTCTGTCTCTCTCTATCTATCTATCTATCTATCTATCTATCTATCTATCTATCTATCTATCTATCTATCTATCTATCTATCTATCTATCTATCTATCTATCTATCTATCTATCTATCTATCTATCTATTCTGTCTGTCTGTCTGTCTGTCCGTCCGTCCGTCCATCCGTCCGTCCGCCCGCCCGTCTGTCTGTCCGTCCATCCATCTATCTATCTATCGATCCATCCATCAATCCATCTCTATCTGTCTGTCTGCCTGCCTGTCTGTTTGTCTGTCCACAAGTGTCTAGCCACTACATTATCGAAGCTTCCAAAACAAGGATTACTTAGAATAAAATGAGTAAATGTAATACAAGCCTGGTTCTCAAAGAGTTAACAATTTCTGATTACTAAACAAATGAACATTTTACCTTATACTGGCATCATAGCTGCAAAAATGAACATTTTAACTGATACTTTTGTCATAATTACACAAATGAACTTTTTACCTGATACTGGTGTCATAACTGCACAAATGAACATTTTACCCGACACCGGCATCATAACTACACAAATGAACATTTTACCCGACACCGGCATCATAACTGCACAATTAAACATTTTACCTGATACTGGTGTCATAACTGCACAAATGAACATTTTATCGGACACTGGCATTATAACTACACAAATGAACATTTTACCCGAAACTGGTATCATAACTACACAAATGAAGATTTTACCCGACACCGGCATCCTAACTGCACAAATAAACATTTAACCTGATACTGGTGTCATTACTACACAAATGAACATTTTACCTGATACTTTTGTCATAACTACACAAATGAACATTTTACCCGACACCGGCATCATAACTATACAAATGAACATTTTACCTGATACTGGTGTCACAACTGCACAAATGAACATTTTACCTAATACTTTTGTCATAACTACACAAATGAACTTTTTACCTGATACTGGTGTCATAACTACACAAATGAACATTTTACCCGACACCGACATCATAACTGCACAAATAAACATTTAACCTGATACTGGTGTCATAACTGCACAAATGAACATTTTACCTGATACTTTTGTCATAACTACACAAATGAACATTTTACCTGATACTGGTGTCATAACTGCCGCTGAGAACTAGGCTTCTGTCATACAGTAGGCAGCAGCAGGTGACGGAGCCTGCATGACCAGTTATCAATGGTCCTGTCTCCTTACCGGTGTCGGAGTCAATGAATCGAACTTTCCTGTCCTTTGACCCTACAGCTACCCAGCTGCTGCCATCTGCATGCACCACTCTGTAGCTATCTTTGCTGTGTGTGAGAGGAAATAGACAACATCAGGTTTTTTACTATAATCATGTGATATTGAAAAGTACCAGTTATTCTTAACTATCAAATTCTAAATTATCAGATTATTAACGGAAGTGAATCATGAATAGTGGGATGATTAAAGTAAAGTAAAGTAAAGGTCCCTTTTCCACACCTTTAGGCATACAGGGCATACAGGGCTAGACCTTTATTTTTATAGACCAATTGGCACAAGATGGATGATGTGGTCAGCATCATGCCGGCTGCCTTTATTTCCCAGGACTGCACCCAGTACCCATTCAGGCTAGGAGTCCAGGTCATTTTTTTTTAAAGTCTGGCTTTGCCATGGAGGGAACCCGTGACCTTCCTATCCGCACACGAGCATCTAGGTGCTACGCCACGGTGACTCTTAGTTGTGCGATTAGGGAAACATTATTTGGAAGCAATGGAGATGTGGTTTAATAGATGAATTATGAGAATACCCTGGACAGATGTAAAAAGTAATGAAGATGTCTTTAAAGAAACCAACTCACAAAGAGAACTGATTGCCCAAATCAGAAGGACGACAACCTATTGCAACATCAGAAGGAGACATTCTACATTCTTTAGTCATGTCATGAGAAGGAGAAAACTGGAGTACTTTGTGATGGTGCCATATTGGTCATAAGATGCTGGCTTTATATTTTTAAAGACCAATAACTCTGGATGAATAATGTGGTCTACATTTAGATAGCTGCCTTTACCTTCTAGGATATTTTCTGCTACTAGTTGCTGGGTCAACCTGGCATCCTTGGTTAATTTGCAAAACTACTTTGATACAAATTTGAATCCCTGACTACAAAGCCAGCAGGTGAGAGTGCTAGCAAAGGCACTACTGCAGTTACATTTCCAATTTTTTCAATCAGTCAAGTGACATCTGTCGTCTCCACAGTGAAGGCTGGCTGCAATGGATCTCCTTCTCTGTCCTCCACCCTGGATACACACTCTATCAGAATACTTTTCAAGCATCTTTTGATTTTATCCTTCCACTTGTATCACTGCCTGCCTCTTGCTCACATGTCTTCAATTTTCCCCATGACTATCGTTTTTGTAGTTCATGTCCTTTAATACAGCTGAAATATTGTGCTTATTTTCCTATATATGTAGCATAGTAATCTGCCATCCCTTCATTTCTCTCTCAATGGCTCTGCAAGGAGTTACTAGGGGATCTGGCTGACGCTCGACACTCAGGGGAAGGATGAGATGGATATACAATCAGACGGTTACTGGTACCATCAGGATCGAAACTCTTCGCTTGCTGCTGAAGATGGGGACTGAGCACTTATGAGAGTGTCCCAAGTGCTGTGATGTCAATTCCTAATTTAACAATCAAAAATCTGTATTTCTCTTGTTTGACTACACCTAATGAAAGATGAGACATGGGGATCAAGAAAGGATCAGGCGAATCGGAAGATACATGTACAAATGAGCCATGACATGAATAACAGACATGTCAATAAAAATCAGATGTGCCAGCACTAACAGTCTCACCAGAATTGCAGCTCACCATTGATGCAAGCAGTGTTAAATGAACAGCATCACTGGATTTACAAGTACATTTAGGATCCCTTGTGACTGCCACTGGGGCTACATAATGTGTTTTGTAAAGTGTATTTTAGATGATGCTTTTGTCAGGCTGCTAGCAACTCAGCAGAGAAATACTGAGCCATATGGGATCAAATCCAGAGCAATTAAATGGATTCTCTCAACTTTAGACCAGTATTCTTTAACCTGTGGTCCACAGACAACTGTTGGGTCGCAGATTTTTCCAGAGGCCAAATGTCTTCCTAGCTGAGTTGAGTTTAGTCAAGAATTGTCATCACAGCACTTGGGGCATTCCCATGCGTGCTTTGTCCTCATTTTCAGCAGCCAATGCAGAGTTCAAATTCTGATGGTACTGGTCATAATCTGCTTATATGTCTGCTTTGCCTTTCCTCTGAGTGTAGTGAGCTGGCCAGACCCTCTGGTTACACCCAGGTTCCTCATTCTCTCCAGGCTATATTAATCTTGTTTATCTACTGATTACATTGCTTGTTCCCAAAGGACCTTGAACACATCTGCCTTGTCATATGTCTACCTAATCCTGTAGCAGCTTTACGACTCCAGCAATACACTAATGTATAGGAAGTGAGACTTTATACGCAGCACATATATACAATTTTCTAACCTCCAGGCTGAAGCAGTAGCTAACCATTTAATTTTGTGACACCGGATTTAGCACATAAACTGCCTAAAAATCTACCCATAGTATTTCAGGATCCTCGCCGGTAAAAAGGAGTTCATGCACTGTGCTGAAATTCTTCAGACTCAGACTTGAATTAGAAGTAGAACGGAGCACTTATGGGTTACACCCATGTGCCATGATGCTAATTCGTCAAAAAAACATAAACTGCTACTTACCTTTGTAGACAATTACAACTGTATTTTTTGGGGGTATGTATTAGCTATCAAGGGGTGAGTTTTGTAAAAAAATTCCCCGTTTTGCTGGTCTGTGGGCTAAACAAGTTGAAGAACACTGCTTTAGACTTCACTAACCTTTACCTTAACTAAAACTTGCAAACACTCACATGTCACTGAGCACCATGACATTGTAGGCACCACAGTAGATGTTTCTTTCCTCCATAATGACCTTCTTGGTGCTGATTCCACTGTATGCTGTCTGAAAATTGTGTTCACTCTTAAAAATTGGATTAATGATTTCTTCATCTGTGTACACAAGTTCCTGAGTGGTTAGGTCCAAGTTTGGCACCAACACGTCGACATCTTTGGCATAAATAGGATTGGCCCCATGTGCTGCAGAACCCTAGAGAGACAGACTATAAGTATTTAAATGTTGCATTCTTTCTGAAAACACTGTCAATTAAATAAATAATCAATTATTGAGTATCAGAATAATCGGAAACAGAACCACAAAAGCCAGCTACATGACAGCTGATTTAAACATAATTTGAAAATAAACAGTGAAAAAACATGTCATGCGTCTAGAAAGAAAACATCAACATAAAGATAAAATAAGTTATAACAAGTTCCACACTTTCAATATTTAGTGACCATCTTTAAGTATGACGGATGAATATACAGAGAGAATAAAAGAAGAATTTAACAAGCCAACAATGTTACGTATCAACTGACCCCAATTTTGAAACGACTGACTCTCCCAATAAAAGTAAAAAGACAAATTATGACTGCAGTCTTCACACCGACCTTGGGCTATCAGTGTCTGACTTGGACGTTTACTAAAGAACATGAAAGAAAATTAACCACCTGTAAAATGAGATGTTTGAGAAAGGGTGTGAACAAAACTAGAAAGATTATGTGAGAAATGAAGAAATTACAAGAACTGTTGAGACTCCTATAACTAAATTAAATTAAAAACAGAGACTGAAATAGTTCGACCATTTAATGAAAATTAATCCATTGATGCCAGAAACGAGAGCTTACAACATGAAAGTAGAAACAACAAGAGGCAGGAGAAAATCAAAACGATGCAAGGTATCTGAAGGATATCATGAGGCTCCACAGCATACCCCGGAGGAAATATGTGCATTATGGGCTAAAGAATAAAAAAAAAAGAAAGGTAAAATACGCAGAATGAAGCTATAATGACACCACAACTGGAGTGACATCACAGCTTATAGTGTGTGTGTGTGTGTGTAGATTATTTGATTTTTTGCAAATATATATCATATGTAAGAATAAAAGTGAAAGATCATCTATACGCCAATTGCGCATGGAACATATAATACCAAGCTCATGTTTTTTCTCACAGATTCACTGTCAGACATCTAGAGAGTCCAACACTATTGACAACAAGCACACTACCGAGTCTAAAAATACATAGCAACTTGATGTGTTGTCAAAAAAGGCAGAACATTACCGGCAGTGGATTCTATCTCACTGTGGCATCAAAGGCAATTAAAGTGCTGATGCTTTAGCCAAGGAAGGCAGCAGCAAATCATAAATCTACCACCCACAATTTATTCCAGAAGCCAAAACCCTCATTAGGAGAAAATCAAAAACAAACTGAAAAACCAACACTGGTTATAACCATGAAAAAGATTTCCTCAAACAGCTGAACGGAACAGACCAGATCACAGTTTTTCGCTTTCGCACGGGACATTGCAGACCCAAAACACGCCCATGCAAATTAAATATGAGTCAAACAACTCTCTGGCCAGTGTCCTCATGCTGAATAGACTCCAGAACATGTCTTGCAAGACTCCTCTTTTAGCGCACCTGCGGAACAACATGTGGCCGCACCCAGTAGACCTGACAACTGAGCTTTGTGGAAACCTAGGAGAGACCTTGAGAAGACATCCCAGTTTATGGCCCACAGTGGATTAAGCGCATGACCAGAGATCGCTGAAGAAGAAGAAGCTCATGTTCTTTTTGACAAATAGGCACTTGGCGGGGTTGATTGATTGATTTTGATTCAAGAACCGACATCACAGCACTCGGGCATTCCCATAAGCGCTCCGTCCCCATCTTCAGCAGCCTGCAAAGAGTTCCGATACTAATGGTACCAGTAGCATTCTGGTTAAACCTCCGTCTTGCCTTTCAATCTCACCAGACTGTGGTGATCCATCTGCTCCTCCGAAATGTACACGCTCTCCCACAAGGCACTAACCACGTCTGCCTTATCATGTATCAGTATTCCACTAAGTTGTGCAGAGCCAGCCAGTCTGTCCGCCTGTTCATTTCCCAACACACCGGCGGGCCCCGGTGAAGAAATCCAGACAATACTCCTCACCCGTGTTCTCCGTAGCAAAGCATGCCACTCTGCACGAAGCATACTTGTTCTGATCTTACTCAGCATGCTTTCTGAATCAGTTACAATCACAATGTGTGTGTGTGTCGTGTGCACTCGGCGGGTGATATGGTCAACACCACGCCAGCCGCCTTTATTTTCCATTATATTTTCTGATACCCATTTAAAACTGATTTGATCTGACAGTCAAAGTCAACTACTATAAATCAATCAAGAGTGGTTTTAAATTCGCATAAATGCGGATTTTTCTTTCAGAATTTACATTGGCTTCTGTATCGATCCAGCTTAAAATGGGTACCAGAAAGGTCATGTGAAGTTAAGGTGACCGGCGTGATATTAACCACATCACCCATCGAGTGACGATCGGTCTATAAAATTTAGGTCTAGCACGATATCCTCGACGTGCGGGAGTCAAACCCAGGACCTTTGTACCGGCAGTCAAACGTCTGGCCACTGAGCTGCCTCGGCACCAAGTGTAGAAGCTGTGACAAGAAATACATTGCACAGACTATGTATTGTACATTTAGCAGACAGATTTAGGAAACATCCTAGGGGCGTTTCAATATGAACTGACAAGTCTGTGTCTAACTCGTTTTAATTTGCATGCTGTAAATGTGTCGACGACGCATGTGTTACCGCCATGAAAACCCTGTTACTCTGACAATTTTAGGGACTTTAGACCGACAGCCATTTGATTTTAATTACAGGCTGCAGTCAACCAGTGAGAACAATGCAGTTGACAAGACCTCCGTGCAGCAGAACGTCCATTAAATTCTGCTGCTAAATCTTTTTCATTGTCTTACCTTTGGTGGCCTTTCTTTTCTTCTCTCTGATACATGACAAGGCAGATGTGGTCAACCCCTTTGGGGACAAGCAACGGAATCAGTAGAGAAACAAGATTATTACGGCCTGGAGAAAATGAGGCACCTGGGTGTAACCAGAGGGTCTGGCCGGCTCACTACACTCAGAGGAAAAGCAAGACAGACATATAACCAGAGTGTGACCGGTACCATCAGTACTGGAACTCTGCGCTGGCTGCTGAAGATGAAGACGGAGCAAAAATGGGAATGCCCCGAGTGCTGTTATGTCAATTCTTTACTCAACTTAACACAGCTCTTTTCTTCTCTTTGTTTTTTATGTACCAAGAAGAAGAAAAACACCAACATCCATGATCGGAGCATCTAGGAGAATTGGCTCATAAACAGCATCCTGTCTCGAAAGCCGAAGTATTTTTGCCATGTTAAACGCCATGGTGGGGTGGAGAATACAATGATGGAAGGTACAGTTCCTCACCTGGCAGCAGACTGTCTTTTTGACAGCGGTAACGATTGATTGATTGACATTCAACCCCACCAGGACATCACACCGAGCGATAAACACCCGGTAACACAAAGTGCCACTATTCAGATCACCCGGGGAACGGTTCCAGAAACCCTGTTCAACCCATAGGTTAGGTTATATCAGGACCCCCCCCCCCCCCCCCCCCCCCCCGACAATAGCCAGGGTCGGGCTTAAAACAACATATTAGTGTCCGACATTGTGAAACAGTACCAATAGGCTATATATAGTGGTATCGAGAGTAACCGTCCGGAAAGCGATAGCAAACTCATCATCATTCAGCAGGTCCTTTGCAGAACGTCGCTTTCATCACGGTCTGCCTAAAAGAACCTCGGCAATACAGCAAACCAGTGAACGTAAATTGCCTTATGAACTCACAGTCAAAACAAAAAAATTTAAATGCAGGGTTGGTTCTGCAACATCTTGTAAAGGATACGCAACTAACTTTACACACTCACACACACATACATTCACACACACACCCACACACACACACACACACACACACACATATATATATATATATATATATATATATATATATATATATATATATATATATGGCTATACGATTTAACAAGGTTTCCGGGATTTATACCTGTTTGATTATCATCCTTGATACGTTAATCCTACAGAACACAAATCTGAAGGGGTAACATTTTAAACAAATTCTTCAAAAAAGAAATACTAAAAGACAGCAAGTGCATAGACAGGAGAATTACGGACTAACATGAGTAAAATAGGGAAGCCATAGAAGCAACGCATCGTCATCATGCGCCATGCCAACATGCATCCCGTGTGGGCTAGGGGGGCACCATCTGGGGGAGAGGAGATTAGACCCACTGCCCCTAGCAAGCATGTGGTAAAAGGCGACTAATCATTGGTGTTTCCTTCGAAGTCGTAGCTCATCTGCTTAAAATACAAGGACCAACAGCATGCATACAATAAGCCAGATTTTAATAAAAAGGTGTGGACGAAAAACTCAAGTTCTATAGGAAGACAAAAGTCCAGAAGTGATCGAACCACCAGAACTTTCCGCCGGAGTTTACAGCCTGTGGACGCGAAGAGGAGGAGAAGGAAGAAGAAGAAGAAGAAGAAGAAGAAGAAGAAGAAGAAGAAGAAGAAGAAGAAGAAGAAGAAGAAGAAGAAGAAGAAGAAGAAGAAGAAGAAGAAGAAGAAGAAGAAGAAGAAGAAGAAGAAGATAAAGAAGAAGAAGAAGTAGAAGAAGAAGAAGAATCCAACAATGGAATATACCCAAACCATCCAGGTATATATTTGAAAATCGGGGTGACTCCCAACGAGCTAGTGTGCGACTCGTGTCTAGGATTATTAATACTTTCCTCCTCCTCCGTCTTTTGCTTCTTCTTTTTCTTTTTCCTCTTCTTCTTCTTCTTCTTCTTCTTCTTCTTCTTCTTCTTCTTCTTCTTCTTCTTCTTCTTCTTCTTCTTCTTCTTCTTCTTCTTCTTCTTCTTCTTCTTCTTCTTCTTCTTTTTCTTCTTCTTTCTTCTTCTTCTTCATCTTCTTCTTTCTTCTCTTCTTCTTCTTCTTCTTCTTCTTCTTCTTCTTCTTTCTTCTTCTTCTTCTTCTTCTTCTTCTTCTTCTTCTTCTTCTTCTTCTTCTTCTTTTTCTTCTTCTTCTTCTTCTTCTTCTTCTTCTTCTTCTTCTTCTCTTTCTTGTAGTGCTCTTTGATAAAGACT